ATGCAGGGAAAGCAGACTACGACGGGCGCACACCGCTGGTAAGTCTCGTGGTAGTGGGGGGAGGGAGGGCACCTTTGTTCATGCCTAGTGGGATGAGCTCATGATGACGACCATCTATGCGGCCTCACGAGGGGACGACCATCGATGAAGGGCCTTGATTGATACTGAAAGTCCCTCCATCTCTCCAACATCGCCCCCGTGTCCCCTGACTCTTCCCTCCGGCCTTTTGGCAGCACCTGGCAGCAGCAGGCGGGTATGACGAAGTTGTTCGTTTCCTTCTATTGGAGGGCGCGGACGTGAACAGCCTTGACAAATCTGGCACCAAGTCGCTGCTGGAGGCACCTCATCTCCCCCATCGATCCCCCACCCTTTCCAATCCTCTCCCCCATCTTCAGCACCTGGCAGCAGCAGGCGGGTACGATGAGGTCGTTCGATTCCTGCTACTAGAGGGAGCGGATGTGAACAGTCTTGACAACTTTGGTACCACAGCCTGTGTTGCGATCCGAGGTTGACATCTCCCCGATCCACCCTACCTCTCCCTTCCCATCCCTCCCATCTCCCCCCCCAGCACCTGGCAGCAGCAGGGGGCTACGATGAGGTCGTTCGCTTCCTGCTCCTAGAGGGAGCGGATGTGAACAGTCTTGACAACTTTGGCACCACGCCGTTGCTGGAGGCGCTGAGGGCGGGGAACGACTCCACTGCGAAGATTTTGACGGACAAGCACGGCACTGTGAACCTGCAGGTGAGAGGGTGTGTGATGGTATGGGGTGTGATGGTATGGGGTGTGGTGGTATGGGGTGCGATGGTATGGGGTGTGATGGTATGGGGTGTGATGGTATGGGGTGTGGTGGTATGGGGTGTGGTGGTATGCAGTGGTGTGCCTGCAGTGCACTGCTGGAAGCACTGAGTGCAGGGAATGACTCCACGGCTAAGATATTGACGGACAAGCACAGCACTGTGAGCCTGCAGGTGCGAGGGTGTGTGATGCGCAGGCCCATACACATATGGCGCAATGGGGTGTGATGGTAAGGGGTGTAAGTGACCTTGTGTATGTGACCTTGCAATGTGTAGAAAGTGTATTTTTGAGACGTCTCAAACATACACATATGGCGGTATGGGGTGTGATGGTAAGGGGCGTAAGTGACCTTGCAGTCAAGTTCTTCTCCACTCCTGCAGTGCTCCCCTTCCCATCCCCTTCCCTTCCCCCACTCGACCCACTCTTTCGTTTTTTTCTCTCCTCCCTGGAAGCGGGCACGGATCTGTGCAATGCGGTGATGAGGGGTGACACGGGGCTCCTAAGGGGGCTGCTGGTCAACGGAGTCAACCCCAATGCAGCCGACTACGACCTCCTCACGCCCCTCCACATCGCATCTGTCCTGCTACCCTCCACACTTCCTCCTCTCTTTCTTATATTTTCCCTCATTCCCATGCCCCTCCCCTGCCCCACCCCTTCCCATCCCCTTCCCATCCCCCCTTCCCCCTATCCTACTCCCACCCACACGATCCCTTGAATCCCAGGAAGCAGGCACAGACCTGTGTAACGCGGTGATGAGGGGTGACACAGGACTGCTGAGAAGGCTGCTGGTCAACGGAGTCAACCCCAATGCGGCCGACTACGACCTCCGCACGCCCCTCCACATCGCACCTGCCTTGCTCCCCCTCCACACTCCCCTCCCCTCGCTCCCAACTTTCTCCACATCCCGTGCCCCTCCCCTCCCATCTTTTCCCCACCCCCACTTCCCCCTACCCCACTCCCACCCACCCACATAAACCCCTGTCTCGCAGGAAGCAGGCACAGACCTGTGTAACGCGGTGATGAGGGGTGACACAGGACTGCTGAGGAGGCTGCTGGTCAACGGAGTCAACCCCAATGCGGCCGACTACGACCTCCGCACGCCCCTCCACATCGCATCCGCCGAGGGATTCGTCCAGGTGGCGCGCATGCTGGTGGAGCATGGTGCTGACGTGGCGGCGCTGGATAGGTGGGGCAACTCGTCACTGGATGAGGCGCGCCGATGTGGCAGCCTGCCATTGATCCACCTGTTGGAGGAGGCCATGCGGGAACGAGGGCTTGAGATTGGTGGAGGATCCGTTGACGATGGTGCTGAAAGGGAAGGGGGGGAAGACGGAGGAGCAGGAGCAGAGGCAGGAACAGGGGCAGGGAAAACAGCAGCTGCTGCTGCTGGTGCTGCAACGGCTGCTACAGCCGTGGCTGCTGCGTCTCTCAACGCCTCGGCTGCTGCTGGAGCATCCCCTATGCCAGCAGCACCCTCTGCTGCCATACCCCCTGCTACTCCTGCCACTACTTCTTCCGGTGCCTCCTCTACCACTGTTGTTCCTCCTGCCGCTACTTCTGCTGCTCCTGCTGCGGCTGCTGCTGCTGCTGCCTCTGCAACTGGTGTGGCAGTGTCAGGCACTCCCTATGCATCCACCCCATCCCCCACCCCCCTGCCCCATTCACACTCCGAGGCAACACGCGCCACCTCCACCCTTCCTCCCCCCTTCCCCAACTCCCACTCCCTCACACGCTCCCAACCCTCCCCGCTCCTCGGCCCTGCTGATGCGGACTGGGACCGCATCACCGAGGATGGCTCGGCAACTCCCCGGTTCGGCATGTCAGGCTCGGGAACGCCGCTACTGAGCGGGTCCGGCACGCCCCAGAGGAGAGGACCGGAAACGTCGCCTGGGAGGGGGCAATGGAGGCCCCCTGCGGGTGCTGGGGTGAGGAGGACGGGCGGGAGGGCTGGAGGGACGGGGTATAGCGGCGGCGCTGGTGCTGCTGGTCCGGCTGGTGGTGCCGGCATGGGAAGGCTGGTTCCTTTGGGGCCCAAGGTGAGATTTTTTCCATTATTTTACCGGTATTATTTTCCCGTGATGTGTGTGTGTGTGTGTGTGTGTGTGTGTGTGAGTGTGAGTGTGAGTGTGTGTGTGTGTGTGTGTGTGAGTGTGAGTGTGTGTGTGTGTGTGTTTTTTTTTTCTTCTTTCTTTCTTTCTTTTCTGGTTGTCAGGTTTTTATATGACATGTATGTTGTTTCCCTTCGTGCTTGCGATCGTCATTTTGAAGAGCTCAGAGTCTCTTTCTTTGTTTAATAAACATCCACAAATGTGGTATCTCCAACACACAGTCCCCCCACCATCCAATGTACACAGCCGCCCTTCTGATATTTTAACACAATTTTTTCTCCTTACTCCCCTTGCCCACTCCCTTCGCTTTCATCCTTGGTTCGTCCCGCTTCTTGTCAGAGAATCACAGTGTTCCCCTTCCCCCCATGGGAGCTAAAGCCTCAGAGAGTTGGGCAGCTTATGCCGCTCCCTCCATCCATCCCTGATCTCCTAACAACTGCTTCCAGTATTTTTGGTGCGTCTTATGTTGGTTTGGTTGGGAGCGATTCGGGGGTTGTAACAACCATTGAGTTGATTAGGGACGGAGATAAGTTATTTCTATTGAAGTCAAATGAGATGCACGGAGATGCCCAGTCAGGTGGGCAGTAGATGTCCTTTATTGAAGATTATGTATCCTTACCGATGCCATATCATCTATATGCAATGTATATGTATTTTGTATTTAAATGAGGTATAAGATTAGTGGATGTGTGAGAATATCGTTTACTATGTATGATATCCTGCGTCCATAAAAGGGTTTTAGTTTTCCGGGAAGGCATACTGTAGCTTCCATTCTTTCAAGGGACTTTCATCTCAACTTTCACACACTTTCCGCTGATCCGCTTCTGAGGCGGAAGAGTTATTGCGTAACACAGAACTCGGCTTCTCCGCACGTCACGCAAGCACTGTTCTTATCGGATTTCTTCTGCCAGCAAGTACAAAACTAAACCCCTCTCGGATGGGAAGTTTTCAAGGGCATCAATCCTAAATACCCCGCGACAAGGTGTTTAGGGTTGATGCCATACATTAGCATGCCAGCCAAGGGGGATTTAGGTTTGGCATCAACCCTAAACACTTAGTCGCAAGGTGTTTGGGGTTGATGCCCCTTTACATTTGCCAGCCGAGAGGGATTTAGTTTAGTGCGGTTAGAAAGGCAAAATAGTTCTGTGCACCGAGATGATGACACGTGGGTAAATTTTGAATCGAGTTCTGTCTTAGCGCAATAAGTCTTCTGTCTGGGCCGCAAAACCTGGGAAACCGTGTGCAGGTAGAGAAGAAGGTCCCTAGAAAGCGCAGGTTCGGAAGTACCTCTTCCGCCGTAACTAAAAACCCTCCATAAAAGCGACTGCTAGCTGGTGTAGAATGTGGTCCCGCCTGTACCACTCAAGCTTCAAGCGGAAAAGCCGAAGTTCCCCCCAACTTCCACTTCGGCCACGTCATCAGCGACGGCGCCACAACCGAGGAGCTTATTTCCATGAAAGAAGCACTAAGGGCGGTACAGATCGATTTAAGTCGGTTTTACTCGGTGTGACAAAATCAGGGAGGTCTTGCAAGGAGGGAGAGGATGACTGACTGGGAGAGGGAAAAACAGCTCAACCGAGCTATTCTGGAGACGATCCCATGCTTTCCTCCATGATTTCACAACTCCTCAGATCACTCGTGTTTCGTGTTCATGACCTCGCTCCACTAGGGATTGGTAAAGCGGGTGATTGCAGCCTACATTCCCAAGGTTACACCTACTCCTGGGTTAGTTGGTTGACGTGATCTCGGATTACCTCGTGCCCGTGTTCCTGTCCTGGCTCGTATTCTCAGAAGGGTCTCCCGTTCCTAGGACGTTAGGTTCCGAGAGAAGAGAGATTTGAATAATGGACTTAGCGACACCGTTTCTCGGCGACGTTCGCCTGGTTGATCTTTCGCGCCCTTCGCCGTCGTCTCGCCCTTCCACGAGACCAAGTCATCTCATTCTACATTCTCCTCTCCCGTCATTACCACCTTGTCGCGTCAGTCCCTCGCCTAAGTGTAACTTGGCTAAACGTCCACCGCGTCCCGTCCCTCCACGACCGAAGCCCCAGCGACCAACAGATTCCGCTCGTTTAAACGACTCTCAGGATTCCCCCATGCTCGGCAGTAGCACATCAGCTGCTGGAACCCTCTCACGGGAAGGAGACGGATCTTCCCCGCAGCAAGCTGATTTTCCTCTTCCATCCGGGGGAAACAAGCTCCCCTTTTCTTCCCGAATTTCGCCGCCGCTCCCGCGGAGACCCGCCGCGACGCACCGCCTCCGCCGGCTACGGAAGCGAACGGCCAACGGCACGTTCTACCTGTCGGACGAGCTCGCGGATATCACGGAAGTCTGGTCTTCGTCGATCCTCCTCCGTCCGCCGGTGGAATCCAACGGCGGAGGCGCGACGTCTGGGAACTCTCCGCCTTCTTCTCCTCCTTCTCCTTCACCTGCTTCGTCAACATCCGGCAATATCGAGGCGCCTATTTCACTAGGCGAAGAAGAGTTAGGAGAAGTTCCAGTGGTATCTGAAAGCGGCTCGGGTGTAGCGACGTCGAGTGTGGTGTCAGAACTCGTGGCTCGAGTGGCGCGCGAGCCGATAGAGACTATAGAAAGTCTAGACCTGTCGCGTGTGCTTGAAGCGGAAGTGGGACCCGACGGGGTTTTAACTGAAGGAGTGGCGTCGGCGGTGTTGGTGGAGCTGAGTCGCGCCGGCAAGAGCCGGCACGCTCTGAAACTCTTTGACTGGCTCAAGGTAAGTTTATTTTCATTTAGTTGGGGTTTCGGGTTCTAATCGAGGTTTTTGGTTGGGGCTGCAGGGTTGAACCAAATAATATAAGCTCCTGTCTTCTCTTCCTCGCTTTACACCTCCTTCCGCTTTAACCCCTCTACACCCCCGCCAAACCCCCTCCCCCTACCCTTCCCTTGTCCAGGCTCGGGCGTTTCTCCTGTCCACGTCAGCACACACCGCGCTGATCGCTGCATTGGCGCGCAGCGGGCCGTACGCTGACGCGGCGCGTGTACTGGCAGGCATGCGCGCCGCGGGGCTGTCTCCCACCGTCCACGCGTGCACCGCCGCCATGCAGGCCCAATCACGCGCCGGCAGGTGGCGCGCGGCGCTGCTGCTATTGGAGGAGATGCGAGGCATGGGGCTGAAACCGGATACTATGGCTTATAATGCCGTGCTCACTGCATGCGGAAGGTGAGTTTGCTGAGTGTGATTGTATGGAGGGTGCGTGCAGGAGGAGATGCGAGGCATGGGGCTCAAGCCAGATACGATGGCTTATAACGCGGTGCTCACTGCGTGTGGAAGGTGCGAGTGTGTGTGGAAACAGAGTTTGGGGGAAGTGAGCATGGTGAAGGTGCGTGCAGCAGGTGATGCGAGGCGTGGGTCTGAAGCCGGATACCATGGCGTATAATGCTGTCCTCGCTGCATGTGGTGGACGGTGAGTGTGTGGAGAGTGATTATATGGAACGTGAAGTGAGCATGGCGAAGGCGCGTGTTTATCGAGATGAGAGGCATGTGGCTGAAACCGGATACGGTGGCTTATAGTGAGGTGCTTACTGCGTGTGGAGGGTGAGTGTGCGGAGCGTGAGTATGGATACAATGGCCCCGCTCACTGCGTGTGGACGGTGGTGAGTGTGTGAGAGGCGAGTGTGTTCAATCTCCTTGTCCCATCTCTCCCCACCCCACACCATCCCTCCCTCACGGTTCACTAGGGCTGGTAGCGTGCAGGCTGTGCTGGGGATGTACCAGGCCATGCAAGACGACGAATGCCGCCCTTTTTGTCCATTCTCTGAGTCTCTCCCCCCGTTATTCTCTCCCCCTGTTATTCTCTCCCCCGTTATTCTCTCCCCCGTTATTCTCTCCCCCGTTATTCTCTCCCCCCGTTATTCTCTCCCCCCGTTATTCTCTCCCCCCGTTATTCTCTCCCCCCGTTATTCTCTCCCCCCGTTATTCTCTCCCCCCGTTATTCTCTCCCCCCCGTTATTCTCTCCCCCCGTTATTCTCTCCCCCCGTTATTCTCTCCCCCCGTTATTCTCTCCCCCCGTTATTCTCTCCCCCGTTATTCTCTCCCCCCGTTATTCTCTCCCCCCGTTATTCTCTCCCCCCATTATTCTCTCCCCCCGTTATTCTCTCCCCCCGTTATTCTCTCCCCCCGTTATTCTCTCCCCCCGTTATTCTCTCCCCCCGTTATTCTCTCCCCCCGTTATTCTCTCCCCCCCGTTATTCTCTCCCCCCGTTATTCTCTCCCCCCGTTATTCTCTCCCCCCGTTATTCTCTCCCCCCGTTATTCTCTCCCCCCGTTATTCTCTCCCCCCCGTTATTCTCTCCCCCCGTTATTCTCTCCCCCCGTTATTCTCTCCCCCCGTTATTCTCTCCCCCCGTTATTCTCTCCCCCCGTTATTCTCTCCCCCCCGTTATTCTCTCCCCCCGTTATTCTCTCCCCCCGTTATTCTCTCCCCCCGTTATTCTCTCCCCCCGTTATTCTCTCCCCCGTTATTCTCTCCCCCCGTTATTCTCTCCCCCCGTTATTCTCTCCCTCCCCCACACTGTTGCCCGTGTTCACCAGGGCCAGTCGCGTGCAGGAGCTGCTGGGTGTATACCGTGCCACGCAGGACGGCGAATGCCGCCCCTTTATTACATCCTCGCAATCCCTTCGCCCCTTCGACGCTCCCCCACGCTCCCTCCCATGTGCTCTGCTCAGGGCTGGTCGCGTGCAGGAGGTACTAGCTGTATACCAGGCCATGCAGGACGACGAATGCCGCCCGTCCACCGGCACGCGCGCACTGCTCATGAGCACGTTCGTCCGCGCCGACCGCTGCGACCTGGCGCTGCAGCTCTTCTTCGATGCGCGGCTGGCGGGCCAGCCCGTGACTCCCGACATGCACAGAGGATTGATCTGTGTCGCTTCTAAGGTCAGTACACCTCGTCAAGGCCCGACCGCTGTGATCTGGCGCTGCAACTCTTCTTTGACGCCAGGCTGACAGGCCAGCCCGTGACTCCCGACATGCACAGAGGACTCATCTGTGTCGCTTCAAAGGTCGGTTCACCTCGTCAAGGCCCGACCATTGCGACCTGGCGCTGCAGCTGTTCTTTGGTGCCAGGCTGGCAGGCCAGCCTGTCACCCCCGACATGCACAGAGGACTCATCTGTGTGGCTTCAAAGGTTAGTAAGTCGGAGGCCTGGTTATGCTGTATGTGGCGTTGTTGTTTTGTGTCCAGGGCTAACAACCATTGTGATAGCCAAGCAGCTGTTCTCTGTGATAGCCAACCGCTGTGATGTGGCGCTGAAGCTGTTCTTTGTCGCGCAGCTGGCAGGCCAGCCTGTCATTCCCGACATGCACAGGGGGGTGATCTTTGTGTTTGTCGCTCCAAAGCTAGCGTACTCCGCTCGCATATGCATCCCACCTCCTCCCAAGTTTTATGTTTTAAGCCGTCTCCGTTTTCCCTATTTTACCGCCCCTCCTTCCCTCTCGTTTTGTCCTCCCCGTGTTTCGACTATCAGGTGGGTCGCTGGCCCCTCGCTTTAGACCTGCTGGACGATCTCCTTGCCACGTGGACAGACCCGGGGGCCGCGGTTGAACCGGCAGCAGGGGTTGCGGTTGAACTGGCAGCAGGGGTCGCAGCATCCGCCACTTCACGTATGGAGAGTGGCCCTCCTGCTCCGGATGGTTCTTTTGAGGCTAGGCAGGACGAAGGGTCTGCTGCTGCTACAGTAGCAACTGCTGCTGCTATAGTAGCAACTGCTGCTGGTGATGCTGCTGGTGATGCTGCTGGGGGGGGCAGACGCAGGTCATCCGATGCTGGGAGTGGGGAGCGGTGGGAGGGGGGGAACACGTGGGGCGAGGTTTTGGGAGCACCCAACTCTGCTCTGCCCTTCAACGCCCTCATCTCCTCGCTTGCTCGTGCAGGTAAGAGCGTCCTGTACATGTCCGTGCAGGTAAGGTGCGCTCTACTGGTCGTGCTATTGCCCTGCTAGCCCGCTCAGATTGCCATGTTCAACAACATGAGCGCGTGGGAGGGGGGGTGAGGTTTTGGGAGCGCCCAACTCTGCTCTGCCCTTCAACGCCCTCATCTCCTCGCTTGCTCGTGCAGGTATGCTGCCTCATCTCCCTCTCTCTCCCCCTCTCTCCCGCTCGATCTCCCCTCCCTTCCCACGCTCTCGCCCTTACCACTCCCTCATCTCTCATCTTCTCCCCAAGTCCTCCCGATAACCTCCTCTCCGCCCCTCCCCTCCTCCCCTCCCCTCCGCCCTTCCCCTCCTACCCTCCCCTCCTCCCTTCCCTTAGGCCAATGGCAGGTCGCTCTTTCAGTCTTCTCCCTCATGAAGAAGCTGGGAATTCCTCCGGACCACTTCACGTGGTCCGGGCTAGCTTCGGCGCTGGCTCGGGCAGGCGAATTCGACCGAGCCATGGCATTATTCGAGCACATGGGGGAGAGGGAGGGGCTGGAGCCGACACTGGTGGTGTGTAATTGTGCGCTGCTGGCGTGTCAGCACAAGGCCAAGTGGCAGAGAGCGCTGCAGCTGCTGTGGCGGATGGAGAGGATGGGAGTACAAGCGGACGTGCGGAGCTACAGCATGGTCATTCGAACATGCGAGCTTGCAGGTATGTGCGAGCTTGCAGGTATGTGCGAGCTTGCAGGTATGTGCGAGCTTGCAGGTATGTGCGAGCTTGCAGGTATGTGCGAGCTTGCAGGTATGTGCGAGCTTGCAGGTATGTGCGAGCTTGCAGGTATGTGCGAGCTTGCAGGTATGTGCGAGCTTGCAGGTATGTGCGAGCTTGCAGGTATGTGCGAGCTTGCAGGTATGTGCGAGCTTGCAGGTATGTGCGAGCTTGCAGGTATGTGCGAGCTTGCAGGTATGTGCGAGCTTGCAGGTATGTGCGAGCTTGCAGGTATGTGCGAGCTTGCAGGTATGTGCGAGCTTGCAGGTATGTGCGAGCTTGCAGGTATGTGCGAGCTTGCAGGTATGTGCGAGCTTGCAGGTATGTGCGAGCTTGCAGGTATGTGCGAGCTTGCAGGTATGTGCGAGCTTGCAGGTATGTGCGAGCTTGCAGGTATGTGCGAGCTTGCAGGTATGTGCGAGCTTGCAGGTATGTGCGAGCTTGCAGGTATGTGCGAGCTTGCAGGTATGTGCGAGCTTGCAGGTTATGTGCGAGCTTGCAGGTATGTGCGAGCTTGCAGGTATGTGCGAGCTTGCAGGTATGTGCGAGCTTGCAGGTATGTGCGAGCTTGCAGGTATGTGCGAGCTTGCAGGTATGTGCGAGCTTGCAGGTATGTGCGAGCTTGCAGGTATGTGCGAGCTTGCAGGTATGTGCGAGCTTGCAGGTATGTGCGAGCTTGCAGGTATGTGCGAGCTTGCAGGTATGTGCGAGCTTGCAGGTATGTGCGAGCTTGCAGGTATGTGCGAGCTTGCAGGTATGTGCGAGCTTGCAGGTATGTGCGAGCTTGCAGGTATGTGCGAGCTTGCAGGTATGTGCGAGCTTGCAGGTATGTGCGAGCTTGCAGGTATGTGCGAGCTTGCAGGTATGTGCGAGCTTGCAGGTATGTGCGAGCTTGCAGGTATGTGCGAGCTTGCAGGTATGTGCGAGCTTGCAGGTATGTGCGAGCTTGCAGGTATGTGCGAGCTTGCAGGTATGTGCGAGCTTGCAGGTATGTGCGAGCTTGCAGGTATGTGCGAGCTTGCAGGTATGTGCGAGCTTGCAGGTATGTGCGAGCTTGCAGGTATGTGCGAGCTTGCAGGTATGTGCGAGCTTGCAGGTATGTGCGAGCTTGCAGGTATGTGCGAGCTTGCAGGTATGTGCGAGCTTGCAGGTATGTGCGAGCTTGCAGGTATGTGCGAGCTTGCAGGTATGTGCGAGCTTGCAGGTATGTGCGAGCTTGCAGGTATGTGCGAGCTTGCAGGTATGTGCGAGCTTGCAGGTATGTGCGAGCTTGCAGGTATGTGCGAGCTTGCAGGTATGTGCGAGCTTGCAGGTATGTGCGAGCTTGCAGGTATGTGCGAGCTTGCAGGTATGTGCGAGCTTGCAGGTATGTGCGAGCTTGCAGGTATGTGCGAGCTTGCAGGTATGTGCGAGCTTGCAGGTATGTGCGAGCTTGCAGGTATGTGCGAGCTTGCAGGTATGTGCGAGCTTGCAGGTATGTGCGAGCTTGCAGGTATGTGCGAGCTTGCAGGTATGTGCGAGCTTGCAGGTATGTGCGAGCTTGCAGGTATGTGCGAGCTTGCAGGTATGTGCGAGCTTGCAGGTATGTGCGAGCTTGCAGGTATGTGCGAGCTTGCAGGTATGTGCGAGCTTGCAGGTATGTGCGAGCTTGCAGGTATGTGCGAGCTTGCAGGTATGTGCGAGCTTGCAGGTATGTGCGAGCTTGCAGGTATGTGCGAGCTTGCAGGTATGTGCGAGCTTGCAGGTATGTGCGAGCTTGCAGGTATGTGCGAGCTTGCAGGTATGTGCGAGCTTGCAGGTATGTGCGAGCTTGCAGGTATGTGCGAGCTTGCAGGTATGTGCGAGCTTGCAGGTATGTGCGAGCTTGCAGGTATGTGCGAGCTTGCAGGTATGTGCGAGCTTGCAGGTATGTGCGAGCTTGCAGGTATGTGCGAGCTTGCAGGTATGTGCGAGCTTGCAGGTATGTGCGAGCTTGCAGGTATGTGCGAGCTTGCAGGTATGTGCGAGCTTGCAGGTATGTGCGAGCTTGCAGGTATGTGCGAGCTTGCAGGTATGTGCGAGCTTGCAGGTATGTGCGAGCTTGCAGGTATGTGCGAGCTTGCAGGTATGTGCGAGCTTGCAGGTATGTGCGAGCTTGCAGGTATGTGCGAGCTTGCAGGTATGTGCGAGCTTGCAGGTATGTGCGAGCTTGCAGGTATGTGCGAGCTTGCAGGTATGTGCGAGCTTGCAGGTATGTGCGAGCTTGCAGGTATGTGCGAGCTTGCAGGTATGTGCGAGCTTGCAGGTATGTGCGAGCTTGCAGGTATGTGCGAGCTTGCAGGTATGTGCGAGCTTGCAGGTATGTGCGAGCTTGCAGGTATGTGCGAGCTTGCAGGTATGTGCGAGCTTGCAGGTATGTGCGAGCTTGCAGGTATGTGCGAGCTTGCAGGTATGTGCGAGCTTGCAGGTATGTGCGAGCTTGCAGGTATGTGCGAGCTTGCAGGTATGTGCGAGCTTGCAGGTATGTGCGAGCTTGCAGGTATGTGCGAGCTTGCAGGTATGTGCGAGCTTGCAGGTATGTGCGAGCTTGCAGGTATGTGCGAGCTTGCAGGTATGTGCGAGCTTGCAGGTATGTGCGAGCTTGCAGGTATGTGCGAGCTTGCAGGTATGTGCGAGCTTGCAGGTATGTGCGAGCTTGCAGGTATGTGCGAGCTTGCAGGTATGTGCGAGCTTGCAGGTATGTGCGAGCTTGCAGGTATGTGCGAGCTTGCAGGTATGTGCGAGCTTGCAGGTATGTGCGAGCTTGCAGGTATGTGCGAGCTTGCAGGTATGTGCGAGCTTGCAGGTATGTGCGAGCTTGCAGGTATGTGCGAGCTTGCAGGTATGTGCGAGCTTGCAGGTATGTGCGAGCTTGCAGGTATGTGCGAGCTTGCAGGTATGTGCGAGCTTGCAGGTATGTGCGAGCTTGCAGGTATGTGCGAGCTTGCAGGTATGTGCGAGCTTGCAGGTATGTGCGAGCTTGCAGGTATGTGCGAGCTTGCAGGTATGTGCGAGCTTGCAGGTATGTGCGAGCTTGCAGGTATGTGCGAGCTTGCAGGTATGTGCGAGCTTGCAGGTATGTGCGAGCTTGCAGGTATGTGCGAGCTTGCAGGTATGTGCGAGCTTGCAGGTATGTGCGAGCTTGCAGGTATGTGCGAGCTTGCAGGTATGTGCGAGCTTGCAGGTATGTGCGAGCTTGCAGGTATGTGCGAGCTTGCAGGTATGTGCGAGCTTGCAGGTATGTGCGAGCTTGCAGGTATGTGCGAGCTTGCAGGTATGTGCGAGCTTGCAGGTATGTGCGAGCTTGCAGGTATGTGCGAGCTTGCAGGTATGTGCGAGCTTGCAGGTATGTGCGAGCTTGCAGGTATGTGCGAGCTTGCAGGTATGTGCGAGCTTGCAGGTATGTGCGAGCTTGCAGGTATGTGCGAGCTTGCAGGTATGTGCGAGCTTGCAGGTATGTGCGAGCTTGCAGGTATGTGCGAGCTTGCAGGTATGTGCGAGCTTGCAGGTATGTGCGAGCTTGCAGGTATGTGCGAGCTTGCAGGTATGTGCGAGCTTGCAGGTATGTGCGAGCTTGCAGGTATGTGCGAGCTTGCAGGTATGTGCGAGCTTGCAGGTATGTGCGAGCTTGCAGGTATGTGCGAGCTTGCAGGTATGTGCGAGCTTGCAGGTATGTGCGAGCTTGCAGGTATGTGCGAGCTTGCAGGTATGTGCGAGCTTGCAGGTATGTGCGAGCTTGCAGGTATGTGCGAGCTTGCAGGTATGTGCGAGCTTGCAGGTATGTGCGAGCTTGCAGGTATGTGCGAGCTTGCAGGTATGTGCGAGCTTGCAGGTATGTGCGAGCTTGCAGGTATGTGCGAGCTTGCAGGTATGTGCGAGCTTGCAGGTATGTGCGAGCTTGCAGGTATGTGCGAGCTTGCAGGTATGTGCGAGCTTGCAGGTATGTGCGAGCTTGCAGGTATGTGCGAGCTTGCAGGTATGTGCGAGCTTGCAGGTATGTGCGAGCTTGCAGGTATGTGCGAGCTTGCAGGTATGTGCGAGCTTGCAGGTATGTGCGAGCTTGCAGGTATGTGCGAGCTTGCAGGTATGTGCGAGCTTGCAGGTATGTGCGAGCTTGCAGGTATGTGCGAGCTTGCAGGTATGTGCGAGCTTGCAGGTATGTGCGAGCTTGCAGGTATGTGCGAGCTTGCAGGTATGTGCGAGCTTGCAGGTATGTGCGAGCTTGCAGGTATGTGCGAGCTTGCAGGTATGTGCGAGCTTGCAGGTATGTGCGAGCTTGCAGGTATGTGCGAGCTTGCAGGTATGTGCGAGCTTGCAGGTATGTGCGAGCTTGCAGGTATGTGCGAGCTTGCAGGTATGTGCGAGCTTGCAGGTATGTGCGAGCTTGCAGGTATGTGCGAGCTTGCAGGTATGTGCGAGCTTGCAGGTATGTGCGAGCTTGCAGGTATGTGCGAGCTTGCAGGTATGTGCGAGCTTGCAGGTATGTGCGAGCTTGCAGGTATGTGCGAGCTTGCAGGTATGTGCGAGCTTGCAGGTATGTGCGAGCTTGCAGGTATGTGCGAGCTTGCAGGTATGTGCGAGCTTGCAGGTATGTGCGAGCTTGCAGGTATGTGCGAGCTTGCAGGTATGTGCGAGCTTGCAGGTATGTGCGAGCTTGCAGGTATGTGCGAGCTTGCAGGTATGTGCGAGCTTGCAGGTATGTGCGAGCTTGCAGGTATGTGCGAGCTTGCAGGTATGTGCGAGCTTGCAGGTATGTGCGAGCTTGCAGGTATGTGCGAGCTTGCAGGTATGTGCGAGCTTGCAGGTATGTGCGAGCTTGCAGGTATGTGCGAGCTTGCAGGTATGTGCGAGCTTGCAGGTATGTGCGAGCTTGCAGGTATGTGCGAGCTTGCAGGTATGTGCGAGCTTGCAGGTATGTGCGAGCTTGCAGGTATGTGCGAGCTTGCAGGTATGTGCGAGCTTGCAGGTATGTGCGAGCTTGCAGGTATGTGCGAGCTTGCAGGTATGTGCGAGCTTGCAGGTATGTGCGAGCTTGCAGGTATGTGCGAGCTTGCAGGTATGTGCGAGCTTGCAGGTATGTGCGAGCTTGCAGGTATGTGCGAGCTTGCAGGTATGTGCGAGCTTGCAGGTATGTGCGAGCTTGCAGGTATGTGCGAGCTTGCAGGTATGTGCGAGCTTGCAGGTATGTGCGAGCTTGCAGGTATGTGCGAGCTTGCAGGTATGTGCGAGCTTGCAGGTATGTGCGAGCTTGCAGGTATGTGCGAGCTTGCAGGTATGTGCGAGCTTGCAGGTATGTGCGAGCTTGCAGGTATGTGCGAGCTTGCAGGTATGTGCGAGCTTGCAGGTATGTGCGAGCTTGCAGGTATGTGCGAGCTTGCAGGTATGTGCGAGCTTGCAGGTATGTGCGAGCTTGCAGGTATGTGCGAGCTTGCAGGTATGTGCGAGCTTGCAGGTATGTGCGAGCTTGCAGGTATGTGCGAGCTTGCAGGTATGTGCGAGCTTGCAGGTATGTGCGAGCTTGCAGGTATGTGCGAGCTTGCAGGTATGTGCGAGCTTGCAGGTATGTGCGAGCTTGCAGGTATGTGCGAGCTTGCAGGTATGTGCGAGCTTGCAGGTATGTGCGAGCTTGCAGGTATGTGCGAGCTTGCAGGTATGTGCGAGCTTGCAGGTATGTGCGAGCTTGCAGGTATGTGCGAGCTTGCAGGTATGTGCGAGCTTGCAGGTATGTGCGAGCTTGCAGGTATGTGCGAGCTTGCAGGTATGTGCGAGCTTGCAGGTATGTGCGAGCTTGCAGGTATGTGCGAGCTTGCAGGTATGTGCGAGCTTGCAGGTATGTGCGAGCTTGCAGGTATGTGCGAGCTTGCAGGTATGTGCGAGCTTGCAGGTATGTGCGAGCTTGCAGGTATGTGCGAGCTTGCAGGTATGTGCGAGCTTGCAGGTATGTGCGAGCTTGCAGGTATGTGCGAGCTTGCAGGTATGTGCGAGCTTGCAGGTATGTGCGAGCTTGCAGGTATGTGCGAGCTTGCAGGTATGTGCGAGCTTGCAGGTATGTGCGAGCTTGCAGGTATGTGCGAGCTTGCAGGTATGTGCGAGCTTGCAGGTATGTGCGAGCTTGCAGGTATGTGCGAGCTTGCAGGTATGTGCGAGCTTGCAGGTATGTGCGAGCTTGCAGGTATGTGCGAGCTTGCAGGTATGTGCGAGCTTGCAGGTATGTGCGAGCTTGCAGGTATGTGCGAGCTTGCAGGTATGTGCGAGCTTGCAGGTATGTGCGAGCTTGCAGGTATGTGCGAGCTTGCAGGTATGTGCGAGCTTGCAGGTATGTGCGAGCTTGCAGGTATGTGCGAGCTTGCAGGTATGTGCGAGCTTGCAGGTATGTGCGAGCTTGCAGGTATGTGCGAGCTTGCAGGTATGTGCGAGCTTGCAGGTATGTGCGAGCTTGCAGGTATGTGCGAGCTTGCAGGTATGTGCGAGCTTGCAGGTATGTGCGAGCTTGCAGGTATGTGCGAGCTTGCAGGTATGTGCGAGCTTGCAGGTATGTGCGAGCTTGCAGGTATGTGCGAGCTTGCAGGTATGTGCGAGCTTGCAGGTATGTGCGAGCTTGCAGGTATGTGCGAGCTTGCAGGTATGTGCGAGCTTGCAGGTATGTGCGAGCTTGCAGGTATGTGCGAGCTTGCAGGTATGTGCGAGCTTGCAGGTATGTGCGAGCTTGCAGGTATGTGCGAGCTTGCAGGTATGTGCGAGCTTGCAGGTATGTGCGAGCTTGCAGGTATGTGCGAGCTTGCAGGTATGTGCGAGCTTGCAGGTATGTGCGAGCTTGCAGGTATGTGCGAGCTTGCAGGTATGTGCGAGCTTGCAGGTATGTGCGAGCTTGCAGGTATGTGCGAGCTTGCAGGTATGTGCGAGCTTGCAGGTATGTGCGAGCTTGCAGGTATGTGCGAGCTTGCAGGTATGTGCGAGCTTGCAGGTATGTGCGAGCTTGCAGGTATGTGCGAGCTTGCAGGTATGTGCGAGCTTGCAGGTATGTGCGAGCTTGCAGGTATGTGCGAGCTTGCAGGTATGTGCGAGCTTGCAGGTATGTGCGAGCTTGCAGGTATGTGCGAGCTTGCAGGTATGTGCGAGCTTGCAGGTATGTGCGAGCTTGCAGGTATGTGCGAGCTTGCAGGTATGTGCGAGCTTGCAGGTATGTGCGAGCTTGCAGGTATGTGCGAGCTTGCAGGTATGTGCGAGCTTGCAGGTATGTGCGAGCTTGCAGGTATGTGCGAGCTTGCAGGTATGTGCGAGCTTGCAGGTATGTGCGAGCTTGCAGGTATGTGCGAGCTTGCAGGTATGTGCGAGCTTGCAGGTATGTGCGAGCTTGCAGGTATGTGCGAGCTTGCAGGTATGTGCGAGCTTGCAGGTATGTGCGAGCTTGCAGGTATGTGCGAGCTTGCAGGTATGTGCGAGCTTGCAGGTATGTGCGAGCTTGCAGGTATGTGCGAGCTTGCAGGTATGTGCGAGCTTGCAGGTATGTGCGAGCTTGCAGGTATGTGCGAGCTTGCAGGTATGTGCGAGCTTGCAGGTATGTGCGAGCTTGCAGGTATGTGCGAGCTTGCAGGTATGTGCGAGCTTGCAGGTATGTGCGAGCTTGCAGGTATGTGCGAGCTTGCAGGTATGTGCGAGCTTGCAGGTATGTGCGAGCTTGCAGGTATGTGCGAGCTTGCAGGTATGTGCGAGCTTGCAGGTATGTGCGAGCTTGCAGGTATGTGCGAGCTTGCAGGTATGTGCGAGCTTGCAGGTATGTGCGAGCTTGCAGGTATGTGCGAGCTTGCAGGTATGTGCGAGCTTGCAGGTATGTGCGAGCTTGCAGGTATGTGCGAGCTTGCAGGTATGTGCGAGCTTGCAGGTATGTGCGAGCTTGCAGGTATGTGCGAGCTTGCAGGTATGTGCGAGCTTGCAGGTATGTGCGAGCTTGCAGGTATGTGCGAGCTTGCAGGTATGTGCGAGCTTGCAGGTATGTGCGAGCTTGCAGGTATGTGCGAGCTTGCAGGTATGTGCGAGCTTGCAGGTATGTGCGAGCTTGCAGGTATGTGCGAGCTTGCAGGTATGTGCGAGCTTGCAGGTATGTGCGAGCTTGCAGGTATGTGCGAGCTTGCAGGTATGTGCGAGCTTGCAGGTATGTGCGAGCTTGCAGGTATGTGCGAGCTTGCAGGTATGTGCGAGCTTGCAGGTATGTGCGAGCTTGCAGGTATGTGCGAGCTTGCAGGTATGTGCGAGCTTGCAGGTATGTGCGAGCTTGCAGGTATGTGCGAGCTTGCAGGTATGTGCGAGCTTGCAGGTATGTGCGAGCTTGCAGGTATGTGCGAGCTTGCAGGTATGTGCGAGCTTGCAGGTATGTGCGAGCTTGCAGGTATGTGCGAGCTTGCAGGTATGTGCGAGCTTGCAGGTATGTGCGAGCTTGCAGGTATGTGCGAGCTTGCAGGTATGTGCGAGCTTGCAGGTATGTGCGAGCTTGCAGGTATGTGCGAGCTTGCAGGTATGTGCGAGCTTGCAGGTATGTGCGAGCTTGCAGGTATGTGCGAGCTTGCAGGTATGTGCGAGCTTGCAGGTATGTGCGAGCTTGCAGGTATGTGCGAGCTTGCAGGTATGTGCGAGCTTGCAGGTATGTGCGAGCTTGCAGGTATGTGCGAGCTTGCAGGTATGTGCGAGCTTGCAGGTATGTGCGAGCTTGCAGGTATGTGCGAGCTTGCAGGTATGTGCGAGCTTGCAGGTATGTGCGAGCTTGCAGGTATGTGCGAGCTTGCAGGTATGTGCGAGCTTGCAGGTATGTGCGAGCTTGCAGGTATGTGCGAGCTTGCAGGTATGTGCGAGCTTGCAGGTATGTGCGAGCTTGCAGGTATGTGCGAGCTTGCAGGTATGTGCGAGCTTGCAGGTATGTGCGAGCTTGCAGGTATGTGCGAGCTTGCAGGTATGTGCGAGCTTGCAGGTATGTGCGAGCTTGCAGGTATGTGCGAGCTTGCAGGTATGTGCGAGCTTGCAGGTATGTGCGAGCTTGCAGGTATGTGCGAGCTTGCAGGTATGTGCGAGCTTGCAGGTATGTGCGAGCTTGCAGGTATGTGCGAGCTTGCAGGTATGTGCGAGCTTGCAGGTATGTGCGAGCTTGCAGGTATGTGCGAGCTTGCAGGTATGTGCGAGCTTGCAGGTATGTGCGAGCTTGCAGGTATGTGCGAGCTTGCAGGTATGTGCGAGCTTGCAGGTATGTGCGAGCTTGCAGGTATGTGCGAGCTTGCAGGTATGTGCGAGCTTGCAGGTATGTGCGAGCTTGCAGGTATGTGCGAGCTTGCAGGTATGTGCGAGCTTGCAGGTATGTGCGAGCTTGCAGGTATGTGCGAGCTTGCAGGTATGTGCGAGCTTGCAGGTATGTGCGAGCTTGCAGGTATGTGCGAGCTTGCAGGTATGTGCGAGCTTGCAGGTATGTGCGAGCTTGCAGGTATGTGCGAGCTTGCAGGTATGTGCGAGCTTGCAGGTATGTGCGAGCTTGCAGGTATGTGCGAGCTTGCAGGTATGTGCGAGCTTGCAGGTATGTGCGAGCTTGCAGGTATGTGCGAGCTTGCAGGTATGTGCGAGCTTGCAGGTATGTGCGAGCTTGCAGGTATGTGCGAGCTTGCAGGTATGTGCGAGCTTGCAGGTATGTGCGAGCTTGCAGGTATGTGCGAGCTTGCAGGTATGTGCGAGCTTGCAGGTATGTGCGAGCTTGCAGGTATGTGCGAGCTTGCAGGTATGTGCGAGCTTGCAGGTATGTGCGAGCTTGCAGGTATGTGCGAGCTTGCAGGTATGTGCGAGCTTGCAGGTATGTGCGAGCTTGCAGGTATGTGCGAGCTTGCAGGTATGTGCGAGCTTGCAGGTATGTGCGAGCTTGCAGGTATGTGCGAGCTTGCAGGTATGTGCGAGCTTGCAGGTATGTGCGAGCTTGCAGGTATGTGCGAGCTTGCAGGTATGTGCGAGCTTGCAGGTATGTGCGAGCTTGCAGGTATGTGCGAGCTTGCAGGTATGTGCGAGCTTGCAGGTATGTGCGAGCTTGCAGGTATGTGCGAGCTTGCAGGTATGTGCGAGCTTGCAGGTATGTGCGAGCTTGCAGGTATGTGCGAGCTTGCAGGTATGTGCGAGCTTGCAGGTATGTGCGAGCTTGCAGGTATGTGCGAGCTTGCAGGTATGTGCGAGCTTGCAGGTATGTGCGAGCTTGCAGGTATGTGCGAGCTTGCAGGTATGTGCGAGCTTGCAGGTATGTGCGAGCTTGCAGGTATGTGCGAGCTTGCAGGTATGTGCGAGCTTGCAGGTATGTGCGAGCTTGCAGGTATGTGCGAGCTTGCAGGTATGTGCGAGCTTGCAGGTATGTGCGAGCTTGCAGGTATGTGCGAGCTTGCAGGTATGTGCGAGCTTGCAGGTATGTGCGAGCTTGCAGGTATGTGCGAGCTTGCAGGTATGTGCGAGCTTGCAGGTATGTGCGAGCTTGCAGGTATGTGCGAGCTTGCAGGTATGTGCGAGCTTGCAGGTATGTGCGAGCTTGCAGGTATGTGCGAGCTTGCAGGTATGTGCGAGCTTGCAGGTATGTGCGAGCTTGCAGGTATGTGCGAGCTTGCAGGTATGTGCGAGCTTGCAGGTATGTGCGAGCTTGCAGGTATGTGCGAGCTTGCAGGTATGTGCGAGCTTGCAGGTATGTGCGAGCTTGCAGGTATGTGCGAGCTTGCAGGTATGTGCGAGCTTGCAGGTATGTGCGAGCTTGCAGGTATGTGCGAGCTTGCAGGTATGTGCGAGCTTGCAGGTATGTGCGAGCTTGCAGGTATGTGCGAGCTTGCAGGTATGTGCGAGCTTGCAGGTATGTGCGAGCTTGCAGGTATGTGCGAGCTTGCAGGTATGTGCGAGCTTGCAGGTATGTGCGAGCTTGCAGGTATGTGCGAGCTTGCAGGTATGTGCGAGCTTGCAGGTATGTGCGAGCTTGCAGGTATGTGCGAGCTTGCAGGTATGTGCGAGCTTGCAGGTATGTGCGAGCTTGCAGGTATGTGCGAGCTTGCAGGTATGTGCGAGCTTGCAGGTATGTGCGAGCTTGCAGGTATGTGCGAGCTTGCAGGTATGTGCGAGCTTGCAGGTATGTGCGAGCTTGCAGGTATGTGCGAGCTTGCAGGTATGTGCGAGCTTGCAGGTATGTGCGAGCTTGCAGGTATGTGCGAGCTTGCAGGTATGTGCGAGCTTGCAGGTATGTGCGAGCTTGCAGGTATGTGCGAGCTTGCAGGTATGTGCGAGCTTGCAGGTATGTGCGAGCTTGCAGGTATGTGCGAGCTTGCAGGTATGTGCGAGCTTGCAGGTATGTGCGAGCTTGCAGGTATGTGCGAGCTTGCAGGTATGTGCGAGCTTGCAGGTATGTGCGAGCTTGCAGGTATGTGCGAGCTTGCAGGTATGTGCGAGCTTGCAGGTATGTGCGAGCTTGCAGGTATGTGCGAGCTTGCAGGTATGTGCGAGCTTGCAGGTATGTGCGAGCTTGCAGGTATGTGCGAGCTTGCAGGTATGTGCGAGCTTGCAGGTATGTGCGAGCTTGCAGGTATGTGCGAGCTTGCAGGTATGTGCGAGCTTGCAGGTATGTGCGAGCTTGCAGGTATGTGCGAGCTTGCAGGTATGTGCGAGCTTGCAGGTATGTGCGAGCTTGCAGGTATGTGCGAGCTTGCAGGTATGTGCGAGCTTGCAGGTATGTGCGAGCTTGCAGGTATGTGCGAGCTTGCAGGTATGTGCGAGCTTGCAGGTATGTGCGAGCTTGCAGGTATGTGCGAGCTTGCAGGTATGTGCGAGCTTGCAGGTATGTGCGAGCTTGCAGGTATGTGCGAGCTTGCAGGTATGTGCGAGCTTGCAGGTATGTGCGAGCTTGCAGGTATGTGCGAGCTTGCAGGTATGTGCGAGCTTGCAGGTATGTGCGAGCTTGCAGGTATGTGCGAGCTTGCAGGTATGTGCGAGCTTGCAGGTATGTGCGAGCTTGCAGGTATGTGCGAGCTTGCAGGTATGTGCGAGCTTGCAGGTATGTGCGAGCTTGCAGGTATGTGCGAGCTTGCAGGTATGTGCGAGCTTGCAGGTATGTGCGAGCTTGCAGGTATGTGCGAGCTTGCAGGTATGTGCGAGCTTGCAGGTATGTGCGAGCTTGCAGGTATGTGCGAGCTTGCAGGTATGTGCGAGCTTGCAGGTATGTGCGAGCTTGCAGGTATGTGCGAGCTTGCAGGTATGTGCGAGCTTGCAGGTATGTGCGAGCTTGCAGGTATGTGCGAGCTTGCAGGTATGTGCGAGCTTGCAGGTATGTGCGAGCTTGCAGGTATGTGCGAGCTTGCAGGTATGTGCGAGCTTGCAGGTATGTGCGAGCTTGCAGGTATGTGCGAGCTTGCAGGTATGTGCGAGCTTGCAGGTATGTGCGAGCTTGCAGGTATGTGCGAGCTTGCAGGTATGTGCGAGCTTGCAGGTATGTGCGAGCTTGCAGGTATGTGCGAGCTTGCAGGTATGTGCGAGCTTGCAGGTATGTGCGAGCTTGCAGGTATGTGCGAGCTTGCAGGTATGTGCGAGCTTGCAGGTATGTGCGAGCTTGCAGGTATGTGCGAGCTTGCAGGTATGTGCGAGCTTGCAGGTATGTGCGAGCTTGCAGGTATGTGCGAGCTTGCAGGTATGTGCGAGCTTGCAGGTATGTGCGAGCTTGCAGGTATGTGCGAGCTTGCAGGTATGTGCGAGCTTGCAGGTATGTGCGAGCTTGCAGGTATGTGCGAGCTTGCAGGTATGTGCGAGCTTGCAGGTATGTGCGAGCTTGCAGGTATGTGCGAGCTTGCAGGTATGTGCGAGCTTGCAGGTATGTGCGAGCTTGCAGGTATGTGCGAGCTTGCAGGTATGTGCGAGCTTGCAGGTATGTGCGAGCTTGCAGGTATGTGCGAGCTTGCAGGTATGTGCGAGCTTGCAGGTATGTGCGAGCTTGCAGGTATGTGCGAGCTTGCAGGTATGTGCGAGCTTGCAGGTATGTGCGAGCTTGCAGGTATGTGCGAGCTTGCAGGTATGTGCGAGCTTGCAGGTATGTGCGAGCTTGCAGGTATGTGCGAGCTTGCAGGTATGTGCGAGCTTGCAGGTATGTGCGAGCTTGCAGGTATGTGCGAGCTTGCAGGTATGTGCGAGCTTGCAGGTATGTGCGAGCTTGCAGGTATGTGCGAGCTTGCAGGTATGTGCGAGCTTGCAGGTATGTGCGAGCTTGCAGGTATGTGCGAGCTTGCAGGTATGTGCGAGCTTGCAGGTATGTGCGAGCTTGCAGGTATGTGCGAGCTTGCAGGTATGTGCGAGCTTGCAGGTATGTGCGAGCTTGCAGGTATGTGCGAGCTTGCAGGTATGTGCGAGCTTGCAGGTATGTGCGAGCTTGCAGGTATGTGCGAGCTTGCAGGTATGTGCGAGCTTGCAGGTATGTGCGAGCTTGCAGGTATGTGCGAGCTTGCAGGTATGTGCGAGCTTGCAGGTATGTGCGAGCTTGCAGGTATGTGCGAGCTTGCAGGTATGTGCGAGCTTGCAGGTATGTGCGAGCTTGCAGGTATGTGCGAGCTTGCAGGTATGTGCGAGCTTGCAGGTATGTGCGAGCTTGCAGGTATGTGCGAGCTTGCAGGTATGTGCGAGCTTGCAGGGCCCAGTGGCAGAGGGTGGTGAGTTTGACAGGTTCAGGATATTGGTGTGCAGGCGGATGTGAGGAGCCACAGCATCGTGATTCGCACGCGTGAACTCGCAGCTATGTGTGAGCTTGGAACCGACTGGAAAGTCACCTCGTTTTGGAGTCGATGCAGAAGGGGCTGTTGAATCGGACTTGAGTGAATGTGTTAAATGCCCACCCTCCTTTTCACCCTCCCACCACCCCACGCCATTCCTCTATCCCGCCTACCCCCTTCCCCCGGCCGTCACCCTTTGTCCGCACATGCAGCCTGCCTCCAGGCCAATCCGAAGCAGCCCTGACGGTGTATCAGCGGATGCTCAAGGCGGGGTGCAAGCCCAACACCTTCACTCTGACTTCATCCCATCCCATGCAATCTTGTGCTGCGCCGTCCATCCCGGTTTCCCCCTCGTCCTCCCCCCACCAGGCCAATCCGAAGCGGCTTTGACGGTGTATCAGCGGATGCTCAACGCAGGGTGCGAGCCCAACACCTTCACCCTGGCGTAGTGAGGTGCATTTTGAGGCGCCTCAAAAAGCGAGCCCAACATCTTCACCCTGGCGTCATGCCATGCCCACCCTCCTCTCCCTCCCAACCCCCGTTTCCCTTCCTCCATCCTTCCCACCTCCTCCTCCAACCTTCCCCACCCTCTCCTCCCTCTTCCAGGTCAATCCGAAGCAGCCTTGACAGTGTTTCAAAGGATGCTCAGGGCGGGGTGCAGCAAACCCAGTACCTTCACTCTGCTCTGCAGTCGTACCAATCCCCTGATAATCTCTCCTGTCTTATCCACCCCAACCCCCCTCGTCTTCCCCCTTAGGCCAATCCGAAGCAGCCCTGACAGTGTATCAGCGGATGCTCAAGGCGGGGTGCAAGCCCAACACCTTCACTCTGGCCTCACTCATCCGCATTCTCGGCAAAACCAAGGACTGGCAAGGAGCAGTTAAGTTTTTTGAGGTGAGGAAATGGGAGGAGGGTGTGTCGGGGGGAGTGTGGGGGGAGGGTAATTGGCTTGCTCAACTTGCTTCTGCTTGCTTCCTTGTACTCCTTCCATTTTCCGACTTCGGTTTCCCGTCGTGCCTAATTTGATCTCACCTCTTCCTTGCTCTGCCCGTTTTCTTCTACGGATGCAGGATGCGAGATCTTCCAGCATCCCTCTTAATGCGCACCTCTTTAACGCGTTACTAGACGCGCTGCTGCACAACAGGCAGGTGGCTGCAGCGCGCTTATATCGAGTACAGATGAGACGGTATGGAGTGGTGGAGGATGCAAACACTCAGGCGATTCTGAAACGAGCGGAGGAGAGGGAGGTGGGGTGGGATGCGGAGTGGGAGGAGGAGGTGAGGGAGAGGGAGAGGGAGATGGAGAAGGAGAAATCGAAGGAGAGGGAGAGGGAGAGAGAGGAGAGGGTGAGAGGAGAGAGGGAGCTTGAGAAGGTGGATGATGGAAGGGAGGAGAGTGAGGAGGTTGAACGGGGGGATGCAAGTGGAAATTGGGAAAATGGGGATCAAGACTGGAGGCTAGGAAAGCTGTAAGGTATCGAGCTTTGCATACCGTAGTAGTGCATTTGGTAGCAGTTGGGGTAGTGGAGGTTGTCGGGAGAGGAAGGATAAAGGAGGGGTAGGTGGCGGGTGGATGGTGTTTTTAGTTTTTTATGCCTTTCTGGTTATGTGCAGCCATTGAGGTGGCAGGTGAAGTCCCATCTAATCATGCCTCTTTCGAAATGTACCGTCCTCTTTCCACTATTTTCTGTAACAGTTGCCACCTCATCAGCAAAACACGTTCGCTATTGAATCTTCTTCTGTACGTACGCCATTCGTGCCAGACCTGTCATGTCAGCTTTCATCCTGACGTGCCAGGTCATCATCAGCAAATCTGGATCTACGGATAAGCTTGATTTGATCAGCTTGATATGATTGCCAGGTTGTACTGTCAGGGCTCAGAGAACACACCTTGACCAGACAGCTCCAGCGAGTGAACCTTGCGAAATTTCTCCTTGCCGTTGTGGCGAGATTTTCCACCTTTCGCAAGATTCCTCCCACCCCACCCCACCCATCGTAGATACCATCCCCTTGCCCAAACCGCCAAGCAATCAATCTACTGGCGCTACCTTGGAAATTGGGATGCAGAGAGTCGTTCATGGTCGCAGAGTTCGACCACGTGTAGTCGTATTCGTCGCAGAAATCGCAGCACACCACAGCTACCAATCGTCAATGAATGGTGAGAAGCGAGGTGGTCAGAACCTCTGACGAGTGAAATCAAACTCGCGATTATGGACAATTTCGCGACATGTAACCCGGCTGGCAAGATTCGTTCTGAAGATGTTGGTTGGATGCTGATTGTCCTTCGCGTGGGCCTGATGCTCACCGCTTCAGCCTAAAAGAGCAATCATTCCTAGCTTTCTTCATTCTTCCTTTCTCACCCCAAACCGCTTCCTTAGTAGCTGACAGGCAAGCAATGGCGGTGATTGCCGTAACGTTTGTAGTGCATTTGTAGTTCGAGCCTGGTGAATGTACTCTAGAATGCCAGCATGTCTGGTTTAGGCGACTTTGTAACGTCTTTTTATCATAGCTTGCTTATCCCACTGGGGTGCATAAACTCGGGTGCATAGCATGCGCCTGTCAACCCTAATGCAAAGATCCATTGAATTTGTCTTTTTCATTCCAGGAGTTAGCACGCGCTATCCTAAATCTTAATGTGTATCGCCGAACAGAATCTTGATCAGCCTGATGTTGTTTCGACGGCGGCGACCATGCACGGCTGGACGAATGCCGTGCGGCGGGCTGGCGTTCGGGATTCGTTAGCGCCGTAGCGCCGCTCGGCCTGGCCTTTGTATTTCGATAGAGTCGTCCATCCAACTCTTTCATAGAAAGGGATGCGTCAGCATTGACGTCACAGATGTGGTGTGATGGGTACGAAATTTTCTCCCGGAGTCTATGTCATTACTAAGCATTGGTCGCAGCCGCACGAATGGTCCACATCGTGTTTTCCTTCCGTTAGTGCCCCCGCCAGCAGCAACAGTACTGCCAGATCCCAAGGCCTGGACCCGAACGAGAGGACATAAATCGCGTATATGATACATGATCATGATACTGTAGATGTACAGTTTGGGAGCAGCAGCAGCGTCGCCGACTTCGCGCAACGCGGCTGCTTTCACGGCGATTACTTCCGCCGACACTGATCGTCACGTCTGCTACTACTTCAACCAGCAGTGGCGACCGTTCCTGGATCATTCTTCAGCCGTATCCTCTAGCTGCTTACGAGAGTGTCTACTGTAAGTACTGTCATACAGTAATACTGGCCAGTCCTAGTCTTACGGGGTTTAATCCCTTTTCTTTACCTTTACCTTTGCCTAGTCTTACGGGGTTCTCGTGACTAGGGGCCGTACTGCCGCACTATCAATGGAGCTCTCGAATGTTTCGCTGCTGCCTTTCCTTGACTTGCAGTGCTCGTCCGAGTGCTCTGCAGACTGTGACGGAATACACATCTCCTGGAAGGCGCAGGAACCTGCGGGGGAAAAGATACAGCAAACCGTGGGAGCAGCCGCCAACGGCGGCTGGGAGCCAGAGAGTGGGAGCAGCGATTATGCCGCTGCTCCATTCCCGGGGGGCTCTGGGTGGGACCCAGCTGGTGGGAGCAGCAGCAATTGCTCTCCATTGCCGGGAGACTGGACGGACGAACGAATTGTGACGTCCAACTACACATGCTGCCTTCCAGTAATTCCCTGCAGCACGAGCAGCATGGCTACTACGGTCTCAGAGTCAGGGCTCAGTGCTTCATTCAAGGTGGAAGCCGCGCCAGATCATGATAACTTATTGAATGCCTGGCCGGCAGATGTCATGGATTCGATTTTTGAGTCCGAAACGCTCCTTGTGGGAGCCATGACAGATGTCAGCATCTTACAAGGCGGAGGACACGTCAGCATACTGACTCAGCCTTCACTGACACAGGTGGCGGCAGCAGCTGCTATTTCAGCGCCTTATTCGGTGGTAAAGACTTCAGCTGTGGCTGCATTGCCCGTCTGTGAAGCGCCTCAACGATCTATGGCAGCGCCGTCTGCAGCCCATCATCAGATCCACTCGGCTGCTGCCGCTGCTGTTGCCGCTCCTGCTGCATTGCCTGTCACTGTGCGCAGCACGACTTCTCAGTCTTTTTCTCTCCAACAAGAAGCGCCACTATCGCTGGGATCAGCACAAGCAACACTGACACAATCATCAAACTGCAGCACACGGGACGGAACCCTCGCAGCAACCCGAGAGGGAACTCTTGCAGCAACCCGAGAGGGAACCCTGTACGACATGATTGTGTCGGGAAGATTCAAGCGCAAGGGTTCTGCCAGCTGGTGGGCCGATGACTCCATTGCTGAGGCTCCAGCCATGCAGGCTTGGAAAAAGAAGTGTGGGTTGGGTGGTGCTGAACTGGGTTACAACCGCACTAACAGCAGCAGTACCGGTGCAGGCTCACTCAGTGCAGGTGGTCAATGTGCTGCTGTCGGTTTATATCTTCCCAGAAAGAAAGCGGATGTTTCTGCTCCGATCCCTGCCGTTGGACCCACTGTCGGCATGATCAGCTCTGTTGCCATGAGCCCTCCACCTGCTGTTGGGTCTGAATCGGCTCCTCGAATATCACAAGAGGCTGCTCAGCGAGCATCTGCTTCACATCATGTGCAATCTGCAAAGCCGAATGGGAGGGACCAAGCGGATGACAACGGGCTGGGTCTGGATCGGCCGCCTATTCAACCACGAAGTGCCACGGAGAAGCTTAGAAGGCATCGGATCAGGTAATTGCAGCGTCGTGCAGACCTGTTCATCGACTGGTTTGACAAAGATTAACACGGTACTTGTATGCACTGCTGCCTTTTGAATTCTGCAGTGCTGGATTTAAGCGGCTTGAAAAGGCAATCCCTCCCTCGTGGATGCGCCAGAAGCACTCGTCGAAGCTGTTGTCTCACACGGACATGGCTTCGCTGTTAGATGCCGCAGTGGACTTTATAAGGGAGCTGGAGGTGAGGAGAACCCAATGGCCATTTTCAGCAACTCAGTTGAACATCATATTTATATTTTCTCGTTTTTGTTCTCTTTTTTTTTTACCTAAGAATTCATGTGCATGACTATGATGTGCAGGACCAAACGGCCCGACTTTCACAAGCTCTATGTCGGCAAGTGTCAGTGCATCAACCTCGATGATTAGGGAAGATGGCTGTAACTGTAACTTCGGTTGTAGTGGATCTGAAGCTCTGAGTGCTAGGAGCGGCAAAGGGCATGGAGAGGCATGAAGAGACTATGTGTTCAGTGTCAATGCACACCATTAATAACCATTTAGCAGGGTGTAAGCTTGAACTGTAATACGTAATACCCTAGTAAGGCATGAAGAGACCGTTTCATAGCGTGAAGCACCTACGGTACTCTAACCTTATCAGACGAATTTTCTCGCTAGCGAGAAACAGGGTGCACCTTGAACCTGAGCGAAGGCTTTGCATCTCATGGCGAAGTTCACGAGATTTTTCTACCATTGCCGCGAGTTTGCTGCGTATGGTCTGTCGCCACGAAACTGCACAGAATAGGAGGGAGAAACGGATTGGGCTCCCTCTATACAGCCTTTCACCGCTCTATTACCTTTTTTATAATCCCAAAACTGCAAATGAACCTCTCTGTAACTTGAAGAGCCTTCATCCGTTGCCATACAGTACCCCGTTGTTTTAGTAGCGTCTCATCTCAACTCAACACAAGCCCTTCTGCCCTACATTAAAAATGCCAGTTTAGCATATCTATGAAAAGATATGGAGGCACAGTTGCCAGTTAATTCCCTAACGCCTATGATTCCTTACCTTGCCGTGTCAGTAAACGCAGGACCTCGAACACGCTCTTTGCACGCGCTTTGTACGGCCGGACCGCATGCGCATCAATGAATGTGTTCGCTTTTCGCGTGAACATTCATCCTGATTTGTCGACCACAGTACTCTTCTGAAACAAAATTGCGGGGGAGGGGGGAAACAAAATTGCGGGGGAGGGGGGAAACGAATTTCGACGGGGAGGGGGAAATGAAATTGCGGGGGCGTGGGGAAACGAAATTGCGGGGGAGGGGGGAAACGAATTTCGACTTGAAGGTTGAAAGCACACCTCGTAACCCACTCAGTCAAGGGATAACCTTTGATGCACATTCAGCTTCTTGGGATTTGGCATCATTGAAACCGTAGGGTGCTGTTGGTGAGAAGAGCAGAAATAAGACATGCCGAGTCGAGTTGGACGGCTAGCAAGTACATCCTTGCACGGTCGCACCGTCGATTCGGTCCGTTGTTACTAGTCGCTCAACGCATCTGTGAACTGAAATATCCCACATGTTTCTTGAAGCGGCTGAGTAGGCGTGTTGGACAGAACCTCAGGTGCAGGTACAACAGGTGACACGTGGCATTACGTCATAGCACGCGACGAGGCACAGAACGGGGACGAGCGACGCTGGATGGGATTACGCATCTCGATCCTCCAGTTCAATCCTAGTTCATTGATTGGCTCTCGAGTCGCATCATACCTGTGGTCTTTCGCATGCATCATGTTACCACTGTCATGCGTTCGCCGCGGCAGGATGCTGCTTGTGACACGTTTTTGCAGGGTGGTTTTTCCGAGGGTTCTCCGAAGCGGCGCTTCAGATCTGACGCCGCGTCGTTCTCATAATCTCAAGGGGTACTGCGATTTACAAAGGTCTCATTGGGAATCCAGGCGTTACCAGAAGTTCAGCCTGGTACAACAATCCCCATCCCATCCCATCCCATCCAATCCACCAGAATCGCCTTTTCAGTTGCTCAAGAGAAATCTTCCCTCCCTCCAAGGCACTGCAGTCTGTGCCACTGGAATCAACGTCACCTCCAAGGGTCTGGATCGCAACCTTGTCGCTGTTAGCACGCCGGTCGCTGCGTGAAAGACGTGAAGCTCGTTGAGAACCCGTTACCTTTGCAAGACAGCTGAAGTTTGGACTCAGACCCGTTACCCTAATAGCGTCTATGTCTGAGGCGCCCAAAAAAGCAGTTCGGGCTCAAGTCAAACAAACGTTTTCAACCCGTGGGAGGTCGGTGCCTGTATCACTGTGATACAACTAGGTGACACTACAACCACCTGAGGTGTTTTCTGATCGTTCTCCGCGAGCATCTTGACACAACGCCACGTCACCCTGCCACGGGTTGGTTGCTGCATCCACTGTTGCTACTACTACGGCGATTCGGGCGATGGACCGTGTTAGTGGATGGAGATTGCCGCCACTTGGTGCGGACCAGCAACTTGGTGCGGACAAGCAACTTGGTGCGGATCAGCAAGGTACGGAGAGCCTGGAGGACACTCTCTTTGCTCTGCTGGGATTCGAACCCGCTCACGCCGGTACTGCTGCAACCATGAACGGTCTGCCTGACCCCCCTCCTTCAACGTGGCCTGATCGGTCCGAGCTGCTCAACGGCGATAGCTGTGGTATTCCACTTCCTGGTGCGGACTCGGGAATGAAATTTCCCCCTTCGGTTTGCCACGTTCGACCCAACCCACCTCCTCAGGCAACCGCCATCGCGGTTGGACGTGTAACAGCTGGTGCTGGTGCCACCCCTGCACCTGCTGCTGCTCCCCGAATGTCACAAAATCACCCAGCACGCTCGGACCTAACCGCTCCAGTGTACCCCACTCAGTCTATTCATGCCATGCGGCCCAGCAATGCTGCTTCCACCAGCTCTGCACCTGCTGCTGCTCCCAGAGATCCAAGAAATGCAGCACACTCGGACCTTGTGGCTCCACCCCAACCCACTCAACCTGCTCATGCCATCACGATGGCCGGCTATGCGGCTCTCATCAACCCTGCACCTGCTGCTGCTGCTGCTGCTGCTGCTGCTGCTGCTGCTGCTGCTGCTGCTGCTGCTGCTGCTGCTGCTGCTGCTGCTGCTGCTGCTGCTGCTGCTGCTGCTGCTGCTGCTGCTGCTGCCGCTGCTGCTCCCAGAGTGTCAGCATCTACAGCACAACCAGGCCCCATCACTCCACCCTCACCTTCTCAGCTGCACAGCAGCTCCACCAGCTGTGTTGCTCCCACCAGCTCTCCGCCAGTTTCCTGTGCCTCTGTCCCCCAAGTCACAAGAAACGAAGCATCCTCGGTACATCAAATCAGTGCTCCGAGCCATGCGAGGCTCGGTGTAGGCGCGGGAAGGCCGCCTATTGGCCGCAGAAGTGCCACGGAGAAGCGCAGACGACACCGGGTCAGGTAGCACTCTCTCTACCGTGGCACTCGTTGTGTGAATGTGTATGTGCAATCATGCAATCGCTGCGCTCGTTGCGAGTATTGCTGTTCTCTCCTCTTGTTCTGCTTACCTTCGCTGTTCTGCCAGTTGTTGGAAACAAGTCCCTGTCACTTCCACCTTCCTGTCTTTACATGTAGGGATGGGTTCAAGCAGTTGGAGAAGGCTATTCCTGCTTTATGGCTGCGACGAAAGTGTGCGTCGAACTTGGCGTTTCGCACTGATATTGCTTCGCTGCTGCACGCTGCAGTGGATTTTATAGAGGAGCTGGAGGTGAGTGGTCAAGGCGTTCTCCTAGTGAGATGGAATGGCCGATGTTGCCTTGTATGTCTTTCCGTGTTCTGAGATTCTTTTACCTGTCTTGAGTTTGTCTGCAGGAACAGAAGGCTCAGCTATCATGAGCATGTTTCCAGAATGTGAGTACATATCAGATGAAGTGAAAGCAATACCGGATTCACAGCTCTCAGGCGGTGACAGTGAAGGCTGTTAAAGTGCTTGCCAATTGGATGGGAATGATGTAAAGGCAGTCTCTCACTGTTTTGCAGAAACTACTGCACCGGTAGTTTCGCTTTGTTAGCAACCAAGCACTGTGCATTTTTTTAAATCATATTTTGTATTTCAGATTGACTCCTGCCGGTATCTGTTGACTAAGTTTCATTGCAAAAGCTTCTAGGTGCTTGAATATATATATATATATATGTATATATATTGTTTTGTAGTTTTGAATAGAGCACATTGTGACAATATATGATGAAAATGTATGACGGAGAAGCATTGAGTTTGTAGGTTGTGCGGGATTGCACTTGCTGCGGTAGGTTGAGTATAGAAATTGCAGTTTGGTTGCTAAAAGATGTATACCATTGTCTGTTTGTAGCTAAGACAAGTGCGATGTGTATGAGCGAGTCCGATTATCAATCTGCTCAGAGGGGCCAGTTTGTTATTAGCGAGTCCGATCAACAAACTGCTCAAGTGGCGCCGCATTGCAAACAATCTGCAGCAAGGAACCTCTGGTCCCAGCTCAGCGAGAGAATTTCTCCAGACCCGGAAACGGTGATTTGCCGTTGCACACGTGGCCTCGAATTGCTACCGTGGTCGGACAATTCGATGATAATTGCTCGAGTGGTCTTGCCAGAGGTTTCCTCTGGCTTTTTTTTTTATCCGGCACATTACCCAAAACCGGTTTTTAGCCCTGAAATTCTTACGTCGAACGTGTCTCTTCCCGCGAAATCGTGGCGTACTATTTTCCGCCCGAAATTTTCGGCTGGGTGACGTGCGCGAGGGCGGCCACGTCACCGTTCGAATACACGACAATAATCAACACGATCATCTTGGGCGAACAGTCGCGCTCATTTTCGGTCCATATCGTAACCAATCCGCGCATAGTTATATGATTCCCCGATCATCTACCGAATTGCACGGATGTCAGTACGCGCGACCAATTACAGAGTGCGTCTGATTGGTCGACTTTATGCGCGGGGCCTTTTCTGACCTTGCGCGTCCAATCAGGCGCGCTCATATAGGGTCACGCCCATATGAGATCGAACTACTGGAAATTGAATATTTTTTTAAACTGACGAATCCTACAAAAGGTAGACACGCCGAAACAAAACCTCTGGCCAATTAGAGTCAAATTGAAACGCTCAGTCAAGATCCCGCGCATTTTTTTAAAAAGTGATGCAACACACCTCACACACCATATTCTCTCGTCGTTTTAGGGTTGACATCCTACTTTGTTCCCGTATCTCTTCTAGGAGGTAATTCAGTTAGAAAGTTTCTACTAGCCGGAATGGGTTCATCATCTAATACTACTAACACAGAGTACGACTCAGGCGACGAAGATACGGAGTTTTGTTTTGTTGGCACTGGAGAGCCCAAGCAGAGTGATATGTACCGTGCGTTGCTCCGAAATATGACGGATGAAGATAATCACTCGCCACCATTAGTGATAAACGATCGAGCCCCGTTGTGTGAAGGTCAACTCTACTCCTCGAAGAAATTTCTGTACGAGGCGTTGGAAGATTATTCGGTAGCCCACAACTTCGGTTTTAGGGTTTCAAAGAGTAGGCCAAACAGAGCCCGCGCTATATGCATGAGTCACCATGAGCGACGTAAACCAGCTTGCAAGTGGCGGTGTGAGTACTCAACTGACGGAGCGGGTGGGTTTTGGCGTGTTGATAAACTGTCCGCCCCAACCTCTCATTGTTGCTCACCCGTTGATCGGGACCGCTACGTGAACCACACTACAAATAAAGTAGCTTATCTACAGCGTCATCATGGGAACCTTGTCCACGCCGCTCCACATCACCCTCCCGGGACTTACAAGGATCAGATTGCGTCGACCGGCGGTCCTGACATCAATTATCATCAATCTTGGAGGTAAGTATTATAGCATTCTATTGTGGTTCCCAACCTTCCTTCTCATCCGTGTACCATCAAGAAATGTTCATGATTACCCAAACAATGTCCCTCATGTTCGTGCTACATGCCTATACTGTCTTGCACGTTGTCACCATGTTAAAAGTACGAGCAGAAAGTTTAGAAGCAGAAAGGAGGGTTTGCACTAGCAGCAGTTGGCATACATATAGGAAACCCTAATTAGGTTGTACTCGCTATAGAGTACCCCACTGCAGGCTAGACAATTATAACATTTTGACACACCCCATAGCCAAAGTGGGGTGTAATCAGTAGAGCAAGCAGTCATAGAGCAGGTTCACATGCACAAGTAAAGCTAGAGGCAGTCGCAGAGGGCAAGTGAGGAGGAGGAGTGACTGTGAGAGGAGAGGAGATGGGAGGCGACGGTGGAAGCTGCAGACACACAGGAGTGGCTGGCTCAGTGGCTACCGAAGCAATGGCCCGGACTACAGGAGTAACTGGCTCCGCGGAGATTGTAGCCTCCTGACAGGAGCAACTGACCCACAGGCGACTGGCGACTACCGGAGATTGTAGCCTCCGGACTACTGGCGCTGCTGGCGACACGACTGCTGCCTCCGCTCAACTTCCCCCAACTGTCCCACCCCCTTTTACACACCCCTTGCTGCACCACTAGCTCCACTCTCACGTCACCCCCCTAGCACCACTCCTTCGGCTCCCACACACCCACCCCCCTGAGCGGTAGCTGCAGCAGCGGGAGACGGAGGAGGAGGAGGAGTAGGGGACGGGGCACACAACCGGCACCCCCTCAACCGCCACCCCCACACTCCCCACCCCCAAACCCTAAAACGGGTGGCACGGGGTAGGAGCGTGGGGGAAGGCGCGCGGCCCCCAGGGCGCCACCATGGGGCAGCAAGGGGCCGCGCGCAGCCCCTTAGGGCGCCGCGACGGGGCAGCGGGAGGGGTCGCGCGCGGCTCCCCAGGGCAGAGCGACGGGGAATCGGGGGCCGCGCGCGGCTCCCCAGAGCGTCGCGACGTGACGACGCGAACGGGGGGGGGGACGCGCGGCCCCCGTGGCGCCACGACGGGCGACAGAAGGGGGGGGACGCGCGGCCCCCTAGGCGCCTCGACGGGCGACGGGATGGGGGGGACGCGCGGCCCCCGCGACGCCACGACGGGCGACGGGAGAGGGCGCCACGAATGGCGACGGGATGGCGGGGGGGGGGCGCGCGCGGATCCACCGTGTAGAAAACCGCCGCGCGCCCCGAGCGCACGGCAGGAAGAAGACGGCGCGCGCCCGAGGCGCACGAGAAGCAGAACAGCATCGGAAGCAGTTAGGTGGTGGGCCCACCCACAGGCTCAAGGAAAAGATGTTGAAGGAGCGGTTTGGAGATTGGAAAACATCGTTTCGTTACATCCCTCGCCTGTTGGAACGCTTCAGGGTGATTGACCCTGAATCAACGCTCGACCTTGTGACGAAGGGTCACCCTTTCTTCCGTGCTTTTGCCGCCCCTTCGGCATCAAAAACTGCCCTAAGGTAGGATGGCAATAACCAGCTTGTTTCACTCGCGTACGGCCTATGCGAGAGTGAGAATAAGGACAGTTGGAAGTGGTTTTGTGAGAACTTGTTGAAGCATGTTCCATCTTGGCCAACCACACAGAATGCCTCCCTTATTAGTGACCGTGACAAGGGGTTGATTCCTGCTGTTAAAGAAGTGTTCCCATCCGAGCTTCCCCACTACTTTTGCAGCTGGCATTTGGAGCAAAATGTGCTAAAGTTTGGGCCCAACGCCTCGGACCTCTTCAAGAAGCTCGCCAACTGCCGCACCAAGGCGAAGTTTGGGAAACTCGTGAGGAGATGCCGGCAGCAGTGCGCCGCAATGGCTAACTATCTTTTCGGGGTTGAAGAAGGTCGTGCGCAACAGACCGGTGGCCGACGCAGAACCAACCGACGAGCTAGCGTGCCAGAGTCAGGAGATGAGTTAAGGAGCATGAATAGTGCCGCAAAACAGGCAAGAAAGGCGAGGATGGAGTTGCGGCGGCAAAGACGACGTCAAAGCAGGGGAGAGCAGCAGCAAACAATGACGGCAGATGATACCACTACCCGCACCTTTCCCTCCATGCCTCCTTCGCCGGCTGCCGACATTGTCGATTCATAGCTCAAGAGACCGCACCAACATCTGAGCTCCCTTCGTTCGCAGGCGATAACCAAGGAGATCAGCCGACACCTTTGGACGATAATCAACCGGAAACAGATGCCACACCAGAAGTGTTCAATGACCAGTTCGAGGTGGAGGACGGGAGTCAGATCAGCTGCGGGGAGGATTCCGGGGATGAGGAGGGTACGGATATTGGCCAGTGCTCACATCCCACCACTACGCCGACAGATCCAACGCTATCCAACGCAGCTGCGCAACAAGCGGCCAAGATGCGGCAACGGCGGAAGGAGATTCTTAGAGGGAAACGGGATGCTAGGGTTGGAAGGGCCAGGGTCTTCGACAACAGGGCAACAACCGACCGTCAGTTGCCAACGCAAGAGAGCCAAACACAACGTCCTCCAACACTTCAGCACCGTGTTCCCCCCCCCCATGGGTCGGCGCAACGAAGCAGCACGAAGTGCGGACGTCACCGGCGATCCAGAGACGGGGTTGGGTGGGTTGGGCAATGCGGATGTTCAGCAAGTGGCTGGGGACCAGATGGAGGAAGGTGCGGGTATAATTGTTCGCACGGGACAGGATGGCCCCAGGTACAAGAGGAAAAATAAGATTACAGTCTTCATCAAGCAATGGGCACGGTGTTATGCCCCTACATGCCGTTTTGGTATCTACAGCAGCCAAATGGTGGAGTCCATAAACAACGCTATCAAGAAGATCCGTATTCTGCCCGTGTCGTACGTAATGGCGGGCATGTGGGATTGGATGGCAAAGATCTACTCGGATGGACAGCGGAGATCTTTAAACTGGCACCATACATTGACGGTCGAGGGTGAGAAGCGGTTTGATCTGAAGAAGAACCGAAGCCGTGGTTACAGGGTCACACGCAACGGTCCAAGCAATGCAAAGGTTCGAAACAAGGGGTCCCTGCTGGATCCACGTCCTTTATCCTTCAACAATGATGTCGGAGAGAGATTGTGCGAATGCAAAAACTGGCAGGAGTATCGGTTCCCATGCTCACATGCATTTGCACACTTACGGGAGAGGGGAATGGATCCTATACCCTTGATTTCCAGGTATTGGAAGGCCGACAACTGGAGAAGGACTTACGGGTCTCTCATTCCGTATTCGTGCGTAGACACGGTTATTGCTGAGAACGAGCCAGTTGAGGAGGGAGTTTGTGATCCTCCTATTTTTGTGCAGAGAGGAGCAGGGCGGCCACAATCAAACCGAAGGCGTGAAGCCCCTAAACGGAGATACAAGTGTGGCGACTGTGGCTCGACGGAGCATACCAGGAAGAAATGTAAGGGGAAATATGGGGGGTCAGGGGTGTATCACGTAGCAAACTAGTGGTACGGGGATAGTTTGATTGCTGACGATTAACTACTGCATAAGAATCTTAGGGAATGTGGTACGTTGCATGCTCTTTGCTACTAGGAGAAACGGAGCAACGACTTGCCATTAGTTGAAGATATATGAAACTCCATATGACCGGCCATAAACATTACTGCCCTTGACCAGTAGTACGCACACGCGCAATCCACCGGTCGTATTCACACGAGCGAATGACGCGCGCATATGACCGGTCATATGTGCACGCGCATATGACCGGTCATATACTCACGTGCACAAGACAGGTAGTTAACGGACGAGCATATGACCGGACCACTAGCCGGATTTAGGGTACGATGTTACCACGCGAGCCTAACGTTAAGTGCCAAGGACGGATACAGATTAGTTTAACAATGTTGACAAACATTAATAGAAACTGTGCGATTTGAGGTCTACTTTCCAGCATATGATTTTGTATCGCGAAATTTGGTTCACGACAATAAGGAAATTGCGCATCTGTGCATCGGAATGGACATATTGTATACACGGATGAAACATAGTTTTAGTGGAGTGTAAGTAGCAAGATGTAATAAGAACCTGATAGTCGTTAATCAAGTGTCCCTCACATCAAAACACCACAACCCTAAACATACTACCACCCGGGACAGCCCATGTAACACACACATGTGTAATAGAAAATCCTTTAGTTACAATACTGTCAAGAACGGAATGGTGGTTCGACTAATGTTGGTTGGGGTACGTAAACCTAACCCAGACTGTTATACCCCATGTAACAACCCTCAGGTAAAAACATATCATGTGACGATACCGTTGACTTATCCACACTTCCATTTTTTGCCATATTCAACTAAGAACCTTTTGTGATAACAATGGATTATATATTTTAGTAACATCATAAATTGGACCCACCCCAATCACACGAACATGGTATGCATCAACCGTGCTAAAAACCATCCACATTTGTGTAAACGCACTGTATTGGTTGCAAAACAGATTTGCATCCACGAATGGTAGCAGCTTTGATAGTTGTTGGTGTCACGAACACGACCTGACCGTCTATGAGTGACATACACAACCTACACACTCGTGTAGGTGTATCTACCGTTATTAGAGTTAGGGACACATGCATTTTCTTCAAAAGGCCCCTTAAAAAAGATATGCTCAATATCATGCGCTGCATATTGGTGAGTTACCACTGGTAACGATAACCCCTGGGGTTGTTTGTCTAATAATCGAAAACATTTTCACACCAAACGAGTTTTGAAGAGTCCACGTTGCTTGGATGTTGCGCATTTTGAAACTAATGTTTTATGTTTCAAAAACATTGTCGTTGTGCAAAATTAAATGCAGTTTATTTGAGTTACAAGTATTGTACATACACAATATGTATCGTTAACCGGCCATAAAAGGCGCGCTGACGCACCTTTTTAAATAGCGTATGGCGCTTTATGACCGGCCATATAAGGCGTGCATAAGACCGGTCATGCACGAATGCGCATTTCACTGGTCGTATTGCACGCGTAATTGACCGGTCAATTACCGGGTGAATCTTATTGGTCGAAGATACTGTCGGAAATGGTTGGCAATCCAACCCTTGTATGGACTTCTGAAGATATGCGTGTTCACTCTGTCTCGGGGTCCAACAGTCTGACATTTGGGCTCGCACGTAACAGCGCAACCATGAGTTTCGTGCCTCTTGTTATTTTCGCGAGTTGAAAATAACACATTCGTACATATCAATATCGCACACGAAATCGAGTTACCATCGATTCGAACGCGAGCTACAGAAATGATCCGCATGCGTTTAGCTAACCTGAACCACGGCGTGTTTCACCCAATCAATTACAAGCTGATTGTGTTCCTATCTCTGAGTCACACAGCACATAAAATTAGGGTTCGCGTTATAGTAACGCTACTATAGCTCCTAGGTCCTAGTCCGGGACAGCTCTACCTAGCATCACCTCGTAATTACATATCACAGCTGCGGACGGCGCGTTGCATATCGTTACTATGACAGGTCGCGCCGCTCGAGGTAGGAAGGCCGCGAAGAACACCCGTGATGACACACCGGCGGGGAAACTCCCACGAAAACGGGAAAATGCGTCACAACCCGACGTAGAGTCAGGCGAGGATGACGGGCGTCGTCGAAGCGATAGGCTGAAGTTGGCGCATGCACACGATTCGTCTACCAAAGAGCAGTGCGCCACGACTCTTGAGCCGGTGGTATTGAATAAGGTAGCCCCCCACGATTACGGCGTGGAGCCCCCGTTTGACTCACCGTTGGTACACTCTCCGCCGGATGACCTTATCGCAAAAATCACGGCAGATGTTAAAATCCCGTATCTAGATACTCATGAGGAGACTAGAGCTACTGCGGCCAAGTTAACGCATCCATTATTTCCCACCAATGCGATTCGTGATCATCACGGAATGACGGCAATTATTTCGTTGGCCGACGCGCTGCACATCACCGACAAACAGCCGATCACGCAGCCTTTGATAGATTTTCATAACATGTGAGTATCATACCGCGGACATGATGTATCAGTTGCTTGAGTTGTTGGGCCATTATCACGATGGCTGGTCTTGTTGCCATACCCGTGTCTTTTGATTCTAACGCAAACGACTCCCTCTTGCTTTTGACCTATTTAATGGATGTCTAAACGCAGAGTGCTCAACATCCGCCGGCCCAAGTTGAGCAACGGCAAGACGTGGCTCGCGTTGGACAGTCAGAGTTACGACTACTTCTGCTCACGAGGCAAGATCGCCAAAGTTGTCACGGGACCGTCGATCTTCAGCTACGACTATCTGGCCATGCCAATCTATGGCGGGTAAGTGGCAGTATCACGATTCGCTAGTCTCTCCAACACTGTAATGTCTTCTGCCATTGTAATGCCTAAGCAGTGACAAATGCTGTGGATTCAACGAACGATGCAGGTTTCATTTCAGTGTGATGATTGTCGTCAACCCTGGAGTTGTGGCTCTCCCGCTCGACGAGGACAGCACCACATAGCCTGCGTGGTTGCTGCTGTACGACTCTTTCGGGATGCATGCTGCGGGGGGCAATGCTTTCAAGAACATGATCAAGTAAGCTTTTGTTAGGGGTTGCGTACGACCATACCCACACAAGCACTCAAACCTAACTGTGCTAGCTTATGTCTTACTTAACCACACGCTAATCCGCCTTTTTTGCGTCACAAATTCGACCTTGAGACAGCTTGCTTGGCATGGCCTTCGAGAAGGAGCATGGCAGCCGCACGATAGAAGAGATGAAGGCGAGGCTTGGGCGCTTCAAGCCACACGTCATGGAGGTGAGTTGACCAGAATAACGCTCGTCAACCATGCTACAAACTCCCGTTATGCATGTTCAGCTTTCTTTATGCGCAGGGTGCGTTCCCGTGCAGATTGACCCACTCTGAATGGTGCGCCTGTGGCATAATACATTCTACATGCCACCCCTTATCAAATGATGATCGTGTACTCTATTGTTCTCATTTACGCTGCATGTGGCATTGGTGTTTTGCAGGCGTGGCAAATGCCTCTACAGCAGAACGATTATGACTGCGGCATCTTCGTATGCCAGTACATTCAAGCGCTAGTGGAGGCATGCTTCGAAGGTGCTGAGAATGGGGTGCGGTTCAGCATGAGCCCACTGGCGTACCGGCGTGTCATACGGGAGGATGTGTGCGCCCTGGCAGAAGGACGGCTGATCGGCGAGCTCACGGCAGCTGGGCATGAGATCCCTCCTGGCAATGAGATTAGGAAACCACCTGAGCTTGAGGTGATTGGTGATGAGGTGGAGGATAGGGAGTGGAGAGCGGAGATGGCAGAACGGATGCATAGGCTGGAGGTTCGCAACGAGAGTCAGGCAGTGGCTGTTGCCAAGCTCGAGAGGCAATTGCGTGATCTGATGCTTTCCCGTACTCCACAGCCTGGCGTTGGCGGTGTTGATACAGGGGAGGGACATGGTGATGTGGGAGGGGACGCTGTAGGGGAGGGACATGGGGATGCGGGAGGGGATGCTGTAGGGGAGGGACATGGTGATGTGGGAGGGAACAACGCTGGCACACATGACATCATGAGAGGTGCACCTGGCGAGGGTCCTGTGGCTGACGTTGAGACGGGTGTAGGTGGGACTAACAGTAAGCTTGACGGCGTTGGGGAGGGTGATATGGCGGACGGTACGAGGAGTGACAATGAGGAAGTGGGGGTGCGTGATGAAGGTGCCAGAGGCTTGTTGGGTACTAGAGATGGTAACAGAGGTGCAAGAGAGGCTGTGGGTGCTGGGCATGGTGTGACTGCCTCGAACGCAGATGTGGATTTGGTGTCCGCCCACAGCACAGGGACTGAGACAACGAGTCGCAACACTGCGCGTGGTTGAGCTCCTAGCTCTGGTTATACTGGCGTAACCAAACGGGAAGGTAGGTGGGCGGCACGACTGTGCGTAGATAGCGCTAAGAGTAAGTTTTTAGTGCTGGGACGGTATACGGAGATCTTGGATGTCGCAAAAGCATATGCGGCAGCCGCCCACATTTGCCGTCCGTCCCTCTCCAGCTCAACGATGGTGGATTTGAGCGTGGAGGAGAGGCGGTGCTTGGAGGGACTGACGGCGCATGGGGTTGCAAGGATAGTGGAGGCCAAGCGGTGGGCAGAGTGGAGGAACTGGCGAGAAGTGCTCGGCAGCCTCCCTGAGCCTTCCATCCCAACGCCAGCAGGAGTACACACACAGGCTCCACCTCCCTTTTCCCACCAGCACCTTGGAGCCACGTTTGGCAACTACCACCCGCCAGCCGCCGCCTTCGCGGGACACGCCGGTGCAACCCTAAACCCCGGTGCATGGCAGCCGTACAATCAGAGCCACCCTCCTCCCAACCTCCATTTTCCATCCCAGCAGTTTGCTTTCAACCAAATCCCAATCCATCCATTCAGCCAGGTGCAAGCCCCTATCGCCGTACACCCAACCCCTTTAGTACCCATTGCTCCCAACCCTGCAGGTCATGCCGCTTCACAAAACACAGCACCCCATCCGCATGTCCTACCAACACCACCATCCGTTGCACCCAGCACGGCACATCCAGTATCTGCCCCACAAGCCCAACAAGTCCGGCCCGCTGAGCAAACTGGTCAGGTCAGGGTAGATGGCCTGACATATTCACAGTCGACTTTTCCCAACAATCCCAACCCCACGTCCCACGGCTCCGCACGGGCAAGCGAGCCAGCAACAGGTGAGATGTGTGGTTTGTCAGAATGTAGTTTGTCTAGCCTGCAGTGGGGTACTCTGTAGTGAGTACGACCCCTTAGGGTTTCCTATATGTATCCTCCTGCTTGCTAGTGAACATTCTCCTTTGCTCATTTCTCTCTTGCCTAGCTAGGTAAACCCTAGCTATGGCTCCTCATCGTGCCTACTATTTTGACATGGTATCTAGAGCGACCACGTTCCTGCCGCTTACCTCAACGGGCCCACCAACTGCTTCCGCTGTCGTTCTGTTTGTCGCGCGCCCCGTGGTGCGCGACGTGTTATTTTCTTTCCGCCACGCGCTCTGCCCGCCGCGCGCTCGGTGCGCGTGGCGGTTTAACCATCCGTCGAGGCGCCCCGTAGGCCCGCGCGCCACCCCCTCCCGTCGCCCGTCGTGGCGCTCTCGGGGGCCCGCGCGCCATCCCCTCTCGTCGCCCCGTCGCGGCGCCCTGGGGGCCCGCGCGCGGCCCCCCCCCCTCCCGTCGCCCGTCGTGGCGCCTCGGGGGCTCGCGCGCCTCCCCCTCCCGTCGCCTCGTCGCGGCACCTTGGGGGCCCGCGCGTCGCCCCCTCCAGTCGCATCGTCGCGGCGCCTTGGGGGCCCGCGCGCCGCCCCCTCCCGTCGCCTCGTCGCGGCGCCTTGGGGGCCCGCGCGCGGCCCCTCCCGTCGCCCGTCGAGCCGCCCTCGGGGGCCCGTGCGCGGCCCCCCTCCCGTCACCCGCCGTGGCGCCCTCGGGGGGTCCGCGCCCTGCTCCTTCGTGAAGCCCAGGAGACCCCCCCGCCGCTTCCCTTTCCCTCCGTGAACCGCCCCTGCTGCTTCCCGCGCTCCTGCCTGCGTTAGGGTTTGGGGTGGCGGGCATGGGGGTGCACGGTGTGGGTAACCTGCAGCTCCTCCTCCTCCTCCGTCTCCCACTGCTGCAGCTGCCGCTGAGGGGGGTGGGTGTGTGGGAGCCGAGGGTTTAGGGTTTAAGGGGGGTGACGTGGGAGTGGAGCTAGGGGTGCAGCAAGGGGTGTGTGAAAGGGGGGTGGGACAGTTGGGGGAGGTTGAGCGGAGGCTGCCGTCTTGTCGTCCGCAGCACCTGTAGTCCGGGGCGCTGTCCTGGTAGCCCAGAGAGCCTGCTGCGCCTGTCGCCCGTGGGTCCGTTGCTCCTGCCGCTCCTCGTAGCCGCCGAGCCAGTCACTCCAGTAGTCCGGGGCGCTGTCCCGGTAGCCACTGTGCCAGCCGCTCCTGTTGCCCGTGTGTCTGCAGCTTCAGCCGTCGCCTCCTATCTTCTCTCCTCTTACAGTCCCGCCTCCTCCTCCTCACTTGCCCTTTGTGAATGCCTCTAGCTTTGCTTGCACTTGTGAACCTGCTTGCTGTGCTGATTATACCCCACTTTGACTATGGGGGTGTGTCAGAATGTAGTTTGTCTAGCCTGCAGTGGGGTACTCTGTAGTGAGTACGACCCCTTAGGGTTTCATATATGTATCCTCCTGCTTGCTAGTGAACATTCTCCTTTGCTCATTTCTCTCTTGCCTAGCTAGGTAAACCCTAGCTATGGCTCCTCATCGTGCCTACTATTTTGACATGGTTGTGTCATAGTAGTGCTTATTCATATGCTGTAGTTTCACTAAACCATGCATTAATCTAATGAATTTGTTTGCTGAACCTGTGCAGGCGCGGCGGACGACATCATCGATGCCTTTCTGAACAATAACTGATGAGACGTATGGTCAACATGACATTGCGTGATCCGTACACATCAAATATACGTTATATCATTGTAGGCATGCGTAGAGGTCGACATGCCTAGGTACACAATAAACCCTATGACTGCTACATGAACGGAACGCACAGTGTTATATAGGTATAATGGCAAAACGCCGGTAGTGAACGTCTCTAGAATTTGTTATTATAGTTTTATATGAAAAAAAAAACAGATCACACACAGATTCGAGCATCACATATGCGCGCTCATATAGGCAAATGCGCGGATTTATATGAGCGCGATCTTACATGACCGCGTCTGATTGGATGCGCAAGGTCAAAAAGTGCTTCGCGCATAAAGTTGACTAATCAGGCGCACTCTGTAAGTGGTCGCGCGTGTGGACAGTCGTGCTACTGAGTATATGATCGGGGAATCATATTACTATGCGCGGATTGGTCAAGAATTGGACCGAAAATGAGCGCGACTGTTCGCCCAAGATGATCGTGTTGATTATTGTCGTGTATTCGAACGGTGACGTGGCCGCCCTCGCGCACGTCACTCAGCCGAAAATTTCGGGCGGAAAATAGTACGCCACGATTTCGCGGGAAGAGACACGTTCGACGTAAGAATTTCAGGGCTAAAAACTGGTTTTGGGTAATGTGCCGGATAAAAAAAAAGCCAGAGGAAACCTCTGGCAAGACCACTCGAGCAATTATCATCGAATTGTCCGACCACGATAGCAATTCGAGGCCACGTGTGCAACGGCAAATCACCGTTTCCGGGTCTGGAGAAATTCTCTCCAGCTCAGCATTCAGTACACCCTAATGCTCACTCAACCGCCCACTCTGAACACGCCCACTGCCACTCCATACGCCCAGTGGTCGACATTCACAGCCAACAGCCCGCGCGTTACTAGCCCACGACAAAGCTGAGATATTCTTGACCTCGAATAGGTTAATCGAGTTTCCCAGACAAGACACGGTGGGCTACCCCAGATACAGTCCCATTCTCCTCGTAGAGAGCGCATGCTCGAAAGAGGAGCACAGAGAAAGATGGGGAACGGGACTGAAATGGGCATCAGGTGTATTCAAGTTTGGAGGGGGCACCGTACCAGCAGCACTGAGGACACGTGTACACTATTGCTCTACAGTGCTGCTGGTCTGACGTGACAAAGCACACCGCAATCGTGCGAAGTCTTACAATCTCATTTGATTCGTCGTCGTTTTCTTCTTACCCACCAATCCACAAGAGGGATGCCACACCACTCACTATGGCAGCGTGAAGCTGACTCACCAGGCACCCCTGACTTGCGAAACTGTGCGCGACGATGTAACAAATCTGTCAGGATTCGTTGTGGGAACATTATCCTGGCGAAGCTATGCGCGACGATGTAACGTGTCATGATTCGTTCTGAAAGCCTTATCCTTTTTGTACACGGCGCCTGATGCTCGCCCCTTCAGACAGTCATGGGAGGACCATCTCGGCATTATTTTCTCACATTATGTTGCTCATCGAGCAAGCATCAATGGCGGCGATTTCTGCAGCGCTTGTAGTCCATCTGTAGTGCCGCTCTTTGAAGGCCGGCCTTATGAGTAAGCCGTTAGGTTTTGTGATAATAGCCCTGCTGGAAATCTCGTTTTTGGATGCGCTATGCTGGTAACAGAATTTAGAAGTTTGTCGTTCCTTCGCACGCGCAATCGTAGAACTTATGGAATTTGTACGTATACTTTCTAACAGAATCTTGATCAGCCTGATGCCGTTTCAAGGGCGGCGGGTAGCTGCACGGCTGGACCATCCGTTGGCTGGCTCTCCCTGCCAGGTTGGCATTGGCGGTTCGTCAGTCGCGCCATTCGCTCTGGGCCTTCGTCCTTGGATACTAGGGTACTATCCAGCTAGTTCTGTACCTTCCTTCACAGCCCGGGAGGATTCAGCTTTCACGTCGCAGATCATGTGATGTGATGCCTGTGCGTCGTACAGTACCCAGTGGGTACAACAACATCTCGCAGGTTCTGTGACCCTACGACCAGGGAACGGCTGGAAAGTCTAGTATGGTCGCAGAGGCACGAATGGTCCACATTGCTTTGCATCCATTCGTGTATCCCGCCAGCCTGTTGATCAGCAGTGCTAACCTGATGGACGGGCCAAGGTCTGGTCTGGACTCGAACGAGGGGCATCGCGTAGTCCCAGCAGCAGCCGCATACCTACGTCGTCTTCGCTGCGACGGCTCTCGCAATCAATTCCTCCCACGCTGTGATCGTCGCGGCCCCTACCAGTTCTTCTAGACGACTCAAAATTCTACTATTTGTTTTTGTAATCCGCCGGATCATCGTGTGATCAATCCTCCTATTATTACTCCTAGTAGTATTAGCACTTAAACTGCCATGGAGTTTCCTAGTAACGTCCCGCTGCCTTTCCTTGACTTGCACTGCTCGTCCGACTGCACTGCAGACTGTGACGGAGTCCACATATCCTGGAAGGTGCAGGAAACGGGGGTAGAGGTGCAGCAAACCGGGGGAGCGACTGAATGGGAACGCGTGGGCGGGAACAGCAACTACTATTTTCCAGCGCCATTGGAAGCCTGCACGGAGGAACTGACAACGTCCAATCCCACAGAATTTTCGCTGCCATGCGGCACGCACAGCACGGCGACAAAATCAGTGCTCAGTGAATCGTTCCAGGTGGAGGCTTGGCCGGACGTCATGCCGTCGATTTCTGAGTCCGAATTGCTTCAGTTGGGAGCCGTGACAGATGTCCGGATTTCCCTGCTGAACACTCCACCTGCGGCTGCTCCGGCTGCTGCTGCTGCATTGCCTGTCAATGATGCGCCCAGCCCGGCTTTGCAGTCTCAGATTCTCAAACAAGAACCGTCACTGTCACTCAGATCAGCGCAAGCAACACCAACACAATCATCAGGAGGCAGCACGTGTGACGGAACCCTAGCAACCCGAGAGGGAACCCTGTACGACATGATTGTGTCCGGAAGATTCAAGCGCAAGGGTTCTTCCAGCTGGTGTGGTGAGGATTCTACTGCGGAGGCACCAGCCATTATGCAGTCTCGGAAAAGACAGTGTTTGGTTGGTAGTGATGGAGGACTGGGTCTCAAAAGCCCCCACAGTGGAGCTACTGCTGCAGCATCCCTTGGTGCTTGCAGTCAATGCGCCACCGTAGATCTAGACCGAGTGGAGTCTCCTGCTCCATTCCCTGCTGTTGGATCCGCTGTGGCCATTGTTGGTGCTGTTGCTGTGAACCGTCCAACTTCTGCTGCCACTGAAGGGGCACCAGGGTTGGATCCGTTGTCGACATGGTCAGCTCTGCAAGCAACACATGGGGCAGTCCAACCAGCACAGTCTGCACACCCAACCCTGAGGGACCAAGCTGATGGCAATGGGCTGGGCTTGGATCGCCCGCCTATTCAGCGCAGAAGCGCTACGGAGAAGGTTAGAAGACACCGGATCAGGTAATTACTGCTTTGCGCCCATTTCTTTATTATTGTGCTTGTGACGACTGGCTCGTCTAAGATTGACAAGGCTGTCCTGTGCTGTGCTCTTCCGCCTTTCATTTTCTGCAGTGCTGGGTTCAAGCGGCTTGAAAAGGTTCTGCCTCCCTTGTGGATGCGCCAGAAAAATAAGTTGAGCCTATCAACAGACATGGCATCGCTGTTAGACGCTGCGGTGGACTTCATTAGGGAGCTGGAGGTGAGGACAGCTTGATGTGCATGTCAGAAATCTGATGCTTGTTTTGCATTTGCTGACATTCTTTTTTTGCATTCTTGTTGTGGTATGCAGGACCGAAAGGCCCAACTTGCACATGCTTACATTCAGCGAGTATCGAATTTCCAGCAATGACTAGCTCAATGCCTTGCATCCTCGGGTACAAAATTACAACGCAAGGCATTTTTAGATCAGAAGGAAGGACGGAATTTGAAAGAAATATGTACGAAATTTCTAGTAGGATTGAAAAGGCCGGATAGAAATTGCAACAGAGGCAAGATTCGTAGAAGTATTGCACTAACAGTTGTCTGGATCATCCACTAGGCGGTTCAGCAGTGTATAGTGTCTCTCAACACAACCACAAGCACATGTTGTGCTTTTGAGTGGCATTGCCAGCGAACCCAAGGTCAAGAGCTAGCAGGCAAAAGCAGGGTCATAGAAGCATTCAGAATCGGTTGTGGGCTGTTGACAAGCATGCGACGGGGTCCCTGTGACTGGTGTCTCCCCTGCGAAAACAGGGACAGCGTAAGGTGGTAACCATCTCGTTCCTCTTGTGCTGCTTCTTCGAGACCAGTGTTTCCTATCCTAGCTCCCTCAGCTCTCTCAGCAAGCAAAGGCGGCGGTTGCTGTAGCGTGTGGTGTGGAGGAGAGTAATCGTTACTTGAGCCTCAGGGGTCAGAAGTTTACTGTGTAGTAAAACCGCCATTTTGCGTTCCTGTCGCGGCGGTGTGTGGCTTTAGCCAAACCCGGCAAGATTTCGTGATTCGCCTGCCGATGTCGAGCTGGAATGTCGCTGGCTAGACCAACTTTGCGTGTCCCGAGTTCTATGACCTCGTGCAATGTATCATGAAGGGGAGCATCCTCCAAAGAGAGGCGCTGAGCGGAGATCAGGACGTACCTGTCGTAGGTTTTCGTATAGGTGACGAATAAAATGCAAAATCCTGATGAACCTGATGCAAGAATCTATTTGACTCAGGGTTAGCTTCACTGTTTGCTAGCTACCGAATCTGCTCCGAAACCCGTCCTGAAGGGATCAATGTAGAGTCTAAGCTAGACTCTAAGGGCGTGTCTGAAGTGCAAACGTCGAGTTTCGTCAAATTTCGTCGACGAAACTCATCCGTGGGACCCACGCGTGTTGGTGTCTGAAGTGCAGCCTGACATCCCTCGACGAAACTCGACGTTCGTGCACATGTCGAGGGATGTCGAACAGTGATACCGGGCAGCTGTTTCAGTCACTGTAGTCAGTGAGTGTTTCAAAAACAATTCTTCGACACGCCATGTCTGCATAGCTGTGGCAAACACACGTGAATAAGAACTAAGACGAGAGCGACACGTGCTAGAGAAATTTCGCTGGCAATGTGACAGTAGAATATCCGGTGTTACCAGCAACAATCTATGCTAAGCGAAATTCGCGAGATTGCAAACAATTGAGTTACATGAATGATTCTGTTAATTCCACGTCGAATTTTCATGGGCAACTTATAGCAGTGTTCCTATGGCACGTGTGGGTTATTTTGTCGTGTGGGTGTCTGAAGTGAACACAGCTGAAAACGGATGAGTTTCGTCAAGGAACGTCGACGAAAGTTTCGTCGGCAAACGTCGAAATTCACTTCAGACACGCCCTAAGATACATCAGAGCATCCGCTCGTTCTACTTGGGGTAGATTTCGCAAGAGTTTATCTTATCCACAAATCGCCGCCTCTCCTTTTGCAGGAACCACTCGTTTCTAGGACTGCTCTTTCCCAGGAAATCCACGATATCTGCTTCCCCTCCCGTGCAGCCTACCGTTGTACTGTGCTACCCAGTCAACCTGAAGATTTGAAGCTTGGAAAGAAAGCTACATTTCATTTTCGTCGTTGTCGCAGCCCTCGTCAACCGTCCAACTCATGACGTTGATGCACTTGTTGGGTCGACACGTCAGGCACCCTGATGGTTCAGCGTGTACAGTACTCGCATTTCCGCGTCGCACTGACCGCAGCTCTTTTTAGCCATTATTGCGCCGAACTCGCAGCACCGTCAGATCGTTGACATCAGGCACCCTAATGATCTAGTGCTCTCTCGACCTCCAACCTCGAAAGTTCATAAAGCGCGTACAGTGCTCACTGGAATTGATCTCAGCACTGTATGCTCCACATGAGTATGGCAGAGTGCGGCTTGCGAGCGTATGAGCATACATCCTGGACATCGCTTGTACTTTGATTCTACTTTCAGATACGCATACATATTACGAAGGTTACAGTGGAACTGGCATTTCAGAAGCCTGTTTCCTGTCCTTGCGAGGCGAGAGACCTTTCAAGTCCGGTTCCCTTAGTTTCTTCAGGTGGTCGAGAAAATTCATTTGTTTGTCACACTAATCGCGGACAAAAGATACTCTCTTATTTGCCACTTTTCTCCACTTTGAAATACGTTACTATGGAGCTCCCTAGTAACGTCCCGCTACCATTTCTTCACTTCAGCTGCTCGTTGGAGTGCCCTGCAGACTGCGATGGAGTACACATCTCCTGGAAGGTGCAGGAAACTGGAGGGAAGGTGCTGGAAACTGGAGGAAAGGTACAGACCGTGGGAGCTACCGAAGACCACCGAAGCACATGCGCTCCAGTGCAGATGGGAGCCTGCGCGGACGTTGTGACATTCAATCCCACAGATTCGCTTCTTGTGGTTCCTGGCGCAGGGAGCAGCATAAGGGAATCAATGGAAGCCTTTTCAGTGGAAGGCTGGACGAGCCTCGTCGCGTCAATGTCAATTCGTGAGTCCGAATCGCTCCGTGTGGAAGCCCTGGCAGATCCCAGCATGTCATCATCAGGCAGAGGACATGTCAACATGCTGACTCAGCCCTCGCTAGCAGGCCAAATTCTCGCACCGATGGCCGCAGCAGCTGCGGTTCCAGCTCCTGTTTCAGCCCATCAAGGGAGCCATTTAGCGGTGAACACTCCAGCTGCTGCTGCTTCTGCTGCTGCTACTGCTGCTGCTGCGTGGCCAGGCACTGTGCCAAGTGCGGCGACTTCGCAGTCCCCTCCTGTTCATGGTCTCGCCCAAGAGGAGCTGCTGCTCGTGAGACCAGCGCAAGCAGCACTGACACACCCTATCAGTGCAAGAGGAGCAGGTTCTGCTGGACTCCTGGTTCCTAGTGGTAACATTCAAGCAATGCATGGTGGAACGCTGTTTGAAGCGCCTCGAGAAGCTCCGATACACACGGCAGGAGGCCACACCCACAATGGAACCCTGTTGTCTCCCAGAGGGAACACCCTAGCAGCAACGCATGATGGAATGCTGTGTGATATGATTCTGTCGGGGAGATTTGAAGCCAAGGGCTCGTCCAGCTGGTGCAATGAAGATCTGATTGCTGAAGCCCTGGCCATGCGGGCTCGGGTAAGGCAGCGCTTGGTGGGTGAAGGACCGGGTACCAAACGCCCTGACAGCAGTACGGGTACAGGCTCACTGATTGCAGCAACCAGCACTACCAGTGAGAGTGGTGGCAGTGCTCGGGTGGTGTCTGCAACGTACCCGAGGGCGAGTGCTTGTTTGGTTGATGCGCCTGGTTTCTCCCTATCTGCTCCTGTCATTGCCGGCTCTGCTGCTGTGAACCCTCCACCTGCTGCTGCTGCTGCTGCTGCTGCTGCTGAAATGGTTTCAAGAGGGGCAGCTGAACCAGCTCAGTTTGCACATTCAACCTGGACGAACAAGGGTGGCAGTAAAAGGCAGATCTTGGAGCAGCTGCCTTGTCGTAGCAAAAGCACTACGGAGAAGCTCAGAAGACACCGAGTCAGGTAAATACAACAGTGCTCTTAACTGCTTCGTTATACGCAGACACACGTTTATTTTAGAATCTAACAATTGTACTGTCTTGTCACTTTTCTTGTTCTACAGCGACGGATTCAAACGGCTGGCAAAGGCCATCCCTGCATCGTGGATGCGTCAGAAGCAATTAAAGAACTTCTCTTCTCGAACTGACATGGCTTCATTGTTGCATATCGCAGTGGAGTTCATAAAAGATCTTCAGGTGAGCAACAAGGATGAGATGAATAATCAAGACACGTTCTCTGGATTGTAGTCAGTGACAGTTACATATGATTGTGAATTTATGATTTGCAGGAGCAGAAAGGTCAGCTGTATCAAGTGTACACGCAGCATGTGGCAGCAAGACTCCGATGAGTTCCTAACAACATGAATATCGACTCCACTGGGGATCGAACCCAGAATCTCTGGTTCCGTAGACCAGCGCCTTATCCATTGGGCCATGGAGTCACGGCTGCGGGTTTTCGGTTAATTAATTTGAAATTTGTAAATATATATTCTATATATGGTACTGTGCTAATTATGCTGATAAGTAATCATAAGCATTACAAACGTGAATACCCATTGTTGAATCCCCCTTGCTGCTCATCACCCTCTTTCATCCGCCTTGAAATCATAGAGAGATCTACTGTCTTCAAAGAGAAGTCAAAGCTACTGTGTCTCTAAATGTGCGTGCTCCGTAGAAGCGCTCTTGTATCGCGTACGTCAAGCACATCTGCAGAGAAATTCAGCAGACTCACTTGGCCTTCTATGGGCCTAGCAGATTCACTTCGCCTTGCAAGTCTCCTTGTGGCCTCATATGGTCTCCTTCAATCCAGAAGGCATGCGTGAATGGATCAGTCGTCGTCTGCTATTCGCAAGTAAATCCCATGCGTGAAGCCATGTGACGCTCGAATAGGGTAACACTCGCAGCCTCTTTCGTACTCTGCTTCGTAAAGCTCGTTATCCGAATTCTATCCGTCCATCATGCGGCGGTTCTGGACAGTGGGATTTGAAAGCAGATTACATTAGGAGGAGTTCGTACGCCGGCATGGAATTCATTGTTTCTAGGGAGTGGTCTTTGGGCGACCGGCAGACAGTGGCGTCGCCATGTCGCCTCGCCGGGTTACCCGTCGCGAACCCCGCAAGCCGTGGACGAGGTTGCTGTGCGCGGTTGCTCTTAGAAGCTTCGGGTAGTTTTTTGCGTCTATGGCGGGTGCGCATCTTCCCGCTGCTCGCCGTACTCGTTATAGGATGTTCGTTTGTCGTACACGGAGCGGCTGTATCTGAAGCTCTCACTGCGTTTCCGTCTTCCTCCGCTTTCGATCATCCAACGGCTCTTCATCGAAATAGCAGTTACACTATATCTCTCTCTACTGACGCACTCGATAGCAGTACAGAGACGAGACGAAACGAGTATACCAGCAATGACGTGACGTGGAGGCCAGAGACTGGTCATCAGACCGTTACCAGCTACATTTCGCCTGAAAGGAGCATCGCCAGTATGGGAAGTAGTAGTAGTGTAATAAGTAACGCTGATGTGCAAATCGACGGTAGTGTAGCGAGGAACAGGGCTACTAAGGCGTACAAGGCGATCAGCTGCGAGGATGATCTTGGCGGGGTGGGCTCTCTGGACGCCACATGTCAGATCAGCAGCCACGTGTTGGTTCCTGATGGGACGGAGGTTTCTGGAAACGGCGCGCTGGAGATTCTTGCAGGTGCCAGCCTGGCATGCGGGATAGCTGGTGGGGAGAGCAACAGTAGCAGCAGGAATGGTGGCAGCAGCAATAGCAGCAGCAATAGCAGCAGCGTTAACAGCGACAGTAGCAGCAGCGTTGGCAGCGACAGTAGCAGCAACAACAAGAGGTCTTTTTTTGCCGTCCAAGGACCTTCTCCTGCCGCCCAGCCCGACTGCTCCCTCTCCATTCACATGGCGACAGCTGTCATGCTGCGAGAGGGTGCCAGCCTGGCAGCCTGCACGCTATTGGTCGAAACCGGGCGGCTGACTGTGGCGTTTGGGGCGGCAGTAACGGCCAAGGGGCTGGCAGCAAAGGCGCCGGATCAGACCAGCGGCACACCGACCGATGGGAAGGGATCGGGCGGCGGGTACGGTGGGCGGGGAGCGTCGTGTAGCGTGAACAGTGCCAGGCAGAGGAGCATGAACAGTGATAATGCGGGCGGCAGGGGCGACAGGTTCGACAGGAGCGGAAGGAACAGCGCCAGGGGGGAGAACACCGGGGGAAACGGATTGGGGGCAGAGGCGGAGTCATGGGGGGGAGATGCTTATGCCTGGTCTACCCTCACTGATCCCTGGAAAACGGGTAGCAAGGGGGGCGCGTTGGGGGAGGCGGACGGAGGGGGCCTGGGGGGAGGGCGGGTGCGGATCGTGGTGCGGGGGGAGGTGGTGGTGGAGGGGCGGATAGACGCGGATGGGGGGGATGCGCGCACTGGCAGTATGGGGAGCCTTGGGGGGGGAGGATCGGGTGGGAGTGTGTTCGTCAATGCCTCTTCCATGTAAGTCCGCCCCCTTACCCCTCCCCCGCTTGCTCCTCCGCACCCCGCTCGGGGGGGGAGGATCAGGTGGCAGTGTGTCCGCTTCAATGCCTCTTCAATGTAAGTCCGCTCTCTCTTCCCTCCCCACTCCCCCTCCCCATTTCCCCCTCCCCACTCCCCCTCCCCATTTCCCCCTCGCCACTTCCTCCTCCCCGTTATCTCCTCCACCTTATCCCCTCCGCCTTCTCCCCTCCCTCCCTCCCTCTCACTCCTTTTCCCTCGTTTCCCTCTCTAATGCAATACAGCTTCTTGGCTCTTTCTCTTCCCCCCCCTTAACCTCTCCACCCCTCCGCTCCCCCTTCTCTCCCCTGCTTCCCCCGCTTTCTCCCCCACACAACACCAGCCAAGGCACTGGGCGGATCTGCGCCAATGGGGGGAAGGGGCACGGGGGAGGCGCGGGGGGGCGCGTAGCCATCCAATACCAGGGCCCCCCATCCTCCCGCTCCTCCCCCTCCCCTTCCCCTTCCCCCTCCGCCTCCCTCTCCCCCACCCTAACCATCCAAGCCACTGGGGGAACCAGTGAGGCATGCCCTTATAACGCAGGCTCAGCCGGAACAGTCTTCAACTGGGCCAAACAAACCCTCGTTATAGGAAACTCCAACCAGCCCTCGCACACCTTCACACCGCTCTTCACCGTGCCGCTGTACCCCTACTGGGACGGAATCATAGTGGAAGGGGGGGCCAAAGTCGTCGCTCTCACCCGGAACTTTCGCCTGCGAATCCGATCCTGCGTGTGGTTCCGGGAAGGTTCCAATGTGCTGTTTGGGAGCAGCACGGGGGGAGGGGGAGGGGGAGGGGGAGGGGGCGGAGGGGGGGATCAGCCGGCGCCATCTCCACCGTTGGATCCTGACGAGGCGGAGGTGGAGGTGGTGGTGGCGAATCTGACGCTCACGAACGCGACTCTGGAGGTGTATGGGACGATCAAGGTGTTTGCCTCGCACTTCAACCTGCACTCCTCCTCCTCTCTTCGCATACACCAGCTCGCTGGTGCTGCTGCTGGTGCTGCTGCTGCTGCTGCTGCTGGCACGGTTCGCCAGCTCAGTGGTGGTGATGGCAGCGGTAGCAGCAACGGCAGTGGTGGCAGTGAGAGTGGCAGAACTAGCAGTAGCAGCAGCAAGGGGAGGCGAGGGGCCAACGGGAGGAAACCGCATAAGAGCGGATTATCCATGGGATTTTCAAGCATTGATGGCAACTACCTCTCCCTCACGGTATGACTCTTTAGGCGCCTCAAAGTAGCAGCACCAGCACAGAGCGATGCAGCAACAGGCAGAGGCCGCATGAGAGCGGATTATCCATGGGATTTTCAAGCATTGATGGCAACTACCTCTTCCTTACTGTAAGTTCCGTTTCTGTCGTCTCAGGCAACTCAAGTCAAGCAACGAGTGAATCAGGCTCAAAAGTAGACTCAGAAGCAAGCAACTTCGTCTGACTCTCGTTCCCGCAACACTCAGTGTAGTTGGGCCCTCAGTGTAGTTGGGCCCTCAGTGTAGTTGGGCCCTCAGTGTAGTTGGGCCCTCAGTGTAGTTGGGCCCTCAGTGTAGTTGGGCCCTCAGTGTAGTTGGGCCCTCAGTGTAGTTGGGCCCTCAGTGTAGTTGGGCCCTCAGTGTAGTTGGGCCCTCAGTGTAGTTGGGCCCTCAGTGTAGTTGGGCCCTCAGTGTAGTTGGGCCCTCAGTGTAGTTGGGCCCTCAGTGTAGTTGGGCCCTCAGTGTAGTTGGGCCCTCAGTGTAGTTTGGCCCTCAGTGTAGTTTGGCCCTCGGTGTAGTTGGGCCCTCAGTGTAGTTGGGCCCTCGGTGTAGTTGGGCCCTCGGTGTAGTTGGGCCCTCAGTGTAGTTGGGCCCTCGGTGTAGTTGGGCCCTCAGTGTAGTTGGGCCCTCAGTGTAGTTGGGCCCTCAGTGTAGTTGGGCCCTCAGTGTAGTTGGGCCCTCAGTGTAGTTGGGCCCTCAGTGTAGTTGGGCCCTCAGTGTAGTTGGGCCCTCAGTGTAGTTGGGCCCTCAGTGTAGTTGGGCCCTCAGTGTAGTTGGGCCCTCAGTGTAGTTGGGCCCTCAGTGTAGTTGGGCCCTCAGTGTAGTTGGGCCCTCAGTGTAGTTGGGCCCTCAGTGTAGTTGGGCCCTCAGTGTAGTTGGGCCCTCAGTGTAGTTGGGCCCTCAGTGTAGTTGGGCCCTCGGTGTAGTTGGGCCCTCGGTGTAGTTGGGCCCTCGGTGTAGTTGGGCCCTCGGTGTAGTTGGGCCCTCGGTGTAGTTGGGCCCTCGGTGTAGTTGGGCCCTCAGTGTAGTTGGGCCCTCAGTGTAGTTGGGCCCTCAGTGTAGTTGGGCCCTCAGTGTAGTTGGGCCCTCAGTGTAGTTGGGCCCTCAGTGTAGTTGGGCCCTCGGTGTAGTTGGGCCCTCGGTGTAGTTGGGCCCTCGGTGTAGTTGGGCCCTCGGTGTAGTTGGGCCCTCGGTGTAGTTGGGCCCTCGGTGTAGTTGGGCCCTCGGTGTAGTTGGGCCCTCGGTGTAGTTGGGCCCTCGGTGTAGTTGGGCCCTCGGTGTAGTTGGGCCCTCGGTGTAGTTGGGCCCTCGGTGTAGTTGGGCCCTCGGTGTAGTTGGGCCCTCGGTGTAGTTGGGCCCTCGGTGGGCATGTGAGTCGACTCAAAAGCACGTGTGGCTGCACGGGCTGACTTTTGAGTCGAATCAAAAAACACAGGCCACGCTTTTGAGTCGACTCAAAAGCATGTGTGGCTGCACGGGCTGACTTTTGAGTCGACTCAAAAAACACAGGCCACGCTTTTGAGTCGACTCAAAAGCACGTGTGGCTGCACGGGCTGACTTTTGAGTCGACTCAAAAAACACAGGCCACGCTTTTGAGTCGACTCAAAAGCACGTGTGGCTGCACGGGCTGACTTTTGAGTCGACTAAAAAAACACAGGCCACGCTTTTGAGTCGACTCAAAAGCACGTGTGGCTGCACGGGCTGACTTTTGAGTCGACTCAAAAAACACAGGCCACGCTTTTGAGTCGACTCAAAAGCACGTGTGGCTGCACGGGCTGACTTTTGAGTCGACTCAAAAAACACAGGCCACGCTTTTGAGTCGACTCAAAAGCACGTGTGGCTGCACGGGCTGACTTTTGAGTCGACTCAAAAAACACAGGCCACGCTTTTGAGTCGACTCAAAAGCACGTGTGGCTGCACGGGCTGACTTTTGAGTCGACTCAAAAAACACAGGCCACGCTTTTGAGTCGACTCAAAAGCACGTGTGGCTGCACGGGCTGACTTTTGAGTCGACTCAAAAAACACAGGCCACGCTTTTGAGTCGACTCAAAAGCACGTGTGGCTGCACGGGCTGACTTTTGAGTCGACTCAAAAAACACAGGCCACGCTTTTGAGTCGACTCAAAAGCACGTGTGGCTGCACGGGCTGACTTTTGAGTCGACTCAAAAAACACAGGCCACGCTTTTGAGTCGACTCAAAAGCACGTGTGGCTGCACGGGCTGACTTTTGAGTCGACTCAAAAAACACAGGCCTCGCTTTTGAGTCGACTCAAAAGCACGTGTGGCTGCACGGGCTGACTTTTGAGTCGACTCAAAAAACACAGGCCACGCTTTTGAGTCGACTCAAAAGCACGTGTGGCTGCACGGGCTGACTTTTGAGTCGACTCAAAAAACACAGGCCACGCTTTTGAGTCGACTCAAAAGCACGTGTGGCTGCACGAGCTGACTTTTGAGTCGACTCAAAAAACACAGGCCACGCTTTTGAGTCGACTCAAAAGCACGTGTGGCTGCACGGGCTGACTTTTGAGTCGACTCAAAAAACACAGGCCACGCTTTTGAGTCGACTCAAAAGCACGTGTGGCTGCACGGGCTGACTTTTGAGTCGACTCAAAAAACACAGGCCACGCTTTTGAGTCGACTCAAAAGCACGTGTGGCTGCACGGGCTGACTTTTGAGTCGACTCAAAAAACACAGGCCACGCTTTTGAGTCGACTCAAAAGCACGTGTGGCTGCACGGGCTGACTTTTGAGTCGACTCAAAAAACACAGGCCACGCTTTTGAGTCGACTCAAAAGCACGTGTGGCTGCACGGGCTGACTTTTGAGTCGACTCAAAAAACACAGGCCACGCTTTTGAGTCGACTCAAAAGCACGTGTGGCTGCACGGGCTGACTTTTGAGTCGACTCAAAAAACACAGGCCACGCTTTTGAGTCGACTCAAAAGCACGTGTGGCTGCACGGGCTGACTTTTGAGTCGACTCAAAAAACACAGGCCACGCTTTTGAGTCGACTCAAAAGCACGTGTGGCTGCACGGGCTGACTTTTGAGTCGACTCAAAAAACACAGGCCACGCTTTTGAGTCGACTCAAAAGCACGTGTGGCTGCACGGGCTGACTTTTGAGTCGACTCAAAAAACACAGGCCACGCTTTTGAGTCGACTCAAAAGCACGTGTGGCTGCACGGGCTGACTTTTGAGTCGACTCAAAAAACACAGGCCACGCTTTTGAGTCGACTCAAAAGCACGTGTGGCTGCACGGGCTGACTTTTGAGTCGACTCATAAAACACAGGCCACGCTTTTGAGTCGACTCAAAAGCACGTGTGGCTGCACGGGCTGACTTTTGAGTCGACTCAAAAAACACAGGCCACGCTTTTGAGTCGACTCAAAAGCACGTGTGGCTGCACGGGCTGACTTTTGAGTCGACTCAAAAAACACAGGCCACGCTTTTGAGTCGACTCAAAAGCACGTGTGGCTGCACGGGCTGACTTTTGAGTCGACTCAAAAAACACAGGCCACGCTTTTGAGTCGACTCAAAAGCACGTGTGGCTGCACGGGCTGACTTTTGAGTCGACTCAAAAAACACAGGCCACGCTTTTGAGTCGACTCAAAAGCACGTGTGGCTGCACGGGCTGACTTTTGAGTCGACTCAAAAAACACAGGCCACGCTTTTGAGTCGACTCAAAAGCACGTGTGGCTGCACGGGCTGACTTTTGAGTCGACTCAAAAAACACAGGCCACGCTTTTGAGTCGACTCAAAAGCACGTGTGGCTGCACGGGCTGACTTTTGAGTCGACTCAAAAAACACAGGCCACGCTTTTGAGTCGACTCAAAAGCACGTGTGGCTGCACGGGCTGACTTTTGAGTCGACTCAAAAAACACAGGCCACGCTTTTGAGTCGACTCAAAAGCACGTGTGGCTGCACGGGCTGACTTTTGAGTCGACTCAAAAAACACAGGCCACGCTTTTGAGTCGACTCAAAAGCACGTGTGGCTGCACGGGCTGACTTTTGAGTCGACTCAAAAAACACAGGCCACGCTTTTGAGTCGACTCAAAAGCACGTGTGGCTGCACGGGCTGACTTTTGAGTCGACTCAAAAAACACAGGCCTCGCTTTTGAGTCGACTCAAAAGCACGTGTGGCTGCACGGGCTGACTTTTGAGTCGACTCAAAAAACACAGGCCACGCTTTTGAGTCGACTCAAAAGCACGTGTGGCTGCACGGGCTGACTTTTGAGTCGACTCAAAAAACACAGGCCACGCTTTTGAGTCGACTCAAAAGCACGTGTGGCTGCACGGGCTGACTTTTGAGTCGACTCAAAAAACACAGGCCACGCTTTTGAGTCGACTCAAAAGCACGTGTGGCTGCACGGGCTGACTTTTGAGTCGACTCAAAAAACACAGGCCACGCTTTTGAGTCGACTCAAAAGCACGTGTGGCTGCACGGGCTGACTTTTGAGTCGACTCAAAAAACACAGGCCACGCTTTTGAGTCGACTCAAAAGCACGTGTGGCTGCACGGGCTGACTTTTGAGTCGACTCAAAAAACACAGGCCACGCTTTTGAGTCGACTCAAAAGCACGTGTGGCTGCACGGGCTGACTTTTGAGTCGACTCAAAAAACACAGGCCACGCTTTTGAGTCGACTCAAAAGCACGTGTGGCTGCACGGGCTGACTTTTGAGTCGACTCAAAAAACACAGGCCACGCTTTTGAGTCGACTCAAAAGCACGTGTGGCTGCACGGGCTGACTTTTGAGTCGACTCAAAAAACACAGGCCACGCTTTTGAGTCGACTCAAAAGCACGTGTGGCTGCACGGGCTGACTTTTGAGTCGACTCAAAAAACACAGGCCACGCTTTTGAGTCGACTCAAAAGCACGTGTGGCTGCACGGGCTGACTTTTGAGTCGACTCAAAAAACACAGGCCACGCTTTTGAGTCGACTCAAAAGCACGTGTGGCTGCACGGGCTGACTTTTGAGTCGACTCAAAAAACACAGGCCACGCTTTTGAGTCGACTCAAAAGCACGTGTGGCTGCACGGGCTGACTTTTGAGTCGACTCAAAAAACACAGGCCACGCTTTTGAGTCGACTCAAAAGCACGTGTGGCTGCACGGGCTGACTTTTGAGTCGACTCATAAAACACAGGCCACGCTTTTGAGTCGACTCAAAAGCACGTGTGGCTGCACGGGCTGACTTTTGAGTCGACTCAAAAAACACAGGCCACGCTTTTGAGTCGACTCAAAAGCACGTGTGGCTGCACGGGCTGACTTTTGAGTCGACTCAAAAAACACAGGCCACGCTTTTGAGTCGACTCAAAAGCACGTGTGGCTGGACGGGCTGACTTTTGAGTCAACTCAAAAAACACAGGCCACGCTTTTGAGTCGACTCAAAAGCACGTGTGGCTGCACGGGCTGACTTTTGAGTCGACTCAAAAAACACAGGCCACGCTTTTGAGTCGACTCAAAAGCACGTGTGGCTGCACGGGCTGACTTTTGAGTCGACTCAAAAAACACAGGCCACGCTTTTGAGTCGACTCAAAAGCACGTGTGGCTGCACGGGCTGACTTTTGAGTCGACTCAAAAAACACAGGCCACGCTTTTGAGTCGACTCAAAAGCACGTGTGGCTGCACGGGCTGACTTTTGAGTCGACTCAAAAAACACAGGCCACGTGTGGCTGCACCTGCACCTGCACGGGCAGGCATAATGCTCACCCCACTCTCAGGCAGGCGTACTCTCCCTTCTCCCCACCCCACTGCTCTCTCAATTCAACTCCCTCTCCCTGTCTTTCCTTTCAGGACGGGTTTTCCCTGCTGAGCTCAGGCCGCGTGTGGTTTTACATTTCATGGGCAGAACGAGCTAGCTGTCTCTCTTTTCCTCGCTTGCTTCTCACAATAGACTCAGATCCTTCCTGACTCTTACTGAACCCCTTTGCCCCTCCTCCTCTCCTACCCCCCCCACTCTCAGGGCGGTTCCTCCCTGGTCAGCTCGGGTCACGTGTGGCTGCACGGACAGAACGAGCTGGCTCTGGGCGGCAGGAGCCTGCTAGCCGCCAAAAAGCTCCTCATCTCCATGTTCATCGCTGTCCGGGTTCTGGGCGGCAGCCGGATTGCCGCCCCTCTCTCTCACGCCGCCCTCCTCCACCTCCAGTCACTCTCTGAGGGCGGCAGCAGCAATCCAACCTTCTACTCACTACTACAGCCGGATTTTCCTCTACAGCCAGAATCCCCGCTACAGCCGAGCGTCTCTCTGGTACAGCCGCAGCCAAACAGTGGCAAGGTGACAAGTGGGCGCTGGGGCAGTAACTTTTCCTCCTCCTCTTCCTCCTCCTATTCTGCGGTGGCGTCACAGTATGGGGGGTTTGCAGTGCAGACAGGTGACCTGCCGTACTGTCATGTGGAGGAGTGTCCGTCCAGTGTGGTGCAGCCCAACCACGACTGCAGCAGCGAGGATGAATCTCCCTTCTCCCTCCATGTGAGTTCCCTCACCTCATGCTCCTTCTTTCGTCCACATCCTTCCATAACTGCTTCGGCCTTCCCTCATCCTCCTCCCTTCCTCACAAAACTGTTTTGAGACGTCTCAAGCCACAGAAAGTCCACATCCGTTGCCCTTCCCATCATCCTCCCTCCTTGCGAAACCTATATTTTGCCTTCCTCTCCTCCACCTGTGCAGGTCTGTCGTCTCGACAGCCTGTACGTGCAAGGGGCGATGGAGGGGGCATTGGTGCGCATAGATGCCTCCTCCTCACTTGTCATCGACCACCGAGCCTCTATCTCTGCGTCCGGCCTTGGTGAGTGGAAGGTGTGCGGTTAGAGAGGCCTGTTCATGGCAGTTGCTTTCTCTTGGAAGAAACCGTATCGGTATCCTCACTATCACCTTCGTTCCCTTCCTACCTTGCTCACTTCATTGGTGCGCATACATGCCTATTGAGACGTCTCAAAAGCCTTCCTACCTTGCTCACTTCATTGGTGGGCATACATGCCTATTGAGACGTCTCAAAAGCCTTCCTACCTTGCTCACTTCATTGGTGGGCATACATGCCTATTGAGACGTCTCAAAAGCCTTCCTACCTTGCTCACTTCATTGGTGCGCATACATGCCTCCTCCTCACTTGTCATCGACCACTGAGCCTCCATCTCTGCCTCCGGCCTTGGTGAGTGGCAGCTGTATGGCAGGTTGCTTGCCAGGTCATGGCATAGAGCATGGCGAGGAGGATGCGCTGCCTTTTGAGTCGACTCAAAAGTCACCAGGTTGCTTGCCAGGTCATGGCGAGGAGGACGCGCTGCGCCAGCCGGGGGGAGTGGAGGAGGGGGGCATCGGGGAATTGTCAGCAGTCTTTTTCCTCTTCTTCACCTTCTCCCTTCCCCACCCCTCTCTGTTTTCTCTTCACCCTGATCTGCTGTCCCCTCCTTGGGCCCATTTTGTTTGAGGTTGATTTTGAGAATTCTTGGGCCCTCCTTGTCCCCTCCTTGTCCCCTCCTTGTCCCCTCCTTGTCCCCTCCTTGTCCCCTCCTTGTCCCCTCCTTGTCCCCTCCTTGTCCCCTCCTTGTCCCCTCCTTATCCCCTCCTTGTCCCCTCCTTGTCCCCTCCTGGGCCCTGTACACCAGGTTGCCTGCCGGGCCATGGAGTGGGGCATGGCATGGCAGCGACACACCAGCAGCGGGTAATGGAGGAGAGGGGGGCATGGGGGAAAGAACGCCTCTCTTTCTCCTCTCGCTCACCTTCCTGTCTGCCTTCCTGTGCTCAACCCCCTTTTTCCTTTCCTTTAGGTTGCCTGCCGGGCCATGGGGTAGGGCATGACAGGGATGCACCAGCAGGGGGAAGCGGAGGAGGGGGGCATGGGAAGACGAAGGGCTCTTTCTTTGCTCTTTCTCACTCTACTTTTCCCCCGCTCCCACCAGGTTGCCCGCCGGGCCATGGCGTGGGGCATGGCAGGGACGCACCAGCCGGGGGGAGTGGAGGAGGGGGGCATGGGGGAAAGAAAGACCCTTTTTCTCCTCTCTCTCACCTTCCTGTCTGCCCGCCCTTCCATGCTCAACCCCTTTTTGTTTTCCCACCAGGTTGCCCGCCGGGCCATGGCGTGGGGCATGGCAGGGACGCACCAGCAGGGGGCAGTGGAGGAGGGGGGCATGGGGGCAAGGGCGGTGCCGGCCATTTCAATGGGTCCCGGGCGGCAGGAGGCGCCGCATACGGACGAACGATGCCGCCCTGCAGTGTCGGGAGTGGGGGTGGGCTGGGGCCGGAGGGTCGGGGGAACAGCGGAGGCGGGCTGATAGGTGGGTGGGGTGATAAGTGGGTGAAAGGTGAGAGTGAGATGATAAGCGGGTGAGGTGAAAGGTGAGAGTGAGATGATAAGTGGGTGCGGTGATAGGCGGGTGACGTCTGCTTTGAGACTTAGTTTTCCTCTACCTCCCCGCTCTCCGTTTTCCCCGATTCCCCCTAGCGCTGTGCCCTGTGGCTCCTGGAGCTCTGGGCGGCTCTCTGGCAGCAGGTGTTCGCGTTGAGCCTTATTTTCTCATTTTCTTCCCATCTGCTCTCCGCTTTCCTCCCTTTTCGCCGTTTCCCCCCCAGTGTTGGGCCCTGTGGCTCGCTTGGAGCTCTGGAGCAGCTCTCTGGCAGCAGACGGCTCGTTTCTCAACACACGCACTGTGGGAGGCGAGTCTCTCTTTTTCTCCTTCCTCTCCCATCCTTTCCCCCTTCCCTTCCTCAACCCCCCCCGGCCAGTACTGGGTCCTGTGGCTCGTCTGGAGCTGTGGGGCGGCTCTCTGGCAGCAGACGGCTCGTTTCTCAACACACGCACTGTAGGGGGCGAAGGGATGGGATTGGGGATGGGAGGAGGAGGAGTGAGGGGCGGAGAAAGGAGAGTGGGGAGCGGAGGAGCAGGATTGGAGGGCAAGGAAGTGGGAATGACAGGCGGAAGCAAGGAAGTGGGAAGCGGAGGGGTGGGAGGAGGGGCAGGGGGAACAGTGGTGATTCATGCAGCTTACCTGAACATGACTCGTGGGTCTGTGATATCGGCTGCAGGGGGGCAGGGGCATTCGGTGGGGGGAGGTGGAGGGGGCGGAGGGAAGGTGTACTTTGCATGGCAAAACCTGGAGCGGACGCGAGGGGATGAGTACACGCCTCGTGCTACTATCGAGGGGAACTGGACTGATATTATTAGAACAAGTGGAGGGCAGGGAAGCTACGAGGGGGAGGATGGCGAGGCGGGACTGACAGGATCAGCAGACTGCCCACCGGGGCTCGTGGGGCTGTTGTGTGAGGAGTGCCCTGTGGGCACCTTCAAGAGCCAGTCCGGATCTGATCCTTCTCTCTGCTTGCGCTGCCCACTTGACCTCCTGCCACACCATGCTGAATTCACCTACAAGCGAGGTAAGTACAATGTGGTTGGATGCGGTTCTGTGGTGTGGTTGCTGGCCCCACCAGGGACGGCTGGTGGGGCTGTTGTGTGAGGAGTGCCCCGTGGGAACCTTCAAGAGCCAGTCGGGCTCTGATCCTTCCCTGTTCCTGCGCTGCCCGCTCGACCTGCTGGCTCGCCATGCCGAGTTCGCCTACAAGCGAGGTATGTATGGGAGGTATGTATGGGAGGTATGTATGGGAGGTATACCGAGCCCGCTCGAGCTGCTATGGCACGGGGGGTGCTTTGCATGGGAGGTATGGTGCATGCATGCATGCAGGGAGGGAGGGAGGGAGTTGGTTTTCCCCAACGTGGTGGGATGGGATGCATGCGAGCGTCCATGTGTTGTGGCTGTTGAGGCGCCTCAACTCAAACGATGCGTTGATTCAGTACTTTGGGTCCGTGAATATCGTCTCCCTCCCTCCCATTCCCCTCACCCGCTCCCTTCCCTCCTTCCAGGCGGCGCCAGTGCCACTCCCTGCCCCTACCGCTGTCTCTCCTCGCACTTCTCCCTGCCCCACTGCGACACACCAATGGAAGGTCTAATCCGCGACCTGGGCGGGCCCTGGGTGTTCGCGCTGGCATGCACGCTCTCTGTGCTGCTGCTGGGCTTTGCGATCACTCTCGTGCGCGCCAGGCTGCTGCTGGCAGGGGACGACCTGGCCCAGCCGCAGACGAGGGACTCTGATGTGTCCTCCCATATGGACCACTCCCTGCCTTTTCTGGAGTCTCTGAACGAGGTGCGTGGGTGCTCGACCTGGCGTGCACTCTCTCCGTGCTGCTGCTGGCAGGGGACGATCTGGCCCAGCCGCAGACGAGGGACTCTGATGTGTCCTCCCATATGGACCACTCCCTGCCTTTTCTGGAGTCTCTGAACGAGGTGCGTGGGTGCTCGACCTGGCGTGCACTCTCTCCGTGCTGCTGCTGGCAGGGGACGATCTGGCCCAGCCGCAGACGAGGGACTCTGATGTGTCCTCCCATATGGACCACTCCCTGCCTTTTCTGGAGTCTCTGAACGAGGTGCGTGGGTTGTGGCTCTGGGGTGTGCTGCTGTCTCGTCGCCTCAATTGAGGGATTCGAATGTGTCCTCGCTCGCACATGGGCCACTCGCTGCCCTTCCTAGAGTGCCTCAATGAGGTGCGTGGGTGCTGCAGAAGGTGGGGAAGGAGCAGGGTTCCTGGGTGTTTGGTTGCTCTGGCGTGTGCCTCTTGCACATTGTACACCCTTTTTTTCCTCTCTCCTCTCCTCCCACACGCACTCTCCCTCTCCCCATCAGTTGATGGAGAATACGAGGGTAGAGGAAGCAGCCTCAAACGTCCACCGGGTGTTCTTCTGTGGAGACAACTCCTTCTGACACCCGCTGCAGAGTCAAATAAAGTTTCCCTTTTTCACTTCCCCTCTTCCCCACCAGGTCATGGAGAACACAAGAGTGGAAGAAGCAGCCTCACACGTCCACCGGGTCTTCTTCTGCGGAGACAACTCCTTCTCGCACCCGCTGCAGAGTCAAATACGTTTCCTTCTCTCACTTCCCCACTTCCCCACCAGGTGATGGAGAATACGAGGGTAGAAGAAGCAGCCTCACACGTCCACCGAGTCTTTTTCTGCGGAGACAACTCCTTCTCGCACCCGCTGCACCTCCCACACTCCCCGCCGCGCGCAATCTCCGATCTCGTATACGAAGACTCATACAACCGTCTCGTAGACGAGGTTAACGCCATTGCGTGCTACCGGTGGTGGGAGGGGTGTGTGCACTCGCTGCTGGCGCTGCTCGCGCTGCCGTTTGCGTGGTCGTGGCAGCAGTGGCGGCGCCGCCTGGTGGTGCAGCGGCTGCGGGAGTTTGTTCACACGCGCTACGACCACTCGTGTCTGCGCTCCTGCCGCTCCCGCGCGCTATACGAAGGGCTCAAGGTGAGCGGGGATTTAGGCTGGGGGAGTCGGTTCATTCGACTCAAAAGGCACGCTGCGGAGGGAGTTTGTTCACACGCGCTACGACCACTACTGCCTGCGCTCCTGGCGCTACCGTGCCCTCTACGACGAAGGACTCAAGGTGAGTTGAACAGTGACTTCTACCTTCTGAGTCGACTCAAAAGCCACGTCATCAAGTGAGCCTGTTATTTCTCCATCTCAGAAACATACGGCCTTTATAAACGAGACAAGGTGCTGAGCGTGTTACCTTTCACCCCCGGATCACCACAAATCTTATGTATAAGTCTGAGCCTTCATCTTCTCCCTAAAAAGACCACAGTATCTCCTTGGTGTGGGCACACCAGTTTCTAGAGACCACTGTTTCTAGAGACCACTGTTTCTAGAAAACACCGTTTCTAGAGACCAACGTATTGCCTTCTTTGTCCCTCTCACTCCCTGCTACCTGGTACCTCCAAATACCACCTCCCCCAGGTGTCAGCTACCCCATATCTAGTCCTCGGCTACATGGACGTGTGTCTTGTCTCCGCCTCTCACCCCCTGGTACCCCCTGGTACCTCTGGTATCTCCAAACCAAATGCCACCTCCCCCAGGTGTCAGCTACCCCGGATCTAGTCCTGGGCTACATGGACGTGTTTCTGGGCGGCGACGAGATGGCCACGCACATGCTGCCGAGCTTCGCCGACCGCCTGCCACTGCTGCTGGTGCTGGGCGGCAACGGCTCGTACATGGCGCCGTACCATCTCTTCACCGACGACCTTCTCACCAACATCATCTCCCAGGTGTGCTCTCAGGTGTTTCCTCAGGCAGTTATGCGGACATGCTCTCTGGTGGGTTCTCAGATCAGCTGCGCTTTTGTTTGTTTGTCAGATATGCCGTTGGGCGTGCTTACAAATATGTACTTAAGGTCAGGTGTGTTATTTGGTGCCCTCATACCTTCTTTCAATTCAACTTAAATCAAACTCCCTCCCTACCCTCTCATCCCCCCTGCCGTCAACCCTTCCATCCATGCCAACCCCTCCCAGGCCATCCCCCCCACGGTGTGGTACCGTCTGGTGGCAGGGCTGAACGCTCATCTGCGCACTGTCACCCACAACTCCCTGCACAAGCCACTTTTGAGGCGTCTCAAAAGTCGACTAACTGCACAAGCCACTGAAACCCCTGCTGCACTGGCTTTGCAATCATTGATGCCGCTCTCCTCCGCCCCTCCTATTCACCCTCCCCTCCTACCCCCACATGCCATCCCAGGCCATCCCCCCCACAGTGTGGTACCGCCTGGTAGCAGGGCTGAACGCCCACCTCCGCACTGTCAGCCACGGCTCCCTGCAGAGGTCTTTGAAACCACTGCTGCGTTGGCTGTGCACGCATGTCAACCCCTCGCTGGAAGCCCACGGCGTGTCAGCACACCTCGCCTGGCTGCAGGTGCGCCCCTGGTTGCTGCAGGTGCGCCCCTGGTTGCTGCAGGTGCGCCCCTGGTTGCTGCAGGTGCGCCCCTGGTTGCTGCAGGTGCGCCCCTTGCTTTGCTCCTCATCCTTGTCTTGCCCTTTCATCTAGTCTCGCCCACTGCATCCCGAGCTGCGCTGCCTGTGCATGCACGTCAACCACTCACTAAAAGCCCACGACGCGTCCGCCGCACACCTCGCCTGGCTACAGGTGCACTGCCCTTCTCCTCCTATCCTACTCTCTGTATCCGCACTGCAGTCGCTGCCATGTAAAGTCACTCCTTCCTCCCTTCTCTCCATCAGTTTCTCTCCATCGGTTTCTCTCCATCAGTTTCTCTCCATCAGTTTCTCTCCATCAGTTTCTCTCCATCAGTTTCTCTCCATCAGTTTCTCTCCATCAGTTTCTCTCCATCAGTTTCTCTCCATCATTTTCACTCCATCAGTTTCTCTCCATCAGTTCCTCTCCGTCAGTTTCTCTCCATCAGTTTCTCTCCATCAGTTTCTCTCCATCAGTTTCTCTCCTTCAGTTTCTCTCCATCACTTTATCTCCATCACTTTCTCTCCATCAGTTTCTCTTCTTCAGCAATGACTACCTCCCCTCTTCCCTCTCCATTTCCCGTCCCTCCCTCTCTCCCGCTTCCTGCACCCACCTGTCCCCCACACCAGGATAATCCAGCTCGCCCACACCAGGATAATCCAGCTCGCCCTGTGTCCTCTCCAGCTCAATATCTTCTGACCCCCCCCTTTCTCTCCTCTCCCTTCCCCCTCCCTCTCCTCTTTCCCCATTCATTCTACAACCACAGCCAACATCAGCCAGCATAATCCAGCTCGCTCTGTGTCTCGACCACCCTGAGAGCACCGATCATTGCAATGACTATCTCCCTTCTTCTTCAGCTGCTGCTGCTGCTGCTGCTGCTGCCGATACTGCCGGCCACTTCTCTGCTCCGAGCCTCACCTCCTTTGCTTCAGCAGCTGCGCCGAACCTGGCCGGCTTCGGCAGCAGCTTCGGGAGCAGCCGGCTGGGTGGGTTCGGTGGTTCGGACACAGGATGGGGAAGGCCGGTAGAGAGAACGAGACTCGGAGGCTCTGTTTCCGCATTGCCATCTCCTCGCACTGCCACTCTTTCCCATTCCGCTCTTCCTCCTGCGGCACTTCCCTCCTCTGCCTTTGCTCCTGCCTCTTTGCTTTCCTCGCACACTCAGGCCTTGTCAGAGGTTCCTGCCTTCTCCCGCTCTGACTCCTCGCTCTCGCATCAACACACCCCGCACCAATACAACTCGCATCGGCAGCAGCAGCAGCACCAGCAGCAGCAACCGCAGCAACAGCAGCAACAACAGCAGCAGCGGCGGCAGCAGTGGCAGCAAAGCATCTCCCCGTCCTCTCTTCTCTCAAACCCCTACCTCAATCACTACCCTGCAACCTCTCTCTACAACCCATACTTGTTAACAGCCACTCCCACCTCCTCCACCGCACACCCCTACTCCACCTCCCCCTCCCCCCCTCCCCATGACCCTACCCTCCCAACTCGACGCTCTCCTTCTCTTACGAGACGCCTCCACCCAACCAGCTGTCGCCACGTCAGCAGGCTTATCCACTCGTTACTTGCCACCTGGCGGCTTCAGCGCTGGTTATTCGGGCAGGGCTGGGAGCGCTAGTGTCACATCTGGTGGCCGTTCCCCCCCTACAGTCACAGGAAATAGAGTCACACAGAACAGATATACCGGAGGTGGTTTGGGTGGGTATGGGGGTGTGAACACTCCTCCCTATCAGTCCCCCCATCCTCCTCCTCCTCTTCTTTCTCCTCACCTTTCTCACACCCCTTTGCGACCGCGCCCGTTGTCAGCACTGGGTGGGGAGGGCGTTGGTAGACTATACTCTCAGAATGCTTTGCAAGAGCACCAGCAGCAGCAGCAGCAGCAGCAGCAAAGGCAGCAAGAAGCTCTGAGTATTCGGTTGCCGGCTCGAGCACTATCAGTCAAACTTCCCTCTCAGCAGCAACAGCAGTCAGGAGGGGAGCGAAGCCCCTCCCTTGCATCCCTCCCCCCTCTCTCCCCTCACAGGTTCGAACATCGACCGTCCCTCTCAATCCTCCCCTCTGCCGAGCCTACTCCCGGTCCTGCTGGCTCGGCTCACTTTGCTCCCAGGTTCGACACAGGCTCGGGAAGCGGTCTGGCAAGAAGCATCCACGGCTCGATTCCTGAGAATCTCTCTTTGCTAAGTGACAAGGAGACGAGACGGGGCGGCGAGAGGAGGGAAGTGGAGCGGCAGATTTCGTCAGTTTCTGCAGGGTTGCTGTGGCAGGCGGCGGGGGGGCGGGTGGGGAAGAGGCAGCAGGGGGGGTTGATAGACGCACAGGTGCCGCAGCGGCTGGATGGGGGGCGAGGGCTGTGCCTGCCTGGCTGTGGGTTGCTGCTGCGGAACACTCTGCCTGTTGGCCATGATGTGAGTTCTATTCATTCTGTTCTGTTCCGTTTTTTTTTTCCGACTTTTCAGTCGACTCTGAATTGGGGGTTGTGCTTGCCCGGCCGATCTCTGCCTCTGCCTCCTCCAATCCTACAGCACCTCCCTCCTCGCCTTCGCTCTCATGCTCTTTGTCCTGCCGCTCGCGCCGCTCTTCTCAGCAGCAGCGGGGCTGAACGCCCTCTTTGCCCACGGGGCGAGGGGGGGAGCGGGGCTGGGGAGGGTGTATGGGCTGTGGAACGTCACTTCCCTTGCCAACGGGGTGAGTGGGCTATGGTTTGGGTTGAAGTTCTTTGAGAATTCTCAAAAAACACGCTATGGTTTGGGTTGAAGTTCTTTGAGAATTCTCAAAAAACACGCTATGGTTTGGGTTGAAGTTCTTTGAGAATTCTCAAAAAACACGCTATGGTTTGGGTTGAAGTTCTTTGAGAATTCTCAAAAAACACGCTATGGTTTGGGTTGAAGTTCTTTGAGAATTCTCAAAAAACACGCTATGGTTTGGGTTGAAGTTCTTTGAGAATTCTCAAAAAACACGCTATGGTTTGGGTTGAAGTTCTTTGAGAATTCTCAAAAAACACGCTATGGTTTGGGTTGAAGTTCTTTGAGAATTCTCAAAAAACACGCTATGGTTTGGGTTGAAGTTCTTTGAGAATTCTCAAAAAACACGCTATGGTTTGGGTTGAAGTTCAGTGCGAAAGGCTCGAATTCTCGTGTTAATCGGCAGGCCAGCGGGCTAGGTAATGGGTTTGTTGTGGTTGTTCAGCAGAGCGATTGCATGGCTAGCAGCAGCATAATCAAAAACCTTCTTCAGCCTTTGTGTTTCTGTTTTTGCATTCCATGCAGCCTTCCTCTGGCCCCCTTCACTCTTGTGATTTTTCTCTTCTTCAACTCCTTGGCTCCTTCCACTCTATTTGCCATTATCTTCTTTTACGCTCTCCTCTTTTTCACGCCCTTCCTTTTCACTCCCTTTTCAGGTGGTTGCTGTGACCCTGGGAGTGTTTCATGTATGGCAAACTTACAAGGGCACTCCCTCAGGTGCTCCTCCCAGGTGAGAACAACAGAGCGAGCCAGGCGAATCGTCCCCATTCGAGCAGAAACGAGATCAAACTGGTTGAAGTTTTGCCACGCAATTTTGCCGCGCATGACTCCTTTTCGGTGCCTCGTGAAACACGAAAAAGGCACGAGTCAACAGCATCAGAGGAAAGTCAAGGGATGATGCAGAGGAAAGTCAGCGGCTAAACCTCATCTTAGTGCCTCATGCGACCCTCCCTTGACTTTCGCAAATCGGCGAGTCAGCCGCATCAGAGAATTTCACGTAGCTGGCTTTCTTGAAGGTCTCAAGTGCTCATTCTTTCCCACCCATCAGGGTCCTCGCTAGGTTTTGAACCCCCCTGATGCATCAGACGGGCCCGAAGGGCCCGTCTGATGCATCAGAATTTTTGCTTTTGAGTGTCTGACGAATCAGAAATTTTCAAAAACCTTGTCTGACCAATCAATACAGAGTTACGAGTGTGCAGATGCACGTGGGAAAAAAATTGAGTCAAACTTCTCTCTCGCCTGTCACATCCATTCTAAGGGCACACAACACTCACCCTGTCATACTACATTCGCCCCGTCACACCACATTCGCCCCTTTTCACCACATTCGCCCTATCACAAGAGGGGTTCGCACTGCGTATAAAGATTGCAACGAGTCAACCTGTCACAGCAGTGATCCATGCACTGTCACAGGAGAGATTCCCTTCCCACCGCTGGAAATCGCGATATGCTATGTTTCGATTTCAGACGAAACAGAAAACAGGTCTCTGATAGAACAGATGGAAACTAAAAACCATTTCTGACCCATCAGACGGCATAATGCACCCATTTCTTGAAAATCAGATGAGTGAAAAAAAATCTGTCTGATTTCTCAGAAAAACAGACAAAAATGTCTGATAGCGAGGGCCCTGCCACCCATCCTCCCCTCCCCTCCCCTCCCCGGTTTCTTCTTTCCCGTTCGCTCAACTTTTCTCCCTTCCCCGTTCAGGTTCAGGGAGTCAGCAGCAGCAGAGGAGTTCACGTGGCTGCTGTTCCCAGCCATGTTTGTGGCATGTAAGTTGGCTCAAGCACGAGTTATAGACCGCCATGTGGCAAATCTGGAGATTCAGGATCGCACCCTGCTGGCAGAGGACCCGACCGTCTTTTGGGAGGCGTAAGAAGGAGCTTCAAAGGGATTTCTTTGTACAGTGCGTATTTGAACGTATTTCTTTGAGCCTTGAACGTATTTGAATACTAGTTAGTTAGGTCTGGGTTGCTACACGATGCTGTCCTGCAGTGTTATTGAGTTTGTAAGGGATAGTGTATTGGGATAATGTCACATTCGATATGTCCTCCCAAACAGCCATTTTCCCTCTCTAATGAAGGCGCATGCACAGTTTAACCTTATCTATTGAGAGAATCATTAAAGCTGCAGCCTCTTAGACGCTACATACCTTGTGCTGAAAAGCAACTTTCCATTAAGATTGCGAACGAGTGATCACACCACACCACACCTGATAATACAAACAAGGAAATATACCTTGGTTGTTGATGTGGGATCCGTGAAGTCGGCTTGTGAGCTGTAGCCAAGAGAAGAAGGGGGAAATATGCTTGGGAGAACGTGGAATATTTTAGTTCAATCGCTTGACGGACTAAGCCTATCCATAGATAATGAACAAGGTACACCAATGGCTAGCTAGCCGTGTATGTGAACCGCTTTCCCATCTCATACCGGATCGTCTCGAGCCTCTCGACGTGTCCTCCTTCATCGTCGTTGGTTTGGTCCACGCTCCAACATAGTGTCCTTCCCCTTCCCTTGCTTCATACCCCTTCCGCTTCCCCCTCTCCCTTCCCTTTCCCGCCCCTCGAACCTCTCCGACACCCACAGCTCCTCCCATCCATCCCCCGCCCACCGCCCACATCTCACCTCCTCCATCCCTCATTTCCGCGCACGCGCGTCAATAGGGCCAATCGGAATTTCCCACGACAAACCCTAGGAGTCTAGAATGCAGTCAGGTTGCTGCATTACCATGCTCTGATTCTTGGTCACGTTGATTGAGCTTCGATTCCCTCGGCGTGAGCTTTGATTTGCTCACACGCTGACTTGCGCACCTTGCTGCGCTGGATGAGCAGTGAGCGTCAGGCCCGCTCAACTGCGTGGTTGAACAGAGCATCTCTCGAGACTCGGAAGTTTCATTGCAAGCCGAAATAGTCTGTGCTACCCACTTTCAATCTTCAGTAAGCAGCGTCGCTGCATTTGCTTGCCATTGGGATGGTCGAGAACCACGGCAATGCAGGGCAGGAGCACGGCATTCGTCGTTGTTACGGGTGGAGGATCCGCACGTGCAGTCACGTTTAGCTAGTGCTTGTTTTGCAAGCTGTCCTTTTTGTCCTGCGAGTTCTTTGTCGTGTGGCCCGTTCTCTAGAACATTCGGCGGCTCGCCATGGCACATCTGGCGTGGCCTCCGCTGAAAAAAGTGAGGCGTCGTGCGTGGCGAGGCGATCATCGTTACTACTTGACGGTGTGGAGGGCCCTCCGTGTGATGCGGACTTCGTCAAGTTGTTCCGAGGCGTCATGAAACGAGGTCACCATCGATGCTGCAAAAGATCTTATTGTACGAATAATTCCTTGTTGGAGATACCGCACACACCAAACCTACATGACGCTTTCACATCCCCTTCTTTCCGATCTGCCAACCAGCTTAAATCCGGCTTACAAATGTCCAGTCTTGGAGTATCCCCCTCCATCAGAGGCATCTCTTATCTCGATCTACTACAATAGCAGCTCACAGTGCTGCTTCGAATGCTTTTTCCGTTTTTGCTGCGACGCTGCACCGAAACGATTTTGGGGACACTGATTCGGATACGCAGGCCCGCTGCTTTCAACCCATTAGTGGCATTAAGAAGCTGTTCCAGGCTGGCAGTGAAACATGTGTTCGCTTCAAGTTCTCGAGCTAGCTGTCTCAATCCTTTCAGATCTCAAGTCTGACTGACCTTTGAGTCGGCTCAGAAGTCACCTTCAAGTTCTAAAGCTAGCTAGACACGTACAGATCTCAACCCCTGACTCCAATCGGACTAAATTCTACGGACTGGGACGCCTAGACCAGCCTCTGCTAGAAATATTACGGGCGGCTCTCTCACTGCCAGGCTCCTCCTATTCCAGACCTCCCTATATTGCACTTATCTGCTGCTGCTGCATTTCACTATCACGCAATGGCGGACCTGTCAAGGCCCCTGACGCCCACGTGGGAAGACAACCTGGACCGCTACCTTCGGTCTGTTTCAGCGCTAGAGCACAGCCAGCACGAGCAGCATCATCAGCTGCAACACCAATCCGCGCTACAGCAAGCGGAGCATTCTCACGAACTAAATTCGCATGAGCAGCACGGGCCACATTTGCAGGAGCAGCAGCATCGTGAGGAACATCCAAGCGGCCAGCAGCAGTCCCAGCAACCCCAGCAGCAGCCACAGCTACAGCAGCCCCAGCCGCCCCAGCCGCAGCCGCAGGCACAGCCACCGCCGCCGTCGCTGCCGAACCCTACCTCTCCTCTCCGGAGCTCCATCGTCCTAAAGGCAGCTCCGGCATATGAGGCGCCTCAGAAGACTCCACCATTGCTGGCAAATCCGACGTCTTTTCTTGGTAGCACCGTTATCGAAGAAGGCAATCTGATGGAGTCTGCGTTTCAGCCCCAATCTTTCCCAGCTGCGATGCCAACATATTTGAAGGATATGGACTTCTCTACCGCTGCCATCTTGAGTTACACGTCTGACGCGCTTGCATCCTGGTCCGATTCCTTCCCTGCTGAAGCAGCAGCGCAGCCCAAGCATCTGGAACAGACGGATGTCATCCTGAGGGGTGCAGCTGGTTTGCACGCTTCCTGGTCCGAAGCCTTTCCTGCTGTAGCGGCACACTGCAAGACACTGGAATTCGCTGATACCATTATGAAGGATCCATCTAGTTCCCACCCTGCTGCTGCTGCGGCTGCAGTGCAGGCCAAGGGTCTACCACCATCTATTACTGTCACTTCAAGTTTTACATCTGGCGCTTTTGATTACCTCCTTTCTCCGCCAATGCGGGCCAATGCATTGGAACCTGCTGCTACTGTCTACTCTTCAGACCCAGTGCAAGCATGGTTTTCTGAGATCTACTCTGAGTCGACTCCAGACACACCAACACATCCCAAGGTTTTGAAACCAGCTACTGGGAAGCTACCAAGTCCGTTTTCAAGGGTCCCAGGGGCATCTTTGGGCAAGCTGATGCAGCCGCCCTTGTCCTTGGTGCAAAGGAACTCTTTCAACCGCTTGGAACCCACTGTTTCTACCGAGCTGTCATGTGAAGAAAAACAAGGATTTCCCAAGTCGATGAGCCTCCCTGTGTCCATGACACAAAGGGAAGAGGCCAAGCGCTTGGAAGCTTCTAATGTCAGACCATCAATGTCCGCACCCAAGGAGAGTAAGAACGTTGAGACAACTCAAGACAAGACTCGGAGTGATGCTTCTCAGGGAAGCATGAGACTCGTGGAGCAGTCGTCACGTAGCAGATCATATGACAAGTCATTACATAACAGATCATCATATACTCCCACGGGAGACTGGCTGGTTGACAGCTTCATGCGGGCAAGGGCTTTTGCTTTCTCTCAGCCACACTTTCTTCCCATGAGCCGTGCTGCTGCTGCTCTAGCTACTGCTACTCCTGCTACTGCTGCGGTCCCTTCTGGTCCCGCTGCTGCCTCTGCTCCACCAGCAGCAGCAAACAGAGGTGCTGCTACCAGCAGTGCCTTGGGCTCCTGCCTTTCGTCCTGGGCTCGGGCTACCATGCTGCCACTCAGACCTTCACACGACAACAGAGGCTCAACAATTGCAGCTGCAGGCACAAGTGCCCCTGGTTTGAAACGTTACAAGACTACCGGTGTTGCAGTTACAACCGCAAGCGACCCTGTTTTGACACGCCGGAACACTATTGGTGCTACAGCAACAGCAGCAAGTGGCCATGTGCTGGGAAGATTTAAGACTCCTGACGGTGCAGCTGCAGCCACAAGCGACCATGTTTTGACTCGTCGGAAAACAAGTGGTGTTTCAGCCGCACGTGACCCTGTTACGGGACGGTTCAAGCCTCTGGGTGCTGCAGCAGCAACCTCAAGCGACCCTGTTTCGAAAGGCCAGAACAGCAACGGGTACGAGATTACCAGCTGTTTTAAGCGGCCGCGGTTGAATGCCGCTGGCGTAGCTGGGCGCAGCAGCATGGCTAGCACGTTCGGCATGACCGGCAGTAGGTTCGGCACGCCCAGTAGGTCCGGTGCGGCCAGCACATCCATGTTCAGCACCAGCACATTCGGCGTGACTGGCACGTCCGGTACAAGCCTGATCTGAAGGATGCAACTGTGCTATGGTTTTGTGTGCTCTCAAATCCCTGAGACAACTCAGCATGCCATATAGGCATGCCCTTTCACGTCATAGGAGTATATGTGTGATGTCCTCGTGCCCGCATATAATAGGGTAGCAGATAACGATGTACTGCATATGTACTTATGATAAAGCCTGCACGGCCTACTATTGTGAAGGGCGTTACATACCAGCACGTGAAGCCACAGCAAAGAAACTGTCTTTCGGTAAAAACAAAACAAATCAGCCGGCATAAAAGACGCCAGAACAATGAAGCCAAACACAACTCTGTCACGCCATTCAGCAGCCAATGTCTGCTATCCCAGTTAGAGGTGCTTCAAAAGTCTTTTGGGGCGCCTCAAAAGAAGCTAACCCTTACTCTGTCACGCCATCCAGCAGCCAATGTTCTTCCTGGTTGCTACCCCAGTCACTGGGCTCACCTACTTGGCCTTGCGATGCATTAAGCCGATTTCTTTGTCGATGAGAAAGCTTGCCTTTCCACAACCTTAGAGTCGACTCAAAAATTTTTGTTCAGCAGCTGAGAATGTCCTAGGTGTCTTTCCCTTCACTGGGGTCAACCCTTGGGAGGAATTTGATGCGAGCTGATTTGAATTTCAGTCTTCAGAAGTCGAGACTCTCTCTGGTTCCTACCCCAATCACTGGGTCCACCCCCTTGCCCTTGCGACACATTTGAGTCGACTTGAGACTCACTGTTCAGCAGCCGAGGCTCTCCCTGGTCTCTACCCCTGTCACTGGATTCACCCCCTTGGCCTTGCGACACATGAGCCGCCTCTGTGCATTGTCCACTATCGCATCTGTGAAGTCTGCTCCGGTCACATCGGCGCCTGCAGGAGAGTAGCATGCACGCAGAGAGAGGTGGTGGGAGAATAAGGGAAGGGGAGGTGACGCATCAGCCGCCTCTAAGGAAACGGCGAAAGGAAAAAATAGCATGCTGGACAGGAAGACAGACCTGCGTGAATGGCAAAGATCAAGGAAAAGAGAAAGGAAGACACAAAGCGGTAGCTCGCCTTCGAACGGCGATCCAGAGAGAATGGCGATGGTAACACTTTTAGGCGCCTTATAGTTAGCCTCACTACAAGCAAAGCGGTAGCTCACCTTCGAACGGCGATCCGGAGAGAATGGCTATGGTAACACTTGTAGGCGCCTTATAATTAGCCTCACTACAAGCAAAGCGGTGGCTCACCTTCGAACTGCGATCCAAAGAGAATGGTGATGGTAACACTTTTAGGCGCCATATAATTAGCCTCACTACAAGCAAAGCGGTAGCTCACCTTCGAACGGCGATCCAGAGAGAATGGCGATGGTAACACTTTTAGGCGCCTTATAATTAGCCTCACTACAAGCAAAGCGGTAGCTCACCTTCGAACTGCGATCCAGAGAGAATGGCGATGGTAACACTTTTAGGCGCCTTATAATTAGCCTCACTACAAGCAAAGCGGTAGCTCACCTTCGAACTGCGATCCAGAGAGAATGGCGTTGGTGAAGTTTGCTGAAAAAGGGGGTAATGGAAAGACGAAAATGAGAAAGTCTGTTTGGACAAAGAAGCAGCAGTGATGGTGGGTGAAAATCCATGACCACGGCAAGATCGCACTACAAAAGCACAGGGGTGGGGAAGAGAGAGGGGGTGAGGGGGGGGGAGAAGGGATGGTGGGGGCGACTAGGATTTTGAAGCGGCAGAGAACAGAATTTGTTTTGCAGAAAGCAAGAGCAGCCGGAATGCGAGCAAGCAAAGAATAAAAATGTGCAAGAAGGGAGTACCGTTGCGAAGGTTGGCCCCTTTGAAAACAACTCGGTCCGCAAGAGCACGCTCCCTGCCGTGACGGGAGGTGGAGAGGAGAGACGGGGAGGGGAGGTTGGGAGGGAAGATGGGGAGGGGAGATGGGGCAGGAAGGTGGGAAGGGGAGGTGGGGAGAAGTGAGCCATAGGGAAAGGGAAGGGTTCAGAAAGCGCGCAGCAGCTGTTTCTGAAAGGAAGACCTCTCAGGCACTTGCTCACCGGTTGGTGTTCTCTAGGTTCGCGAGCTCAAAGCCTGCGAAGCTGTCGGTGCTTTTGAGGCGCCTCGCAAGTCACCTAGTTTGCTCAATCAAGCACGCAGCAAGCATGCAGAAATAGCAAACACCCTCATCGGCTCAGCTCACCAGTTTGTGTTCTCGAGGTTGGCGAGCTCAAAGCCGGCAAATGTGTCGGTGCTGCCAGCAAGGTTCGACCCACTCAGGTTGATCAGCCTGCAGTCGCACGCTGGGTTGGAGGAATGGGAAGAATGGAGCAATGGGGAAATGGGGCAGTGGGGAGATGAGGTAATGGGGGATTGAGAGATTGGGAGGATTGGGGAATGTGGGACTGAGGGAATGGGAACTTGACGACTGGGGGGAATGGGGGCGGTGAAAGAGTGGGGAATGGGGGAACGGGGGAACGGGGGAATGGGGGGTGTGCAGGTTCAGAAACGAGCTGGGAAACATCAGAGTCCCCCCACCTTGTATACCTGCAGGGTATTTTTGAGAATTTTCAGCCCATCCGTTTTCAGCTGGGAACATCAGAGTCCCCCCATTTTGTATACCTGTTTCTTCCCTCCCATCCTCCTTCCTTTTCCCCTAGCTCTCACATCTCACCCCTCTCTCTCGCACCTACTCCCCTAGCCCACTTCTTCCCCCCACTTCCATTCCCGCTGCCCCTCTCGCTCCTGTCACCCTTTTCTCCCCTCACCAGCAAATATGGAGCGGTAAAGGTCCTGATTGGACATGTTTATCAGCCTCCCCCTCTTCCCTTCCCCCTCCCCTCCTCCTTCCTTATCCCCATTCTCCCCTCACCAGCAACTATGGATCGGTAAAGGTCCTGATTGGACATGTCCGTCAGCCTCCCCCTCTTCCCTTCCCCCTCCCCTCCTCCCTCCCTTATCCCCATTCTCCCCTCACCAGCAAATATGGATCGGTAAAGGTCCTGATTGGACATGTCCGCGCCGCGTAGGTAAGCGTGGTTGTATGTCTGGGGGAAAGGGGGAAGGGAGGAAGTACGGGGAAGGGAGAGGGAAAGGGAGGAGGAGGACGAGGGGTGGAGGGAGGTGGGTTGCGAAGGGAAAGGGAGGGGGAATTGTTGGGGGGAGGGAGCACGCAGGAGCACATAATGCAGGAAAAATCAGGGACTGAAAGGGGTCATGGGAACGTCATTGCATGGGTTACGATGGAGAGAGGGAGTACGCATTTCATCAGAGAAATGAAAGGGACTGAGCTGCGTTACATTGGGCTGCAGCTCGCACGTTGAAGTCGGCGAGAGCGACTTTGAGTCGACCAAAAAGTCACTTGTTACGATAAAGGAAGGGAGTAAGCATTGAAAATAGAGAACAGAAAGGGACTGAGCTGTGTTACATTGGGCTGCATCTCGCACCTTGAAGTCGGCGAGAGCGCAAGGCGCGACCGCAAAAGGCGCCGCAACAACCGCCGCCGCCGCCGCAGCTGCAGTCAGCCACAATCCCGCACGCTGCGCGTTGGACGGCGCGTCGGCACGATGCGCGTGAGTGTCGCCAGCGCCGCCACTCGCGTCGCTTCGCTCCGCGCCACCCGAGCTGGACGCGCGAGGAGGAGCTACAGCACGTTGACGCCTCGATACTGTCGTGGTCATTGGGAATGTCGCGCGTCGGTGACCGCCGTGCGATGGCAATCCGAAGGAGGCCAAGTTGGTCTGAAAGGCTTGAACGGACGGAGACGAGACGACGGTGGTACTAGTGCTAGCAACGGGAATTATGCTCGCGAATGCCATAGAAGCAGATAGCACGCGACCGAATGTTTCGCACGCACGACTACCAATCGACGCGTGGTCGTTAACGGGAGTTTCAGCTCCACTCAGGCAGGATGTATTAGCTAAGGCTCGGGAAGCGACGACCCGCAGCGCTCTCAGGATAAATAAGCCACTAGCGCCAGAAGCCCTTACACGTTCCCAGCCGCACTACGCACCACCACAGCGCGACGTGCTTACACTTCGGTCGGAGAGGGAGTGCTGCTGACTGATGACCCTCCAAAGCTAAATGATTGATAGAAATGCAAGCATGCATGCTGACAGACAGGGAGTCTGACAGTCCCAGTCATAGTGCGCGTGAGGGAAGTGGTATGGACGCAAACAGCAGGCTGGATTCATGGAGGGACCGCGACACTCCCAAGGTGAGGTGAGTGCGAGGGGATGAAATACCACGTCACTCAGAGGCCCGTCCAGCCTGGCGAAGGAGTCTCGAGTCGACGGATTGGTCAGACTGCCTTTTGCCAAATCTGCTGAAGACCCTTGATTGGCTGCTGCTCGAACTGCAGTGTGCTACATCCAGATTCCTCAGTATTATTTGTAACTAAAAGAATGGATCATTCATAACAGTGTCATTGATCAGTCAAAATTGGATACTTTGTTCAGTCTAGAAACTCTCATGAGCACTTCAAACCTCCTAAAAGTCAAACCTATACTTATTCCTAAGGACTCCGCTTGATGGGCTATCTATGCTGCACTGCTGTATGCTTTGCACGCCTCCTTTCCTCACCCCACCCACCCACCCGCCCCCATCCATCACCAATCACCCACGTCTACATGCTGATAAAGATCGCAACACATGGGACGGGATGGGATGCACGCTGATGACATTCCACATGCTGCATGTATGTTGAATGACATCTAATCCTCCACATGCTGAATCTCACCCATGAGGATGCGGTTACTGGTAACACTGAAACCCAGCAGAGACGGATCCACCACCTTCTTTCCCTTCTTCCCCTTCTTCTTCCCTCCCGCCCCATCCCCCCCTCCCTCACCGCCCCCAGAAGCAGCACCACCAGCACCAGCAGCAGCAGCACCACCACTACCCCCACCGCTCCCAGCCTTCCCAGACCCCGATCCACTTGCAGTCACCTTCCGAGCCTCCTCCCGAGCCGAGGCAGCAGGCCCGGCAGCAGGACGTGAGGATGCCGAGCCTTGCCCTGCCACACCCTTTTTCCCACCACCACCACCAGCAGCACCACCACCAGTAGAACCACCACCACCAGCACCACTGCCACCACTACTACCGCTGAGAAGAGACGAGTCATCCTGAATAACCGCCTCACTCACAGGGAAGGCCACGCGCACAGCAGCAGGGGAGAGCGCGGATCGGCGCGAGAGGAAGGAGGAGGTGAAGGCGGAGGCAGGGGGGGCAGCGCCGAGGTACTGGAAGAGGTACTGCCGCACCTGGTCGTCTGCTGCCTTGGGGAGTGACATGCAGAAGTCTATCAGTGTGAGATCTGTGAGGGGTGGCAGGGAAGGGAGGGGGGAACGCGCGAAGGGAGGAGGGAGAGAGGAGGGGGGGAGGAGCAGACGTGGGACTGAGAGCCGAGGTACTGGAAGAGGTACTGGCGCACCTGATCGTCTGCTGCCTTGGGCAGCGACATGCAGAAGTCAATCAGTGTGAGGTCTGTGAGGGGGGCCGGGGGAGGGGGGGAGAGGGTGCAACGAGAACAGATATAATATTGCGAGCATAGTTCCGAGATAGCCTGACATTTATTGACACCTGAAACTGTCGGAACTTTCTGTGAGATCATAAATGCTAAGCTTTGAAACGCCTCCAGTCTCAAAACCTTACCAGGGCTGCCCGTGAGGTTGAGGATGTTGGATTCACACCACTGCCGAAATTCCTGAGCTGCCCGGAGCTCTGCTGGGGGCACTTGAGCCGACGCTGCTGCTGCTGCTGCTGCCGCCGCAGGGGAAAAAGGAAAGGAGAAGGGAGAAAAGGGTAAGCCGGGCATGGAAACAGGGCATGGAAACAGGGCATGGAAACAGGGCATGGAAACAGGGCATGGAAACAGGGCATGGAAACAGGGCATGGAAACAGGGCATGGAAACAGGGCATGGAAACAGGGCATGGAAACACAGAGCAGATACGAGACATGACAGAGCAGCACAGAGAGTATATTATCTCAAAGAAAGGTACTCGTTGATCCCAAGGCACGGCACAGTGCAGCACAACACGGCACCGCACAGCACCGCACAGCACCGCACAGCACCCATCAAGGCTGACCTGACTGGGTTGACTTTGCACCCTTCTTCTTGGACCCCTTGGACTTGGTCTCCACAGCTGCTGGTGCTGCTGGAACCTCCTTACTGCAGCCCACAGCAAACAAGCAACACCCAAGTGAGGGTAAACAAGTTGGCAAAAAGAAAAAAAAAACAAACAAACAAAAACAGAGGAGGCTGCTGTTCCAGGCATGTGTGTGTGCAATGGGGTGCACACGAGGGTGACAAGCACATCTGAAACCAGATGCATGATGACGGTGGCACATGCATTAAGCGCGTGTGATGAGTCGATTTTTTAGTCGAGACATCACAAGCACATCTGAAACACGATGCATGATGACGGTGGCACATGCATAAACAAGCCGCATGTAGTTAACCAATCACAGCACGAACCTGGTGTTAGACTGGTACGAGTAGTCCCAGAACATATCCTCATCCTCCTCCACCACCAAGTGACTTTTGAGTTGACTCAGAAGTCACCTTGCTAAACCGAACCTGTTAAACGAACCTGGTGTTAGACTGGTACGAGTAGTCCCAGAACATGTCCTCATCCTCCTCCACCACCACCGCGGCCTCCTTCCTCTCCTGCTGCTTCTTCCCTCCTCCTTTCCCACTCCCACTCCCCACCGAACCTCCCTTCACCTTCCCTCCCAAACCTCCTGCCCCGCCCACTCCTCCCATCCCAACAGCCGCAGCCGCAGCAGACGGCACAGCAGCAGACGCACCAGGCCCCACCCGCTCCTGCAGAACCCTAATCTGCGCCTGCCTCACTCTCTCCTCTTCCCTCGCCCGCTCCTCCTGCCTCTGCCTCTCCTCTGCCTTCGCCCTCTCCTCTGCAGCCTGAATCTCTGCCAGAGACAGAACCGCCCCCCTGCCCCCTCTCCCTCCTCCCGATCCTCCCGCTGCTACTGCTGAACGTCCCGCCGAACCTGACGACCAGGCTGGGGCCGGGGCAGGAGCGGGGGCAGCCGAGGGGCTAACTCCGGGAATCAGCCCCGGAACCATAAGGAAATCAGCCAAGGAAGGAGCGGGTGGAGCAGGAATCTCATCTGCTGCTTTCGCCGCAGCTGCCGCTGCTGCTGCGGAAAGGGAAGCTGAGGCACCAGCAGAAGCAGACCTGGTAGTGGCGACAGGGAGAGAAGCAGCAGGGAGGGCAGCAGCAGCAGCTGCAGCAGCTTCAGTGGCAGCAGCAGAGGCAGCAGAGGAGGACGAGGGCGGCGATTTGCCGCCCTTCCCTTTGGCGCCCTTCTTCTTGCTCTTCCTCAATTCCTTCGGCTCCACAAATTCTGAATCATCCACCTCGGCAGCAGCCGCCGCAGCCGCTGCAGCAGCAGCAGCAGACGAGCCGGACTCGCTCTTGGTCAGCTCTACCCTTGCATCATCCAGCATAGAGGAAGCGGATCCAAGAATCTCCTCTGCCAGAGGATCCCTGAAACCACCTGACAAAACACCTGAAACACCTGAGCCTGCACCCGCTCCTCCTCCCAACCGCCCTGAACCGCTCCCAACCCCGCCTGCAGCCACCCCTGCTCCAGCCGGACTGGAATACCCCCTGCCGCTGAGGGGATCAAACAAACTAGCCCCAGTTCTAGGCTCCAGAGAAGGCGGCTGGGGGAAAAGCACTGCACTGGCGGTAACCGCGCTTCTAGCTGCTGCAGTATCTGCAGCCGCCGCCGCTGCCGCTGCAGCAGCCGCAGCAGCCTCCTCTTCCAAAATCTCCTTAAGGGATTTTTTCCGAGACATAACAGAAGCAGACCCAGCGTTGCCCCAGACAGTGGCTCCTCCTCCCCCTCCTACCCCCCCACTGCCGCTGCCAAACCCACCAGGCCCCCCAATCACCTCGCCTGCTGCAATGGCTGCCTGGATTCGCCGCTCTTGCTCCTCCCTCTGCCTCTCTGCTTCCGCTGCCTCTTCCTCTAGGATCTGTGCAAGGGACTTGGCGGGGACAGTAGGGGCTTTCCAGGCGGGGACAGGTGGGGTGGATGGCTTGGGAAGGGCATCTGTGGAGGTAGCAGAGGGGGAAGCAGCGGGTGCTGGGGATGCAGCAGCTGTTGCTGATGCTGCTTCTCCTCCTCCTGCTGCTGCCTTTTCGCTGTAAGAGAGTGGCTTAGTGCTTGGCTCATTGGTGGAAACCTGCTGCTGCTGCTGCTGCTTCTGCTGCTGCTTCTTCTCTTTCTCCTTCTCCTTCTTCTCCTTCTCCCTCTCCTTCTCCTTCTCCTTCTCCCTCTCCTTTTCCTTCTCCTTCTCCTTCCGTTCCTGCAGCAGCTGCAACTGCTCCTCCTTCTGCTTCTTCTTTTTCAGCTTCTTAAGCTCCTTCTTTGAAAGCGTTTGAGAACCCTCATCCGTATCATCCGCACCTGTCTTATCCTCGTTAACAACCTCCTCCTTCTTCCCTTTACCACCAACGCTCATAGCCTCTCCCTGCCCTTCCTCCGCCTCTGCATCCCCAGCAGCCGCCACCTCATCTCCCTTCCCTGCCCCATCGCCCTGATCTGCAAAGCCCTTCAACGCCTCACCCTCCCCTTCCCCTCCCTCTTTCTGCTGCTGCTGCTGCTGCTGCTGCTGGTGTCCAGCCGTGTCCTCTGCCTTACCCTGTTGCTCTGCCCCGACCGACCCTTCCACCACCTGAGCTACAGCCTGAGGGGGGGTCTGGGTGGACTGCACAGCAGCATAGGCACCGCCCTCTGCCTGATTGTCCTGCCGCAGCAGCTGGGAGTATGACAGCCGCTGTGGCTCTGCTGCCGGCTGCCCCTGCTGTTGCTGCCCCTGCTGCTGCTGCCCCTGCGGCTGCTGCCCCTGCGGCTGCTCCTGCTGGGGTTGCTGCTGCCCCATCCCCTGCTGCTGTTGCTGCTGTAGCAGCAGCTGCTGCTGCATCTGCAGCACGTCAGCTCGGGCCGAGGCCTGACCATCTCCCTGCGTCTGCCCTCCTTGCAACTGCAACATCTGCTGCTGCATCAGCTGCTGCTGAAGCTGCTCCTGAGCTAGCAGCGGAAGAGGGTGAGGGTAGTGACCGGGCAGCATACCAAGGGGAATTTGTGGCACCTGCTGCTGCAAAGGCTGCTGCTGTCCCTGCCCCTGCTGCCCCTGCTGCTGCTGCGGCTGCTCCTGCTGCTGCCCCTGCTGCTGTCCCTGCTGCTGGGGAGGAATCGGGGCGCCTGGGAACGGCGGCAAGAGCGGTTGGCCAAAAGGGGGGGGCGGCAGCGAAGGGTGCTGCTGCAACCACGGGGGAGGGACTGACCCGGGGATTGGCCCTTGCAAGAATCGCGCCTGCTGCAACTGCTGCTGAATCTGCTGCGTTCCCTGGGCATCAACCGGCCTGCCTGACATAAGCAGCGACGACAGGTGCATCTGTAACGCCATTTCCTCCGTTACAACCTCTGGTAACCCGCCCTCTTTCGCCAACACGTGTGGCAAGCCAGCCGCACCTGCCACTCCCACCCCCCCAGGCAAACCTCCCCCGGAAGCACCTGTATCCAGAGCCAGAGACTGCTGCAGCCGCATCTGAACCTCCCTCAGTTGCACCTCCCTCAACTGCGCCTCTCGCATCTGCGCCTCCCTCAGTTGCACCTCCCTCAGCTGCGCCTCCCGCTGCTCCCTCTGCTGCACCACCTCCTGCTGTACGCGCATAAGCAGATCCGTTATAGGCGGGTGCTGCAGCAGCTGCTCTAACGGAGCATCCTTGGGAATACCGGCATGTACCAGCGCCTCTACCATTCGTAGACTTAACTCATCCTGCCCTATAATCGGACCCCCGGCTCCAGGGTAGAGCGTGGCTGGGCCTAGCCCAGTAGCGGCGGCAGCAGGGTGCAGGAGCGGGTGCAGGGGGTGATGGAGGTGCGCTAGAGTAATTCGCGGGGGTGGGAGGGTTGGCAAGAGGGCGGATGGCAGCTGCTGTGGCGCCTGCTGCGGCGGCTGCTGTGCCAGTGGCAACTGCTGCTGTGGCGGTTGCTGCTGCTGCTGTTGAAGCTGCTGGAGCTGGGGTTGCTGCGGATGGGAGAGGAGGTGGGAGAGGAGGGAGGGTAGCGGCTCGTGGGTGAGTGGCAGGTGCGCCGGCTGCTGTTGCTGCTGCTGCTGCTGTTGCTGCTGCTGCTGCTGCTGCTGCTGCTGCTGCTGCTGCTGCTGCTGCTGCTGCTGCTGCTGCTGCTGCTGCTGCTGCTGCTGCTGCTGCTGCTGCTGCTGCTGCTGCTGCTGCTGCTGCTGCTGCTGCTGTTGCTGCTGTGGTGGTGGGTGCGATTGGTCATAGAGAGCAGGAGAGGGCGAGGGGGTGCGATGACCCTGAGTGGCAAGAACGCAAGCAGTGGGCAAAAAATGAAGACACAGGGGTAGAAGGAAGGTGAGAGACGAAGAGCAAAGCGAACACAGAAAGGGTTTCGCAATTACAACAGACTGGCTAGAAACCCTAAACCCTGGCTTCACAACACACCTGAGCCAGCGCATCGAGACTTGAAAACGACCTTGATGCTGCTCCAGCGCCCACAGCTCCAATTTCAGCAAAACAGTAAGGGACTTAGAAGTGATCACTTTGAAACACACCTGAGCCAGCGCATCAAGACTGGAAAACGACCTTGATGCTGCTCCAGCGCCCACAGCTCCAATTTCAGCAAAACAGTAAGGGACTTAGAAGTGATCACTTTGAAACACACCTGAGCCAGCGCATCAAGACTGGAAAACGACCTTGATGCTGCTCCAGCGCCCACAGCTCCAATTTCAGCAAAACAGTAAGGGACTTAGAAGTGATCACTTTGAAACACACCTGAGCCAGCGCATCAAGACTGGAAAACGACCTTGATGCTGCTCCAGCGCCCACAGCTCCGATTTCAGCAAAACAGTAAGGGACTTAGAAGTGATCACTTTGAAACACACCTGAGCCAGCGCATCAAGACTGGAAAACGACCTTGATGCTGCTCCAGCGCCCACAGCTCCAATTTCAGCAAAACAGTAAGGGACTTAGAAGTGATCACTTTGAAACACACCTGAGCCAGCGCATCAAGACTGGAAAACGACCTTGATGCTGCTCCAGCGCCCACAGCTCCAATTTCAGCAAAACAGTAAGGGACTTAGAAGTGATCACTTTGAAACACACCTGAGCCAGCGCATCAAGACTGGAAAACGACCTTGATGCTGCTCCAGCGCCCACAGCTCCAATTTCAGCAAAACAGTAAGGGACTTAGAAGTGATCACTTTGAAACACACCTGAGCCAGCGCATCAAGACTGGAAAACGACCTTGATGCCGCTCCAGCGCCCACCGCTCCAGCCACACCCGCTCCCGCCCCATGCACCCCCGGCTCGGCCCGAAGCTCCTCCGCGCCCGGAGCTGGCCAGGAGGCTTGGTAAAGGGCGCCTGGCTCGTCCACGCCTGGAAAAGAGACAGTGGTATGGGACGGAGGAGGATAAGATGCTTGACTTGCTGAGTGTGCTAAACTAGGCATTTGAGGGTTTAGAGGTTAGTGGTCTATGGCTCTGTGGAGCCTACAGCAGTGATGGTGTTGTGCAAGGCGCTGCAATGCTACGGGGGGAAACGTAGGCACTGCATGTTACAGGGTTACGGTTTACAGGCGCCAAGCGGGGAAAAGATTTGAAAGTGTACAAAAAGAAGGATTGTCAAGGGGATGGGAGGGCGGGAGGGTGGCTGGGAAGGGGGGGAGGATATGGGGGTTGCAAAGAGGGGCGGGGAGAAGCAAACAATGGAGGAGTAAAAGTAGATTGGTTGAAGGAATTAAGAGGCTCACCTCTGCCAGCGTGAATAGCCCCCAGAATGACCCCTGCAGCACCCGCCATCGCACCACCGGCAGCAGCAGCAGCACCCGTAGCAGCACCAGCCGCAGTAGCGCCAGGCTCGGTAGGAGCAGCGGCAGGAGCGGCGGCAGCAGCGCGAGTGGCGTCAGCTGCTGCTGCAGCCCCTGCAGCAGCCGCACCAGGAGCAGCAGCAGCAGTAGCAGCACCCCCACCAGCACCACCACTAGCAGAACCAACACCAGCAGCACCAGCAGCGCCAGCAGCAGCGGCAAAGCCAGGAGGAACCTTAGCAGAGGGCTTCAGATGCGGCATAACATCCCCCAGTGGCAAAAACTGCACCCCAGGCGCCGCCTCCCCCGTCCCCGGATCCACCGGCCTCACCGGCAGCTCCAGTCCAAAAAACCCCGCCTCGTACCACCCCATGATGTCCTCTCCTGGGAACGGCCCCTGAACTTCCCCCTGAGGGTCGCGGTACTGTAGCAGGAGCTTTTCAGGTGGGACGGACGGGGTGGTGGTGGTGGTGGGTTTGGCTGAGGGAGAGAGGGAGGTGGAGCCTGGGGGAGGTGAAGCTGGGGAAGATTGGGTGGGGTGGTCGGTTGGGTGGGTGGCTGCTGCTGTGCCAGGTGCATGCGTGGGAGGGCGTTTGTCGCCTTCTTGTGCTGCAAATACATCAGACGGAGGGTGAGGGGAAGGAATCAAAAGCGGAGGGAAAGAGGGAAAAAGGCAGATTGTACATTAGACATGAAAGCCAGGATACACGTCATAGGGATCACATCACAGGCGTGTGAAACCTGGAAATGAGCCAACTAAGCCCACACGCTCCCAGCTCCTTCCCATGCTTGCTTCCAGACCACCAGACGTCCCATGCCTCCCGCGTGTAATGAGCCACCTTTCTAGTCGACTTTTGAGAATTCTCAAATTTCGCTCACTTTTCTAGTCGACTAGAAACTCGAGCTGAGTTTATCATTCGCGTCCCATGCCTCCCCATCTCCTCCTCCCTGTTCCGAACGACACGTCATTGCATTTAAAAAAACTTCAGAAAATGTACCGTGTTGTTTAACCGTGTCCCGGCCCTCCCCGCTCTGCTCTTTATCCGCCAATCCAAAAAACATACCAGCTTTATCTCGCGGCGGCGCGTCCTTGTCCCTGGACGCGTGCACCACGCCACTGCCCACGATCTCCCCGCTCTCAATCGCCGCCATCACCGCCTGCACATCCAGCCAGAGGCACAACCACACAGTAACATTCAGATGGTATCAGTCAGGTAATCACAGGTGAACATTGAGCGCACATGTCCCTGGATGCATGCACCACGCCGCTGCCCACACTCTCCCCGCTCTCAATCGCCGTCATCACCGCCTGCACGCCCAGATAGGCACATTCAAACAGTAACATCTATATTATAACAATCAAACAGTACGGGTCAGTTGATGTACACAGTTGGTAACAGCCAAACAGCAACAGGCAGCTGGCAAATGGTAAAATCCACCTCCGCACGCGCCCCCCTCCCCTCCGCTCACCTCTTCTTCCGCGCTCGCTTCCACCAGCGCCATGGGCACCAGCGGCTCCGACCCCAAAAGCGCGGGCGCCTCAGACCACTCCCCCGGGATTGCCGCGCTGAACTCCGGCGCACGCTTGTGCGCTTGGTAGATCTCCAGCAGCCGCGCGCGGGGGTACCTGAACGTCTCCGCGGATGGCGGAGCGCCCGCTCCGCCAGACTCCGGGGGAGGAGCGCCGATATGCTGCGCCCTGGAGCCCTGCCCCGGAACGTCCCAGCTTCCCCCTGCCCCCCCGCCGAATCCGCGGCCCCGCGCAAAGCCTCCGCCTCCCGCGCCAGCAACGAGGGCAGAAGAGCCTGCGCCTGCTCCTGCGGCGTCGGGCGCTCCACGCCCGCGACCCGCGAACCCAAACCCTGGCTGGAACTTGGAAAAGGGGGCGGCGGAGGATGTAGCAGTGCCCGTTGGCGGAGCCTCTCCGCGGCCCCGTCCCGCGATCGACTGCGGGCGCCACTTTCCCCCCGTCTCTGACCTCCCCGCGGTGGTGTCTCTAGTCCAGCTTCCGCCCCCCGCTCCGCCGGAGCTACCACCCCCGGGTCCCCCCGCCCCAGCCCCAACGGCCCCTCCGCCGCCTATGTCTTTGTCAGCCTCTTTCCCCTTGTCGCTGTCTCGAGCGCCGATAGCGGGGCGGCTTCTCTCGTATTCCCTAGGTTTGTCCGATTCCTTCTCCCCCGGCAGTGTCCAGCGCGCACTTCCCCCGCTCTGCGCGGACTCCGGCGTTCCGCGCTCGCGCAGCCCGCCTCCGCCATGCCCGCTTTTCTCCCCCCAGCTCTCGCTGTGAACAACGCTTTTGTCCTTCTCTTTGTCCTTCTCCTCCGCGCTTCCCCACCGCGAGCCCCACTTCGTCTCGCGGCGCTGGTCGAAGCTCCGCGTACCGCTATCCGCCCAACGCTCCTTGCGGTAATCTACACTCCCCCCCTCCGCTCCCGCGCCAAGCCCCGGGCGGGGAGCGCCCATCCCCGGCGGATCCACCCAGCGCTCCTTCTTGACGTACCCGCCCCCCTCCCCCGCCTCCTTTCCGCTCTCCCCCCCCAACGGGGGAGCGTGTATGGACCCCCAGCGGGGATCGTTCCGCGGCTTCCCCGCCACGCTCTCGCGCTCGCGCTCGTCCTCTCCCCAGCGGTCGCTCGCCCTGTCGCGATCCATGCCCGCGCTGCGCCACCAGTCACGCTCCCGCTTCGCCTCGTCCGGCGGCGCGCCTGCTACTCCCCCCGCAGAGATACCGCCTCCGCCTATACCTCCGCCAACGCCTGCGCCTGCACCGGCCCCTCGGCCTACCTTCCACTTTCCGCCGGGAGCCTCGACACCTCGGCCATATCCCATCGGCTTAGAAGGGTCCTGGAAGGGCCACGTAAGGAGGGGGGGAACGAGACAAGGTACCGAGAGAATGAGACAAGATGCGGGAAGAACGAGACAAGTAGAAGTGAGAATGAGAGGAGACGCGGGGAGAATGGGACAAAGTTTCAGGAGGAGTATACAAGATCCAGGATGAATGGAGAGCCAGTGCTGGAGTTTAGACTCAACCAGAAAGCACGAATCGTAACCATTTCCGGGGTATACGGGAAATTAGCGCGGCTTGTTCAGTCTCGGGGAAACCCCATTGTAGGGAACCGTTAGTTTGGTAGAAAATCATTCGCTGACCTGACCGACAGGACTACGCGAGTCCGAGTGCTTCGCGGTGAGCCACTGAGGCGAAAATGCCATTGAAGAGTCCCCAGGCGACGAATGCTCTGCACGATGATACACGTCGCGGAAAAGCGCGTAAGATATTATTGGATAACGATAAACCTCCGAGATCTGACAGGCTAATGGACTAACGGAATACGTCATTGCATGTACCTTTTCCGTCAGGCGACGTTTTCGAAACTGTTCCTCCAGATATTCCTCCGCCAGATTCATCTGCGAGACGAAGCAGCGGTCAGAATCTGCGAAACCCTAATAACCAGCGAGCCTGAAGGATTCACCTACCTCGAGATTTCTTGACATCCTGGGGACGCAGAGAAATTCCCCCATTCTGAAAACCGGAAGAGTCCGACATCTTAGCGAGAATCTAATCGCGTGGCTCGTGAACGAGGCGCTTAGTCAGGTGATTACTGAGAGCTGGGTGTGCTAGTGTAGATACTAGAGAGATGTTGCAGAAGGCTGTTCTGTAAACTCCAGCAGAGCAATGAAAGGAAACCGTGGAAGAGAGGATGAAAAGGGAAGGGTTGATTGCAACGAAACAACTCAACCGTTCAAAAACGTATATAACCGCTATTTTATGCATTTTTATAATCGCATGAAATTGAATTCTTATGAAACGTTGTGGGATTGTGCCTATGAGCTAGATGGTGACAATCTCGATGTAGTCAACCTGGGTGGTGGTACAATCTAGGTTGTGGAATCCTTTTCTCGGGTAGGCTACCCAGAACTCGAACACGTCAACTGCTGGTGGTGGGTGAATTTGGGTTTGTGCTGAGATCGAAGGACTTGTGTTGAGATCGAAGGGCTTGTGTTGAGATCGAAGGGCGTGTCAAACGGCCTGGCAATTTCCACTGAATGGATCAGGAGTCGAGACGTTCTGTAGGGGGGAAAAGGAAGTTGGCATTTTTCGCTCCAGTTGCACATTTCATCGGATAAAATCGGTAGTGCGGGTAAATCATCCTTTCGCGAAGTGGCTCCGAACATTGCAAATAGGCTTCCAGATACTTCGAAACAGAGCATTGTGCTGTATGTCTGCATACGTTTCATATTTGTACAGTAAACCGAATGGTGACCGTATTGCGCGAAACCACAAACGGATCTTCTTTGCCAAACAGCCAATTTCAAGCACCTGCCTTGTGGGTTCAAGATATTCCGAACTCATCATATTCTGTTGTCTGCTGTCTTTCACACAGATCTGGTTTAGGTCTCCTATTTCTTTCTTATCTATGATCTTCTAGGTTTAGTACTCAGATTTACGATTGCTACTTCTTTTGGGGTCTCTTGGTGTCGATTTCTATTTTCCTGGCAACATGACGTCCGAAGAAGTTAAGGCTAGCGAGGGTGAAGCTGCTGACGCCGTCGTAGAATCTTCGCCTCCTGCTGCTGCTCCTCCAAGCGACGACGCCGCTGCGGCTGCTACTGACGATGCAGCGACGAAGCCTGACGCTGAACCGGCGAGCACGAACGGGGAGCCGGCAAGTGGCGAACCCGCTGAAGCAAACGGCGAGGAGTCGAAGGCTGAAGCCGAGGCTGCGACGACGCCTGCGAAGGAAGCTGCGAAGACGGAGGAGAAGCCGGCGGGCGAGGAAGGCACGGGTCAGCGGCGACGGAAGCGCAAGAGCCTTTGGGACACGGAGGGCCCTGACGGCAAGAAACGTGCGTGCGTGGCGAGCACGCAACAGCGGGTTGCACGCCGCTGTGTGCTGCATGCCTCCTCCTCTGTTCCGTTTTTTTCTTATATTCGTTCGGCAAATGTTACGTCAATCGGCTACGCCGTTTCGCAATCGATTATTTTTTTTCCTGCATCTTCTCTTCTTTCCCACCGATCACAACCCTGTCTCGGCCTCTCTCGTGTTCGTTTCCCTTTTCCGTACCGCAGTCGAGTCTCCTGCTGTCCTAGCGTCACCAGGCACTCCCAGCGCAGCCGGCATTCTGCCAGGAGCCCCCGCGATTCCCGGTATTCCTGGAATGCCACTGGGTGCAGGCATTCTCCCCGGCGCTGCAGCGGCGATGATGATGCCGGGAGCGGCCATGGCGCAGCAGGCGCAGCTGCTGCAGCAACAGCAGCTTCTCCAGGTGATTGGCAGAATCGCAAGTGGTTTTTGAGTCTACTCTCTTGCAGCAGGCGCAGCTGTCTTGTAGACGCTTCTCAGATCGTCGTAGGTGACTGCTTTCGTCTGGTTTTGTTGCGGCAGTGTTTCCGAAATGTGCACTCGCGTTCCGGAATCCGCGTGTGGGAAATCGCGTGGTAGTCTGGTTTCGTTCATTCTTTTGTTTCCTTCGTGGTGACTTGAGGATTTTGACTGCCTGTTGACTTTGTCGCGTTGACTCCGTGCGTTTGCAGATGCGAGCGCTCTGGCTCACGCAACTTTTGAGTCGACTCGAAAGTCACCTCGATTTTGACCGCCTGTTGACTTTGTCGCGTTGACTCCGTGCGTGTGCAGATGCGAGCGCTGGCTCACGCAACTTTTGAGTCGACTTGAAAGTCACCTCGATTTTGACCGCCTGTTGACTTTGTCGCGTTGACTCCGTGCGTGTGCAGATGCGAGCGCTGGCTCAGGCGAAGATGGCGGAGGCAGCAGCGGTGCAGCAGCAGCAGGCCACAACGACCCAGTCGAATGGTAAGTGGCTGGCGTTGCATCTCAGCACCGCAGCGTGTTTTGACTGTAGGTCAGCGTCTTTCGAGTCGAGTCAAATCGCAGCAGCAGCAGCAGCAGCAGCAGCAGCCAGCAGCAGCAGCAGCAGTCCACAGCGACTCAGTCAGTCGAATATGGCGAATGAGTGGCGTCGCATCTCAGCACCGCAGCGTCACCTCACCATCCCACCCCGCGCACTCTCCCTCCCTCCCTCGCTCCCTCCCTCCCTCCCTCCCTCCCTCCCTCCCTCACTCACTCACTCACTCCCTCCCTCCCCCACTCCCTCTCTCCTCCCTCCCATTTGCCTACAGCCCAGTGCCGCGTGTACGTGGGGAGCATATTCTACGACCTCACCGAGTCTCACATTCTAGCCAAAAGTGCTTGAGTACCTGCTCTCTCCCCCTCGCACATCTCCATCCCCATCCCCATCCCCCCCCCCCCACAATCCCCTACAGCCCAGTGCCGCGTGTACGTGGGAAGCATCTTCTACGACCTCACCGAGTCCGACATTCTCACCATAGGGCCTGAGTGCATGCAATTCCTTACCTCGCATTCACCACTCCATGCCTCCTCCCACTCACCCCCCTCTGCAGCCCAGTGCCGCGTGTATGTGGGAAGCATTTTCTACGACCTCACCGAGTCTGATATTCTCCTCGCCTTCTCCCCCTTTGGTACGCGCCTCATGCGCTTTGCTGGCTGGGTTGCCTCGAGTGGCCTGGTTGACTCGTGTTTCTTTTTTCAATGACCTGGGGTGCTTGGGTGGATTGGATGGGGAGAGCGTGACGGATTTTGTACCCACCACTGATGCATGCCATTGTTGTGCGTAATGAGACGACTTTTGAGGCGCCTCAAAAGCATGACCAATTTTGTACCCACCACTGATGCATGCCATTGTTGTGCGCGCGCTTGTTGTGCTGCCCTCCTATCAGGTCCAATCACCAAGATCGACATGCCCAAGGTGTGTGTGTGTGTGTGTGTTTGTGCGCTTCTCTTCCCATCCACCCCTCAGTCCATCCCACGTCGTGTGTGTTATCTTCCCACATGTGTGTTCCCATTGTTTGTTTCTCTCTTGTTTCCTCTTGTTTGCCAACCTGACCATTTTTCTACATCTGTCCCTTTTGCCCTCCCAACTTGTCTCAGGACGCGAGCACGGGCAAGCACAAGGGTTTCTGTTTCATTGAGTTCACCAACCCTGAAACCGCCTCCACTGCCATCGCTGCCATGAACGACTTTACCCTCGCCGGCCGGTACTTAGCCCACACTTTCTTGCCTCTCACTGGCTGGCTTGTATTTAGACCACCCGATCACGCGTCTCACTTGATGTCCGGTACTAACTCTTGCTCGCCTGCTCAAATGTAGTCGCTGCACCCGCGGGTGTAGCGTTGAAAACCGCGAAGTGTAAGGGCTTGTCTTCGTTTTTTACTCTTCTGAGAATTCTCAAATGTAGTTGCTGCACCCGCGGGTGGCGTTGAAAACCGCGAAGTGTAAGGGCTTGTCTTCGTTATTCACTCTTCACTTCACTGCTTCGCATCACGACTAAACGGACGCCGGTGGTTAGAGACTCTTCGTAAAGCGCGTCTAACCAGAACCAACATTCCTAGGCTCGTCAGCTGTGATCCGTTAGATCGCTTCATTCGTCTCGGCTGTTACTGTGCTCTGCCTTTACTTTTGAGCTGCGTCACAAGCCGTCTTGGCTAATTATCGTGTTCTGGCCTTTCTCTCTGTACGTGCGTATCTCTGCCCTCTTTTCCCTCTGCTTTCGTTTCCCTGCGTTTGTCTTTCTTTCTCTCTCTTTCTTTCCTTTTCTTTCTCTTCTGTTTCTGCCTTTTCTGCGTCTGTGCGTATCTTTACCCGTCTGCCCCTGTTTTATCTTTTCCTTCCATTTTTGCCACAATTTGTTTTCTCCGTTTTCACCTGCTGCTGTTGCATGCCTCCTATCCTGCAACATCACCCCCCATCAGTCACACGCATTTAAAAGAAACACCTCACATGTCCTCCCGTTATAAGCACCAGATTTCCACAAATCACCCAGCATGCACCACACATGCAGCTTTTTCCAACCCACCTGCACTCACACGAGTATAAAGCTCATGAAAATCTTAAACCTCGGAACAATAGAACCCTTCGTTTTCTTGAACGCTGCCGATTTGATCGCCTGCTCCACCAACGGGGCCAAGGGGTGCAAAAGGAGGCCCTGGTGTTGCTGCTGTGCTGGTGCTGCGTCTGATGGTTTGTGGCCTATAATCCCGTTCTTTTCTATCACTGCTTTTTTCTTCACAAGTGCACACATCAACCCTCCCTAAAATTATCATTTGTCCTTTGAAGCCTTGCGACTAATGGTATTTATCTGTGAATCTTTCTTCATGCAACAATGCACGCTCATCAAAGCTCGTCCTTTCCTGGAACATGTGCTTTTTTACGTTTTGGAGTAAAGGAAACAATTGGCTGTTTGTTAGCACTCATCCCTTGTTATTGCTTCACGCATCTGTGTCTTCTAGCTTGGCGTCACCTCTCCCAGCATGTCCTATGAGATTCTCCCCCCCCCCCCCCTCCCGATTTTTTTTTTCTGAGCTCTTTCTCTCTTCCCCCCCTGTCCCACTAATTTTTCTCATAAGGATTCTCTCGTATGTTCAGCCTATCTTCGTCTCCCTTCACGCTCCCTCCTGCCCTAAGTTCCTCCCCTTTTCTCCCCAGCCCACCTTTCTTTCCCCTCTCCCCCTCTCCGTCCCTCCCCCACCACTCAGCTCTTGTCCTTACCTCCCCCTTCCCCCTCCCCCTCCCGCTTCCCCCTCCCCTCCTTTCCCCACGACAACCATGCATCAGGCGCATCAAGGTCGGCCGTCCCAACAACATCGCTTCCCCTTCGCCTGCTGCGCAGACCATTGCCAACCGTGAGTGCCCTGCCCTGTCCTGAATCCCCCAACCGTGGTGCCCTGTGCCCCCTCAACCTGTGTCCTTCCTCTCATCGCCTATGTTTCCACTTCCCTCCCCCATCCACCCACCCACCCACCCCCCTCTCGCTCTGCCACTGATCTCTTTGAATTTCTTTTTAAGGCGCCTCAGAAGCTGTCTCCTTTTCCCTTCCCCCAACCCTATCGGCCACTCATCTCCTCGAATGTGTCTTCTTCCTCCCATTGGAACACCTCGGGAGGAAGACACATTCGAGGAAGACACAAATGTGCCCTTCTCATTCCTATGCCCCCTTTGCCGCCCTCCCCCTCTTTTCCCCTCTCCCTCCGCCCCTCTGCCCCTCGTTTCCTCTCTCTCCGCCCATTTGCCCCCCTGCCCCACTCTCTCGCCCCTCTGCCCCTCTGCCTCTCTCTCTGACCGGCACCAGCTCTCGCGTTCAACCAAGCTGCATTGGCGGCACCCAACCCCAACCTCCTCGCCACTGCCAAGCTCCAGGCGCAGGTGAGTTCGCATTGCAGGTGTAGGTGGCCCTTCAGGTGGTTTAAGGGTTCAGGTGGCGTTTCAGGTGGGTTGGGGTTTCAGGTGCCGTTCAGGTGTGTTGGGGTTTAGGTGGGCTTTTAGCTGGTTTGACGTTCAGGTGTGGCTCTATGATTCTTTCCAGGCTGTTTTCTGGCCTGGGAGCATGGCCTTTTTTGCCTGGCCCATAGATCACTGTTCACTGCCCCATATTTGACTGCCCACCCACTGTTCACTGCCCCATATCTATTTGCTCGCAGGTGATCGCGAGCAGCATCAACCAGAAGGTCCCAGGGGTGGCAGAGGTGCCCCAGAAGCCAGCAGTGAACACGCGGGTGTATGTGGGTTCCATTGTCTACGACCTTGCAGAGCCCGACATCATGGCCATCTTCCAGGCCTTCGGCCCCATCAAGGTGGGTCTGAATTGCGGCTCTGAGGGGCTGTGGGGGTTGTGGGGGGGTGCGGGGCCTGCTGGGGGATGCATTGGTGCCACAGAGCCAGCGGTGAACACGCGGTTGTATGTGGGGTCGGTTGTATGTGGGGTCGGTTGTATGTGGGGTCTGTTGTATGTGGGGTCGGTTGTATGTGGGGTCGGTTGTATGTGGGGTCGGTTGTATGTGGGGTCCATCGTGTACGACCTTGCAGAACCGGATATCATGGCCATCTTCCAGGCCTTCGGCCCCATCAAGGTGCGTTCTTTTGTTACCCATCAATGTGCAATTTTCTGCTTCGGCAAGTCATTGTTGCTGCAGTCTACCATCCTTACCAAATCTCTCAGCCACCGCTGCAGTCTCTCACGTTTCTTCCTCGTATCCTGCTTCCCTCCTTCCCCACTCCCCCTTCCCAATGCTTCCTTGGCCTTGAGTGAACCTAATGCTATATTGCTCACTCCGCCTCTTTGCTCATTCCCTGTCCCCCTGTCCCACCCGATCATTCAATCTGCAGTCATGCCAGCTCATTCCCAACCCTGACACGGGCAAGCACAAGGGCTACGGTTTTGTTGAGTGAGTCAACGTTCTTGTTACCCCGCCTCTTTCCTCGGCTTCTCCTACTTCTTAGTTTCTCCCGTTTCACTCCGTTTCTGCTGTTTGTGGTGCGATTGTGTGCGTGTTTTTTCACTCCATGTGCAAGTGTGATTCATTTTTGGAACAATGTTTGTCTTTTTCTTTCTTTCTTTCTTTCTTTCTTCTTCTTTTTTTTTCTTTTTGGCCTTGTCTAGTTGAGGCTGTAGCCGGTTTTTTACTGTTCCCACAGTTGATGTCATCATCCCTTACAACCCTCCCCTCTCTTCCCTCTCCCCTCCCCCCACCCCCTCTCCCCCCGCCCTTTCTCCTCCTCGTTCCTCCCCCCCTCCCTTCCCTGCGCCGTGTTTGCAGGTTTGAGACAGAGGAAGCAGCCAAGGGTGCCATTCAGTGCATGAATGGGTTTCAACTGGGTGGCAGACAGCTCAAGGTGGGTGGCAGACAGCTTAAGGTGGGTGGCAGACAGCTCAAGGTGGGTGGCAGACAGCTCAAGGTGGGTGGCAGACAGCTCAAGGCGGGTGGCAGACAGCTCAAGGCGGGTGGCAGACAGCTCAAGGCGGGTGGCAGACAGCTCAAGGCGGGTGGCAGACAGCTCAAGGCGGGTGGCAGACAGCTCAAGGCGGGTGGCAGACAGCTTAAGGCGGGTGGCAGACAGCTCAAGGTGGGTGGCAGACAGCTCAAGGTGGGTGGCAGACAGCTTAAGGCGGGTGGCAGACAGCTTAAGGTGGGTGGGTGGGAACACCGCAAGGCGGGCGGTAGACTGCTGAAATGGGTGGCAGGCAGACTGCCGAAATGGGTGGCAGACAGCTCAAGGTGGGTGGCAGACAGCTCAAGGTGGGTGGCAGACAGCTCAAGGTGGGTGGCAGACAGCTCAAGGTGGGTGGCAGACAGCTCAAGGTGGGTGGCAGACAGCTCAAGGTGGGTGGCAGACAGCTCAAGGTGGGTGGCAGACAGCTCAAGGTGGGTGGCAGACAGCTCAAGGTGGGTGGCAGACAGCTCAAGGTGGGTGGCAGACAGCTTAAGGCGGGTGGCAGACAGCTTAAGGTGGGTGGGTGGGAACACCGCAAGGCGGGCGGTAGACTGCTGAAATGGGTGGCAGGCAGACTGCCGAAATGGGTGGCAGACTGCCGAAATGGGTGGCAGAGTGCTCAAATGGGTGGCAGACTGCTCAAATGGGTGGTTGCTGCTCACATTGCGTTGAAAGGGCATGACATGGCACGGCATGGGCACCACGCTCCCAACAGCCGCCCCACCAGTCAATGATGGTTTCTCACCTGCCTTCCGCCTCCTCGCCTACCTTCCTTCCCACTCACTCCACACTCCCTCCCTTCTTTTCGCCCAGGTCGGGTGGGCCTCAGCCTCTCATGCCCCAACTGCTGGTTCACCAACAGCACCCACCTTCCCAAGCGGCATTCCAAGCATGCCTGCTCTTAATTTGGATTCTTGCGTGCTCTCCTCCTGCACTTTCATTTCACTCCCTTCCTCCGTGCCGCAGGTCGGGTGGGCTTCAGCATCCCACGCCCCAACTTCTGCCTCACCAGCAGCACCCGCCTTCCCAAGCGCCATTCCAGGCATGCCGGCTATCCCGGGTTTCCCTGGGGCTGCCCTGCCCGCAGCAGCAGGAGGGGCCGGGCTGATGGGTGCAGTGCCTGGCGCTGTTGCTGCTGCCTCCCCAGCAGAGGTAAGACTGGCATTCCCAGATGGGCATTTTCAGGTACTTCCAAAATCCTTTTCAGGTCTCCGAGGTTACATGCCATGCGTGCCATGCGTTTCTTTCCTTATATCTGCGCACTTGCGTTCCCATATGAACTCACGGCCGCTTTTCTCTCTCGTTCTCTCTCGTTCTCTCTCGTTCTCTCTCGTTCTCTCTCGTTCTCTCTCGTTCTCTCTCGTTCTCTCTCGTTCTCTCCCGTTCTCTCCCCCCCGCCTTTCCCTGCTTCTCCACCTGCCCTTTCCCCCGCCTCTTCCCCACCTCTCTCCATTTGTCCGTCCCTCCAGGCAGCAGCGTCGCTGCCTGCGTCCCCCTGTCGCTGCATTGTGATGCGGAACATGGTCACCCCGGAGGAGGTGGCTCTGAGACATCTCAAGACTCAACTTTGTTCCTCCCCTTTCCCCCCCTCCCGCCACCCCTCCACCTCGCCCCTGCCCTCTGCATCTGTCCACACCAGGCGGCGGCGTCCCTGCCAGCGTCCCCCTGTCGCTGCATCGTGATGCGGAACATGGTCACTCCAGAGGAGGTGGATGATGACCTGCAGAGCGAGGTGAGGGCAGGCAGCAGATGCGATTATCTGCCAGGCATGGGCATGGGCATGGGCATGGGCACGGGCACGGGCATGGGCATGGGCATGGGCACGGGCATGGGCATGGGCACGGGCACGGGCATGGGCATGGGCATGGGCATGGGCACGGGCACGGGCATGGGCATGGGCACGGGCATGGGCATGGGCATGGGCATGGCATGGGCATGGGCGTGGGCATGGCAGATGATCCCATACAACCCTAATATTACCGCTTGCAACTGCAACATGTTTTCGTCTGATCGACCAACCTCAATGACCAGTCCATTGCTTGAAGAGCACTCAAAAGCGACTCAGCTTCTTTCACAAGTTCTTTCGCGATACTTTAAACCCTCGATTCCTCACTCCGTGCCTCCCCATGTCTCATGCCCCTCTACCCATGCCGTCTCCCTTCTAATACAGGTGACAGACGAATGTGGCAAGTTTGGAAAGGTGGAGCGGGTTGTCATCTACCAGGTGGGTAGTTCTTTCATCAGGTGAATGCTTTTAGGTGAATACCTGTCAGGTAAATGCTCTCAGGTGAATACCTGTCAGGTGAATGCTCTCAGGTGAATACCTGTCAGGTGAATGCTCTCAGGTGAACACCTGATAGGTGAATGCCTTCAGGTGAAAATTTATCGGTTTTTTGGTTTCTGCCCAGGTTTTTCCGGGTTCTAAAGCGATCGTGCTTGTGGCTCACCGCTTCCCCCATTCCTGCTGCCCGTTCGGTGCCCTGTGTGCAGGAGCAACAATCGGAGAAGCCAGGCGATGCGATTGTGAAGATCTTTGTTCTCTTCTCAAGCACCCCAGGTGAAGCTTCAAGCAATGATTCATGCTCCTCCAACCGCCCCACCCACCTCACCCACCTCCCCTTTTTCCTTCCCCCATTCCTCTACCCGCCCTCTTCCCCCCCTTTCCCTCAGCCTTCCACTTGTTCTCTTGCTGGCGGGTTCCCTCTCTTTGTCTCCCTGTACCCTTCCTCCTCTCTTTCACACACGCACACATGGACTTGAAAAATGTGCTCACTCAAACACAGCAAACTTACACACAGCTCTTCATTTGTTCCTTCCAACTTTGTTTGCATGGCATGTTGTGTTTGACATGGCATGGCATGGCATGGCATGGCATGGCAATCGCATGCCGTGCACTCTTCTCTTGGTGTTCAATGTGGTGCCCATGGGAGCAGAGGCACAGGCAGCGCAGCAATCGCTGCACAACAGATGGTTCGGAGGCCGGCAGGTCATTGCAAGGTCAGTGCAGCACCTTGCTTTCCCCTCAAGCCTCAATATTGGTTCTTCCTTTTGTCGTCTTGTGCAGCATGCATATGCCTCCGTTTTGTGTTGCATGGTACTGTTTTTGTCCTCTTGATTTCACTGTACCCCACCTCCTACAGTTGATCACCAGCACACTGACTGTATCCCACACGTTTCATGAGGCTCCCTGCTGTGATTCTTCTGTTGTTTGTGTGACTGCAATTTCGTACACCTTGTTTCGTTGACTTTTTCCTTGGCAGCTTCTATCCGGAAGTGCTGTTTGCCCGAAACGATTTCTCGCGCTGAGTGGTCTCGGAGTCGAGACTTGTTTTTTTTTCCCTGATGTATGCTGTTCATGCATAATGCGTTTCTTGTAGGACGTATTTTGTAGATGTCACACAAGAACTGGGGCGAACCGATGAGTTGGTAGCTCCTATTACAAATATAGAGGAGGCTTTGAGTTCCTCTAGATTTTTAGCTGTTCGATTTATTCATGTTAGTTTTTGTAGCATATGGACAACAACCTCAACTGATGTTTCTATTGAGTGTACTGGCGTGCATGTTCTGGAAACTTCCCCCACCTCCCGCTGCCCCCCCTGCCCATGCACAAGGATTCCGCCTCCCCGTTCCCTTGCGCGCGGAATTGGGATGTGCATGATCAAATTCATCTAGTTCATTCCATGGCGTCTGCATTCTCCCTCACGGCAGTGTGTCGCCGAATCGCGTCATCCGCGCGCCTTAGTCTAATTACCACTGGTAGCCTCCGTCAAGCCTCTTCAGCTTCCGCCGGTTCCGTGCCGCCAGGGATTGCGTCTGGTTCTTCCGCTATTGTCGGTTCGTCTGGTCCCAGCGCTGGAATTTTCACGCAGTCCAGATTCCTCTCGTTCCTCGGCAGCCGTCCGTCAGATTCTCGGTCAAATTCCCGCTGTGTGTCGACGCTAGGCCCGGGACTATCATCGGCGGTTGGAGCTACGTGCGTGGAGTCTCCTTTTTCCGTTTTCCAAAGACACATGGCGACTGCTGGACAAGTTATCAAGTGCAAGGGTGAGAAAATCAACGTCACTAAAGATTTCAACGAATTTCACTGGATTCGGATTCTCAAGCGTAGTATTTCAAGAGATTCACCCTGAATCCGCTATTATCACGTGGTGCTTATTACGAAAAGCTTCGCCTCACGTCACCTTCAGCAGCGGAGGGTGTCATGCGGACCCAACAAGCCGTAAGGAACTTGATCACCACTTTCTGTTTTGCCAGTCGACTAAAGAACCGATGGTTCTTTCTTTCTTTCTTTCTTTCTTTATTCTTCTTTCAGGATATGACCCCTTCTTACTGTTTATTCCTTGATTCCTTTCATGCAGCGGCGGTGACGTGGCAGCTGAACAAGCCGTTGGTGATGGGGGAGGTGGAGGTGGCGCCTTCTCGCTTCTGTGGCCTACAGAGGTGGATGGTGATCTAATATTGTACATTTGAATCTCTGGCCTAAATTTTTGCGACTCCCTGTGTGCAGCGGCGGTGGCGTGGGCGCCGAACAAGCCGCTGGTGATCGAGGAGGTAGAGGTGGCGCCTTTTCACTCATTTGTCTTTTCTTATTGCAGCTTTGTTTCTTGAGCCTGATATTTTGTAAATTGCTTGCGTGCAGCGGCGGTGGCGTGGGCGCCGAACAAGCCGCTGGTGATCGAGGAGGTGGAGGTGCGTATGCATATTACCCCCCCCCCCCCCCCCCTTCCAACTGTTTCTTCCTCGGCTCCTTGCGTGCAGCGGCGGTGGCGTGGGCGCCGAACAAGCCGCTGGTGATCGAGGAGGTGGAGGTGGCGCCGCCACAGGCGGGGGAGGTGCGGATCCGCATCACACACACCGCGCTCTGCCACACGGACGCGTACACTCTCGACGGCCACGACCCTGAGGGGCTCTTTCCGTGCATCCTTGGACACGAGGCTGCTGGGTGAGTGGGTTGCATGGGGTTGTCACTGGCATTTGGTATGCTGCTTACGCATGTTCGCTCTGCCACACGGACGCGTACACGCTGGACGGCCATAACCCCGAGGAGCTCTTTCCCTGCATCCTCAGACATGAGGCTGCTGGGTGAGTGGGTCATGATGCTGCTGGTGGGTACAGTTGTTACGGGTGGTCCCTGTGCCACACGGACGCGTACACGCTGGACGGCCATGACCCCGAGGGGCTCTTTTCCTGCATCCTCGGACATGAGGCTGCTGGGTGAGTGTCCTGCACGTGGTACTGGGTTGTCACTGGCTTTTGGCATGCTGCCTACGCATGTTCGCTCTGCCACGCGTATTCTCTGACTGGACGGCCATGATCCCGAAGGGCTCTTTCCATCCTTGGCCACGAGGCTGCTGGGTGAGTGTGGGTCTTGTGCTCTGTTGTTGGGTAATGGTTGTCACAGATGTCATCTCTGCCACGCGGACGCGTACACTCTGGACGGACGGCCATGATCCCGAAGGGCTCTTCCCCTGCATCCTCGGCCACGAGGCTGCTGAGTGAGTGGGTTGTGTGCTGTATACTGCCGTTATGCACACTGCTGGTATGTGGATTTCCCCTCCCATCCCGCTCCCCCTCTTCCTCGCAACCCTCCCACCGTCCTCCCAGCATCGTCGAGAGTGTGGGCGAGGGCGTGACGAGCGCGCAGCCAGGCGACCAGGGGGAAGGCGGAGTACCATTGTGTGTGTGTTGTATCACTCTCTCCCCTCTTCCCCTCCCCTCCTCACACCGTCCTCCCAGCATCGTGGAGAGTGGGGGCGAGGGCGTGACGAGCGTGCAGCCGGGCGGCCATGTGATCCCGTGCTACCAGGCGGAGTGCCGCGGTCTCTCTGTTACCTTCATTCTTACTACCAGGCGGATTACGAACGTCCCTCTCTTACCCTTTTTTTCCTCCTCCTCTCTTTTTGTAAAACCCTGCCAGTATCGTGGAGAGTGTGGGTGAGGGAGTCACGAGCGTGCAGCCGGGCGACCATGTGATTCCGTGCTACCAGGCGGAGTGCCGCGAGTGCAAGTTCTGCAAGTCGGGGAAGACCAACCTGTGCGGCAAGGTCCGCCCAGCCACTGGTGAGTGGGGGCTCAGGAGAAGTAGTGGTCGTTTCCCAAGGTCTAAGTGTTCAAGCTTCCAAACGTGCAAGTTCTGCAAGTCGAGGAAGACCAACCTCTGCAGCAAGGTCCGCCCTGCCACAGGTCAGTGAGGGGCACAAGTGACCGTTTGCTCCTTTTTTTTTTGTTTTTTTTGTTTTTTTTTTTTTTTTTTTGCATGGGCGCGAGCATGTTTCAGCAGGCCTTCCTCTCTCTCCTCCTCTCCCTCTTTCCACACTACAGGCCGTGGTGTGATGCTGTCGGACGACAAGCCCCGCTTCTCCGTGCGCGGAGAACCCATTTACCACTTCATGGGCACGAGCACGTTCAGCGAGTACACTGTTGTCCATGACGTGTCAGTTGCAAAGATCAACCCAGAGGCGCCGCTCGACAAAGTGTGCCTGCTGGGCTGCGGCATCCCCACCGGTAAGTGAGGGAGTTCTGTTTCGGCCCGGGCCCCACCCCTCTTCCCTCCCATCTACCACTTCATGGGCACGAGCACATTCAGCGAGTACATGGTGGTTCACGATGTCTCAGTTGCCAAGATCAACCCAGAGGCGCCGCTCGACAAAGTGTGCCTGCTGGGTTGCGGCATCCCCACTGGTAAGAGGCCTGGCTCTGCTGGTTTGGGTTGGGTATGCCCCTCCCTCCCTCTCTCTCTCTCCCCCCCCCTCCCATCCACCACTTCATGGGCACGAGCACATTCAGCAAGTACACGGTGGTTCACGATGTCTCAGTTGCCAAGATCAACCCAGAGGCGCCTCTGGACAAAGTGTGCCTGCTGGGCTGTGGCATCCCCACCAGTGAGCGAGGGAGCTCTGTTTTGGCCCGGGCCCCACCCCTCTTCCCTCCCATTCACCACTTCATGGGCACGAGCACGTTCAGCAAGTACACAGTGGTTCACGACGTGTCAGTTGCAAAGATCAACCCAGAGGCGCCTCTGGACAAAGTGTGCCTGCTGGGCTGTGGCATCCCCACTGGTGAGTGTGCCTTGCAAAACGAAGTGTTAATTTTCCCATTTCCCATCCTCTCTTGTGGTGTGCCCCTCCCCGCCCCAATCTACCACTGTGAACCATCCCGAAGTGACCTTCCATCCCCTTATCCGGCAGGGTTGGGAGCTGTGTGGAACCCTTCCGATTCTTCACCACCATGGACCACCCTGAACCGCCCTGAACCGCTCTGAACTGCCCTACTTCCAAATTCCCCCAACTGTCCTTCCACAGCAGGGCTGGGAGCTGTGTGGAACGCAGCCAAGGTGGGCCCCTTCCAAAGGTACCCTCCTGAACCGCCCTGAACCTCCCTTAACGGCCCTAAACTGCTCCGAACTGCCCTCTTCCAACCCCCATCCCCTCCTTTCCTCCCTTCTACTGGCAGGGCTGGGAGCTGTGTGGAATGCAGCCAAGGTGGAACCCGGATCCACTGTTGCCATTTTCGGCCTGGGCACTGTTGGGCTCGCGGTGAGTCACAGCTGAGAGTGGTGGTGGTGGGATGCAGGGGAGTGACTGACGCACTTGTAAGGCTTGCATGTGATGAGTACTGCTGCATGATGAATGGCGAGTGCAGCCAACTTTTGAGTCGACTCAAAAGCAACCCAAGGTGGAACCCATATCCACGGTTGCCATCTTTGGCCTGGGCACTGTTGGGCTCGCGGTAAGTCACAGCTGGCAGCAGTGGTGGTGGGTGCAGGGGAGTGACTGACGCACTCGTAAGGCTTGCATGTGATGAGTACTGCTGCATGATGAATGGCGAGTGCAGCCAACTTTTGAGTCGACTCAAAAGCAACCCAAGGTGGAACCCATATCCACGGTTGCCATCTTTGGCCTGGGCACTGTTGGGCTCGCGGTAAGTCACAGCTGGCAGCAGTGGTGGTGGGATGCAGGGGAGTGACTGACGCACTCGTAAGGCTTGCATGTGATGAGTACTGCTGCATGATGAATGGCGAGTGCAGCCAACTTTTGAGTCGACTCAAAAGCAACCCAAGGTGGAACCCATATCCACGGTTGCCATCTTTGGCATGGGCACTGTTGGGCTCGCGGTAAGTCACAGCTGGCAGCAGTGGTGGTGGGATGCAGGGGAGTGACTGACGCACTCGTAAGGCTTGCATGTGATGAGTACTGCTGCATGATGAATGGCGAGTGCAGCCAACTTTTGAGTCGACTCATCAGCAACCCAAGGTGGAACCCATATCCACGGTTGCCATCTTTGGCCTGGGCACTGTTGGGCTCGCGGTAAGTCACAGCTGGCAGCAGTGGTGGTGGGTGCAGGGGAGTGACTGACTCACTGGTAAAGCTTGCATGTGATGGGTACTGCTGCATGATGAATGGCTAGTGCAGCCAAGGTGGAACCCGGCTGCACAGTTGCCATCTTTGGTCTGGGCACTGTTGGGCACGCGGTGAGTCGAGTGATTCTTTGATGCGGCAAGGATTGGCCTGGGTTCTCGTGAGTTACAGTCTGGAGGTGACTTTTGAGTCGACTCAAAACTCATGTGGCAAGAATTGGCCTGGGTTCTCGTGAGTTACAGTCTGGAGTGGTGGTGGTGGCGTGCCTCGTGCGTCACGTGGTTTGGTAACTTGTGTTGGTGGCTTTGTTGCCTGGTTGCCCAATGCATGTCCCGTTGATGCTAGGCTATGCGTCTGACTTAGACTCTCCAGTGCTGACTTTTGAGACGTCTCAAAAGTTGATGCTAGGCTATGCGTCTGACTTAGACTCTCCAGTGCTGACTTTTGAGACGTCTCAAAAGTTGATGCTAGGCTATGCGTCTGACTTAGACTCTCCTGTGCTGGAGTGCTTATGTGTGGCAGGTGGCGGAGGGCGCAAAGGCAGCCAAGGCATCGCGCATCATAGGCGTTGATATCGACCCGGCCAAGTTCGACACAGGTGTGCTGTGTGTGCACATGCATTCATGCATGCCTGGTGTGCTTTGTGTGCGCACTTGCTTATGGGTGGCAGGTGGCGGAGGGGGCCAAGGCAGCCAAGGCATCGCGCATCATAGGCGTGGATCACCACCTTGAGAAGTTTGAACGAGGTGGGGTGATGTGAATCATGCGTGCAAGAGCAGAGTGGCACGCCAAGTGTACCAACCGAGTAGTGCCAATCAAGGCATCGCGCATTATAGGCGTTGACCACCACCTTGAGAAGTTTGAAAGAGGTGGGGTGCTGTGCACGTACATGCTTGGTGTGACAAAGTGTCCATTTAAGCATGCTTGATGTGACAAAGCATGCATTCTTGCATGCTTGGTGTGACAAAGCATGCATTCTTGCATGCTTGGTGTGACAAAGCATGCATTCTTGCATGCTTGGTGTGACAAAGCATGCATTCTTGCATGCTTGGTGTGACAAAGCATGCATTCTTGCATGCTTGGTGTGACAAAGCATGCATTCTTGCATGCTTGGTGTGACAAAGCATGCACTCACGCATGCTTGGTGTGGTCAACGCCTATGATGCCTACTAAGTCGCACATTGTAGGCGTGGATCACCACCCTGAAAATTTTGAACGAGGTGGAGTGATGCCAAGTGTAGTCACGCGCCACAACATAGCGAGGTGGAGTGACTCCACTGGACTCACTGGACTCCTGTGATAAGCCATGGATGCATGCAAGAACGTAGCGACACGCCAAGTGCAGTGAACCAACTGAGTAGTGCCGGTCAAGGCATCGCGCATCATAGGCGTTGACCACCACCTTGAAAAGTATGAAAAGAGGTGGGGTGCTGTGCAGACGCACGCATGCATGCATGCACGCATGCACATGCATCCATGTGTGCATTCATGCATGCATGGTGCGTGACAAACGATGTGTGCCTACCAGATCGCGCATCAGAGGCGAGGACCTCAACCCTTCCAAGTGTGAAACAGGTGGGTGGGGCTGTGCACATGCATGCAAGCATGTAGCGACAGGCCAAGTAAACCCTTGACCAAGTAGCAGCAACCAAGGACTAGAGCACCACAGCGAGCCTCAGAGGCGAAAGGCTGGACTAAAGCTTTGGGTGCATCCGTTTTTTCCTTCACTTCCCATCCTTTTCTTCTCCTTTTGTAGCCAAGGAGTTTTGTAGTGACGGAGTTTGTGAATCCTAAGGACCACAGCCGCCCCATCCAAGAGGCTCTCGTGGAAATGACGGACGGGGGAGTGGACTACAGCTTTGGGTGCATCTCTCCTTCCCCTCCCCTCTTTTCCTCTATTGTCCCTTCTTTTTCCCTCACCCTTCCTCTTCTGCAGCCAAGGCATTCGGTGTGACGGAGTTCGTCAATCCCAAGGACCACAGCCGGCCCATCCAAGAGGTGCTAGTGGAGCTGACAGACGGGGGAGTGGACTACAGCTTTGAGTGCATCGGGAACGTGGCAGTCATGCGCGCTGCTCTCGAGTGCTGCCACAAGGGGTGGGGCGAGTCGGTCATTATCGGGGTCGCAGCAGCAGGGCAGGAGATCTCCACGCGGCCGTTCCAGCTGGTCACGGGGCGTGTGTGGCGTGGCACTGCGTTTGGCGGGTTCAAGAGCCGCACGGATGTGCCTCAGCTGGTGGACAAGTACTTGAACAAGGTGAGGGCGTGTCTCGTGTGCGTGTCTCGTGTGCGTGTCTCGTGTGTGGGTGGTGTGTGTGGGGCATGCGAATAAGGTGAAGGTCCATTTTAGGTGGTAGCGTATCGCCTGATGTGCTCTGTTCGGGGGGTTCAAGAGCCACACGGATGTGCCCCAGCTGGTGGACAAGTACTTGAACAAGGTAGGCGTTGTTTGTGCATGTGGTGTGCGAGGTGCATGAGCAGTATGCATGTGCAGTATGCATGAGCAGTATGCATGAGCAGTATGCATGAGCAGTATGCATGTGCAGTACGCATGTGCAGTACGCATGTGCAGTACGCATGTGCAGTACGCATGTGCAGTACGCATGTGCAGTACGCATGTGCAGTACGCATGTGCAGTACGCATGAGCAGTACGCATGTGCAGTACGCATTTGCAGTACGCATGAGCAGTACGCATGTGCAGTATGCATGTGCAGTACGCATGTGCAGTACGCATGAGCAGTACGCATGTGCAGTACGCATGTGCAGTACGCATGTGCAGTACGCATGTGCAGTACGCATGTGCAGTACGCATGTGCAGTACGCATGTGCAGTATGCATGTGCAGTCAGGAGCACAGGCCTTTCTTCTGTTATACATACTAACCATCTTCATTTCTTGACCACTCCTGTGTGTCATCCCATCAACAGGAGATCAAGGTAGACGAGTACAACCTCCCTCTCTCTCCCACGCCACCCCTCTTCCTCTCTCCCTTCTCCCTGCCCCCTCATGTTACGCATCAACAGGAGATCAAGGTAGACGAGTACATCACGCACAACCTGCCTCCATCTTTCCATGCTAACTCTCTCGATCTCTCCACATCTCTCCCCCTCTCCACGTTTCTACGCATCAACAGGAGATCAAGGTGGACGAGTGCATCACACACAACCTCTTCTCATCCTCCCACTCTCTCCTCACTCCCTCTTTCTACCCACCCCTTCCTGCATGTTACTCGGTAACAGGAGATCAAGGTGGATGAGTACATCACGCACAACCTCCCTCTCTCGAAGATCAACGAGGCCTTTGACTTGCTGCATGGGGGCAAGTGCCTGCGTGCTGTGATTCACATGGAAGAGCAGTGATACGTGTTTTACAGCACTTCTCTCTCACTAGGATAGACGAGGCCTTTGACTTGCTGCATGGGGGCAAGTGCCTGCGTGCTGTGATTCACATGGAGGAGCAGTGATACGTGTTTTACAGCACTTCTCTCTCACTAGGATAGACGAGGCCTTTGACTTGCTGCATGGGGGCAAGTGCCTGCGTGCTGTGATTCACATGGAGGAGCAGTGATACGTGTTTTACAGCACTTCTCTCTCACTAGGATAGACGAGGCCTTTGACTTGCTGCATGGGGGCAAGTGCCTGCGTGCTGTGATTCACATGGAGGAGCAGTGATACGTGTTTTACAGCACTTCTCTCTCACTAGGATAGACGAGGCCTTTGACTTGCTGCATGGGGGCAAGTGCCTGCGTGCTGTGATTCACATGGAGGAGCAGTGATACGTGTTTTACAGCACTTCTCTCTCACTAGGATAGACGAGGCCTTTGACTTGCTGCATGGGGGCAAGTGCCTGCGTGCTGTGATTCACATGGAGGAGCAGTGATACATGTTTTACAGCACTTCTCTCTCACTAGGATAGACGAGGCCTTTGACTTGCTGCATGGGGGCAAGTGCCTGCGTGCTGTGATTCACATGGAGGAGCAGTGATACGTGTTTTACAGCACTTCTCTCTCACTAGGATAGACGAGGCCTTTGACTTGCTGCATGGGGGCAAGTGCCTGCGTGCTGTGATTCACATGGAGGAGCAGTGATACGTGTTTTACAGCACTTCTCTCTCACTAGGATAGACGAGGCCTTTGACTTGCTGCATGGGGGCAAGTGCCTGCGTGCTGTGATTCACATGGAGGAGCAGTGATACGTGTTTTACAGCACTTCTCTCTCACTAGGATAGACGAGGCCTTTGACTTGCTGCATGGGGGCAAGTGCCTGCGCACTGTGATCCACATGGAGGAGCAGTGATAGGATGCAGGGAAAAGAGGATTGCAATTGTTGGGAGTGAGGTTGGGGGTGTTGAGAGCATACGTTTTCCTCTCTAAGATCGACGAGGCCTTTGACTTGCTGCACGGGAGCGAGTGCCTGCGTGCTGTGATTCACATGCAGGAGCACCAGTGATAGGTTGACATGACAAGTGAAGAAAATGCTTTGGCACTATGGGAGTGAGGCTGAGGTGTTGCTAGAGTATCCTCACTCCCTCACAGCTCCTTGTGATACAATTGCAGGAGCTCAAGTGATGGTACCCTTACTCCTAGAACTTAGGAGTTTCGTTTCTCTGGAGAGATGTAGTGCAGTGGCTAGGAGAACTGGTTTTGTGGATGTTTTAATAACCATGAGATTGATGATTCGTTCATCTTTGGCTTCATGGTGTATGACTCTCTGCAGAACCGTACCGTGATAGTGCTTCATATTGGTTATAGCCCAGTATGGCATTGAAAATAGTAGCGGCTGGGAGGAAATGGCTATTAGCGTCAATCTACAACAATCATTGCGATCTGAAAGCCCATCAACAGCTTCTAACACCAAACTGAGCCTCAGGACCTAGCCTCGTGTTTCACACCCCTAGCTGCTACGGAACAAACTAACCACCTAAGATTCCACACATTTCTGCCTCTTTTCGTGCTGGACAAAGCTACACCTAGGTGGTGCCAGCACAAGAGTGCCACAGCATAAATCTTCCAGAGCTCTCAGTAGCTGATGCGACGAGACAACCCCGAAACACACACCCATCTTTAGGAGGGAAAAAATCACCGTAGATTTTTCAGAAAACGGGTCGGATCAACAGGGCATTCTGATGGGCTGCGCATGTGAATACTGGGACTAAAGTGTCGAGTTGACCACACTGGATTGGAAAGCGCATTCATCTCGGAAATGACAGGAGCAACGGTGGATTGTCACATTACATGGGGTGTCGTCAGTGGATGGGGTGGAATGGGGTGCAAAGGGGTGTAAAGGGGTGGACCTGCCGGTGCTAGTGAGCCGAGTTGACGACTTTGGATAGTGCATCCATTCCAGGGATGGCAGAAGCTACAGTGGATGGAATTGATTGGCGGGGGGTTGGGACGATCATGACCGCACAATTAGCAGCGTGTGCCACGTGGTCGCTCACACTCCCCAATAGCACCCTGACGCGAGAGCGGAAGAGCAGAGAAGAAGGAACAGAGGAAAGGGTGAGCAAGTGAGGGGTGCGGGATACAATCACTCATGTGCTTAAGGACAATCATGACCGCACAGCTCGCAGTGTGTGCCACGTCGTAACTCACACTCCCCAAAAACACCCTGGAATGAGAGTGGGGAAAAAGGTTGGGGGGAAGGGAGAGCGGATCAGGAAGGGGATGGACTTAGATGACCGCACAGTTGGCAGTGTGTGCCTCGTGGTCACTCACACTCCCCAATAACACCCTGAAACGAGAGTTCTGGAAAAGCGTGTGGGGGGGAAGTGGGGAGAAAGGGGGGGGGGATAAGGAACTAGCATGCCCCAGCAACACCCTGGATTAAGATCAGGGTAAAAAATCGAAGGTACACAAGCCGGGGGTGGGGCAGTGCGACATACAGGGAGAAGGGAAAATTATAAAGGGAAGTACTAAAGATGCGAGTTCCAAGAGGTCACTCACACTCTCCAACGAAGAAGGGGTAAGAGGCCAGAGAGGAAAGCCAGCTAAAATCATCCAAGCAAAAAACCAAAATCGTGTCTGAACCCGGAACCGAACCGGAGACCTCCAGTGTGTGAGACTGGCGTGATAACCGACTACACCATCCAGACATGTCAACAATAAATCACATGACAGCTAAACACTACCACCGAGGTTCAGAGGGGAGCGTTATGTGTCTTCCGCAACTTTTTAGAACTTGGGGTGTGCATGCAGGTAGTGAGCTATGATATCTGCATGTGAACACCTCGTTATAGCGCTGTGCCCACCTCGTTATAGCGCTGTGCCCACCTCGTTATAGCGCTGTGCCCACCTCGTTATAGCGCTGTGCCCACCTAGTTATAGCGCTGTGCCCACCTCTTTATAGCGCTGTGACCACCTCGTTATAGCGCTGTGCCCACCTAGTTATAGCGCTGTGCCCACCTCTTTATAGCGCTGTGCCCACCTCGTTATAGCGCCGTGCCCATGGCTTCCCAGAACAATCACATCAGGGTCGACTTCGCTCGCTGCCTCGAGAATCCTCTCCCTCGCGTCGCCACATGTGCTCTTCGTCACCCACTCGTTCTTAAACGACGGCTGCGATTCGAAGGAAACGCAGATGACGGAAGACGCAGGATAATGCACACGGAATGGAGGGAGAAGCGGGAGGGCGGAAGGGAAGGCAGGGAGGGAGATGGGGCGAAGCGTAGAAACGAAGCAGTAGGAAAGGCAGAAACGACGAGGAGATTAAGCGATAATTAAGGAGGGTGGCATATGTTGCAAAAATACCATTCTTCGTTATTAGCTCACTTTGTAGGTTCTGGCAAGTTTTTGGTACTTGTCGAGCAGCGTGTGACTATCCCGAAGGTACTGTGCCTCGAACTCCTGCTTGTAGGTCTGGGCGGCATAGAAGTCCACCTCTGCCAGGAGCCATGCCACGTAACCATGCGGTTATAAAGAACAAGAAGCGGGTAAGAATCATTTCGCCATCGAAAAAGGGAGAGAGAGAAGGAAGGGGGCGAGGGTTTCGGCTGCTGCTGCAATCACCGTCTCTGCTTTGTAGTACCTTCAATATGGGGTCGGACGTGAACGATGGTAACCCTATCGTTGTCTTCGACGACCTTTTCGCACGCGAATTGTAACGCGTGGCGACTGCCCTCCGAATCGTCCACCGCGATCAAGAAATTTCGCCCCGCTTCACCCGCCGCCATAGTCGGTTTGGTAGGAACGACACGACCAGTCACGTAAAGGAGCGGAGAAGGCTAGTGATAAAAAACCGAGAAAACGACGTGATTCCTCGAAATCGCTAAATTGGCCTGGTGCAGTCAACAAGGCTACGCCAAGTGAAATAACGACACTGACACGAGGATAAAGCTAATACGAAATTATTTTCAACTCAACGGCTCTAACTTATAGCAGAAGCGACTAGTTAATAACACGCGAGCCAAAGCAACTGAGAGTTGCCTGCAGAATGCCAGGATGAGTGAACAAAAGCAGCAGGATTCAAGAAATGTCCCAAGAAATCAAGAAATCTTTCGAAGAAAACAATCACTCTCTCCCAGGAATAGCTGCATCTTGCGCCAGGGCGCCATGTGAAACGGACCAAAGCTGAGGACAATTACGGAACCTAAATGGTGGGTTCAGTACGTTCTAACAACTTTAAACTACGGTGAACTGCGGTACTCGAAGTTTTGCATCACGCTCCCACACACAGTTGGGGATGTCACCAGCTAAGTGACATCATGCACCAGCTGGTGCTGCATCGCCCGACGTTCTCGCCCTTGCTATGCCATGTGGAATTGGTGACGCGATATTTGCAAGCATACAGCTGCAATCTTGGTGGCAAAGCAAATCGATTACGTCAGCTCCAACAGCTTGGACTATCTTCGTAAAAAGATCGTGCGCAACCGTGTAAGAGCGCATCTCAGTGTCCAGCAGGAAACATCAGAATAATCATTTTTAGATGCGTTAGTACATGCACATTGCACAACCAACCCAACTGCTGGCTGATCAAATAGGGGCACATGATTGTTCAATGCCTGAAAATTCCGTACCAGTAGACCTAGAATGCCCCACCTGAATAAAAATGATACATGAGGTATGTATTGACCAAACAAAAAAAACACTCCATAAACCTATGATATACACAGGCCCCCCCTACCCCTTCACTCATCTCCCTCACCCCCCAACCACCCAAAAGTCAGATTCACTCCACCGTGACACTCTTGGCAAGGTTTCGAGGTTGATCGACGTTAAACCCCCTGATAACAGTCAAATGGTAGGCGAGGAGCTGTAGCGGAATTATATTAATGATTGGCTGAAGGCAGTCCTCCACATGAGGCACTTCAATTATCTTCGCCGCGCCATTTGGACACATGAGATCCGCATCTCCCTCAGAGCAGATCACCATTAATCGGCCGCTGCGGGCCTGCAACTGTTGGATGACTGACTGCTGCTTGCTGTATTGGGGGCAGAAGGGCCACGGAAAAGGGGGATGGAACAAAAGAGGCGTGGTATCACATAAAAGAACATGACTTTGCTGAAAGCGTTGTGCATGTACACACATCATGTCGGTCCCTTTTGAAAGCACTTGCATGTACACATTGCATCGCCTTCAACCAGGCGCCATTGCACGCTCCACGTTTCCACCAACTCCTCCTCCTCACCTCCGCACATCCACCACACTTCAGCATCTCTCCACACCCCCCATCACCACTTACTCCTCCTCATCACCGCTTCCCTCCTCCTCACCTGCAGGTGCCGTCTGGGTAGCGTCAACAATGATCGGAAGTGTGGCGTCAACGTGGGGCAGCGTGGCGACAACGAGGCATTGCGAGAAGCTCTTACCTTGAAAGGCCCGATAGACTGCTTCCTTAATCTCCTCGGATCGCTTCACGTCCAAGGACGAGTCGACAGCCGCCATGATGGCCAAAATGATTGCCTTTCTTTCTACCGCTTCAAAACTAGATCCTACCGAGCAGAGCGACCTTTGGGTGTTTGGTCTAGTGGCATGATTCTCGCTTAGGGTGCGAGAGGTCCCGAGTTCAATTCTCGGAACACCCCTCTCCTAGGTAGAGCATTTTGTAATTTGTTTTTAGGTAAAATACTATTATATTTTGGTGTTCTCTACTATTGCAGCTATACCCAATGCTAGGAACCGTTGAGAAACTTACCTCCCTCGCTGTGCAGCCCCACGCCCAATCATTACCTCCGAAAACCACACCACACCCACCACCACACCACCCAACCAGCTCACCTGCAGGTGCAGTCACGGGTAGCAACAACGATAATAGGCAGGGCGGCGGCGTCAACGAGGGCGAGGGGCCGTGCTTCAACTCCTCAACCACCTCCTCCTTACCCTTCCACACCCATCACCACCCCTCTCCTCACCTGCACGTGCTATCACGAGTAGCAACAACGATGATAGGCAGGGTGGCGTCAACGAGGGCGAGCGGGCCGTGCTTCATCTCGCCGGCCAGAATGCCCTCGCTGTGCATCAGCGCCACCTCCTTCACCTTCAACGCCCCCTCCACCGCCGTCGCGTAGTTGTACCCGCGCCCGAAGACCAACAAGCTCTGCTCGCCTGACAGCTCCCGGGCTAGCTGCTGGATCTCAGAGTCTAGCCTCAGTACTTGGCGCACTTTCCCTGGATGGGTGGGGAAGGGGTTGAAAACAATAGTAAATGGCAAGGCTGCTGTTGTGTAGTTGCACCCGCGCCCAAACACCAGCAGGCTCTGCTCGCCTGACAGCTCTCGCGCTAGCTGCTGGATCTCAGAGTCAAGCCTTAGCACCTGCCGCACCTTCCCTGAAGGTGGGGGTAGGGGTCCAAAACAGTGGTAAATGGCAAATGGTAAGACTGTCACGTACTTATACCCGCGCCCAAACACCAGCAGGCTCTGCTCGCCTGACAGCTTCCGGGCTAGCTGCTGGATCTCAGAGTCTAGCCTCAGTACTTGGCGCACTTTCCCTGGATGGGCGGGGAAGGGGTTGAAAACAGTGGTAAATGGTAAGGCTGCTGTTGCAAAGTTGTACCCGCACCCAAACACCAGCAGGCTCTGCTCGCCTGACAGCTCTCGAGCTAGCTGCTGGATTTCAGATTCGAGCCGCAACACTTGGCGCACTTTCCCTGGATGGACGGGGAGAAGGGTTTTGGAAGAATGGCGACTGCTGAAGCTGTTGTACCCGCGCCCAAACATCAGCAGGTTCTACGATGTCTCAGAAGTCGACAAACAGACAGGTAGTCAGGGCTCAGTGGGTTACGATGCACAGTTCACTTATAAGACTGTCTATAATTAACTCTCTTTGCGCCCTCTTGTAAAAGTTCCTTGTGAGATGTCCCAGAAGTCGGTAAACAGACAGATGGGCATGGCTGACTGAGTGGCAGTGCACTTACTGGGCAGGTCAACGAGGCTGTCTATGATCCGCTCTCTTCGCTCTTTTGAGGAGATGCTGTCCTCGCCAATCGCAAGAGCCATCAGCACCAGCACCGCGATCTGACTCGTGTATGCCTGTGACAGCGAAAATGTGGGGTGAGAAACTCACGGTTTGTAGATGAAAGGCAGGATGGGCATGCGGGCAATGAAACACGGGACGGGATAAAAGAAATACGGGCCGTTTGGTGCACACCCTGGCAACGACTGTTTGAGCCCTGGCATTGATGCACCCTCCATCTCGCCCCATTCAAGACCTTTCAACAGCACTCACACTCCTAAGGGCAACCAGCCCACCTTGGTGCTGGCGACGCCAATCCCAGCGCCAGCGTTGATACACACGCCACAGTGCGTGCGGCGCGCAATGGCACTCCCCACTGTATTAGTGACGCCCACACACAGCGCCCCCGTCGCTACCAGCAGCTCACCTTGGTGCTGGCAACGCCTATTTCAGCGCCAGCGTTGATAAACACTCCACAGTGCGTGCGGCGGGCAATAGCGCTGCCAACAGTGTTAGTCACGCCCACACACAGCGCCCCCCTCGCCCGCGCATACTCCAGCGCCGAAAGCGTGTCCGCCGTCTCCCCCGACTGGCTCATAAACACCGCCGTATCCTCTCTATAAACCGGCGCGTTTCTGTCTAGCATATCACTCGCCAGCTCCAGCTGAACCGCCACCCCGGAAAGCTCTTCTAACAGAGGGCGCACGGCGAGTGCTGCGTGGTAACTGGTGCCGCAGCCGACGAAAATGATGCGCCTGCTGCGGCGGATGGTGAGGAGATGGTCCTTGAGACCGCCTAGTAGCACCCCTTTCTCCTCTGACCAAGGCGCTGAGGAGCCTACGCGGCTGACAGGGGAGAGTTTGGAAAGAGGGGAGAGGGGCGGCAGGCTGGAGACTGCACCTGCTCCTCCTGGTGCTGCTGCGGTTGAAGCTACTGGGCTGCTTCCATTCGAACCAGCAGCGGCAGCCGCAGCAGTAGAGTCACCAGCAGTTACAGCTGCCGCTGCTACCGCTGCTGCTGCGGAGGCAGAGGGCGGAAGGGAGCTGCATGCATTGGACGCAGTAGGCGAAAGTGAATCCGCCTTGCCGTGAATCAGCCTTCCCCTCAGCGTCATGGTGAGCGACTCAGGCTGCTCGTGAATCTCCTTCTGCATGAAATGATCATAACTGCCCTTCATGATCTGCTCCACCTCCATCTCGAGCGTCGAGAGCGCCCGCTGCAGCGCCGTCGTGGGGGGTAAACCGCGCTTGGCCTTATCCGGCTCGAACGAGAACAGCGAAACGACCCCGTCCCTGATATGCACCACCTCGTTATCCTCTATAACCATCACTTTCTTCGTGTGCTCTACCACCGCGCTCGCATCGCTCGCTAGAAACAGCTCTCTCGGTCCAGTCGCCACGACTCCTCCTCGCATCATCCCACCCGGCTCCTCCGCGCCCACTATATCAAACGCGGATTTGCGGCCGTCGGAGGGGACTTTGACTCCCAGGAGGAGCGGGCTGCCGCGCTTGCAGGCGACGAGCTGGTTGGGGAAGTGCGGGCTCTTGAAGAGCAGCGCGTAGGCGCCTTCTAGTTGCCGCATCACCTCCATCACCACCTGCGTGAACGCCACTCGCTCACCACCTGTGGCACCGTTGACTGTGGAGGGGGTAGTGGGGGTGGGGTGTGGGGAGTGGCAATGAGGACTAGACGGGGAAGAGGCAAGGACGAGAGAGGAGAGGGAGCAGCGCGTAGGCGCCCTCGCAGCTGCCGCATCACCTCCATCACCACCTGTGTAAACGTCACTCGCTCACCACTGGCGGCAGTGGCACCGTTGACTGTGGGGAGTGGAGAGTGGGGTGTGGGGGGAAAGACGAGAGTGGGCAGAAGAGAGAGGGGGAGAGCAGCGCGCAGGCCCCTTCTAGCTGCCGCATCACCTCCATTTGTGGAACTGTTGACTGTGGAGAGGGAATTGGGTGGTGGGTAGTGAGTGCTGGTAGTGGAAATGAGGAATGGAAGGGGTAACGGACTAGGACGAGGGAGAAGGGAGAGCAGCGCGTAGGCGCCTTCTAGCCGAAGCATCACGTCCATCACGACCTGTGTGAACGCCACACGCTCACCACTGGTGGAACCGTATACTAATGGGGAGAAGAGTATGCGGGAAATGAAGTGTTGGGAGGAGGAGGGAGGATGAGGGGAGGAGGATGAGGTGGGGAGAATTAGGGCGTCGGCGCCCACCAGCTTCGCAACAACCTCTCGCTGTTCCTCCCTCTTACCGCCCGTCCTGTTCCCAGCACCCAAGCCCCTTTTCCCTACCCCTCGCCTACCTGTCTTGCTCGAGACGCCATTGGCCATGCCCGAGACGCCGTTGGTCATGCCCTCGCCGCCATGCCCCCCTTCCGACTGCAGCAGATTGTCGTACACGAATTTGGCGAGCTTCGGGATCACCTCGGTGTCTGTCTCCGACTCGAACGTGAAGCCGTGCTTCTGGAGGGTGCCCTTCAGTGCCTGCAGGACGCGGTATGGAGGAGTACGGAGGGGTGTGGGGGAGTGTGAAGGAGTGTAGGGGGAACTCGGCGAGCTTCGGGACCACCTCGGTGTCTGTCTCTGACTCGAAGGTGAAGCCGTGCCGCTGAAGAGTGCCCTTCAGCGCATGGGGATGGGGTGCAGAAGTAATGTGGAGGAGTGAGAAAGGAGTGTGGGGAGTGAGAAAGGAGTGTGGGGAGTGTGGGGAAGGGACGGAAGAGCCAAGAAGAGCTTGCTTAATATCCCTCTTAAAGAGTAAGATCGTGTAAGACCGTTCAGGTTCCTTGCAGTTTGTTATTATTCCATTGTGCATCACCAGAAGGTCGTGGTTCAGACCGGACGAATCTTGAGGTGTCTTAGGATTCATTCTCAGGGAAGTAGTAAAAGCTGAGGCGACACTGTACCTTGTAGCTGGTGATTATCCCGTTGTGCACCACTAGAAAGTCATGCGTCGAACCCGGGGTTCATTTCCAAGAAAGCAGTAAGAGCTGACGCAACACTGTACCTTGTAGTTGGTGATAATCCCGTTGTGCACCACCAGAAAGTCGTGGCTCGGACCGGACGACTGAGGATGCGAGTTGCGCGGGGACGGCGCGCCGTGAGTGGCCCACCGCGTGTGCGCAATGCCGACGTGACGGGGGAACGCGCGGCTCATATCCAGTTTCGAATCCGCAGCGTCTGTTCAGAGGGCCAGTTGGAAAGGAGGGAGCCAAGAAAAGGGGTGGGAGAGGAGGAGAGGAAGGAGAAAAGAGGAGTCGAAGGAGAGGGGTTGGATAGTAAAGAGGAAAAAGCGAGGGGAGCGGAAGGCAACTGCATCGATTCGTTTCTTTTTCATTCGTACAACGGGCAGTTACAGACGAAACGCAGTGGCTTAACTGTTCTGTTCGTTGTGGAATCAAGTTGATAGCAAAATCGTACCTTGGCGAACTTTCTTTACGAGGTTGGCGATCTTCCCCTTCTGTCGGAATACCAGTGGCTCAGCGCCTTTACGTTCTGATGGAGTAACATTCGTGATGTCCGCAAGCGATTTCGCAGACGCTTCGGTTTCGTCAATCTCTGCTAGCGCAGTAATCACCGCTTCTGAGTCAGTATCGGCGTCAACGCTGATTCCAGCGGAATCATAGCCTCGGTACTCGAGCCTTCTTAGGCCGTTAAAAAGTATCTCGAGGATTTCGGAGCGCTGCTTTGGACACTCATAGTTCAAGTAAGCGAAGATGCCACACATCTTGACTACAAAGAATAAGTCAGGGGGGGCGAAGACTTTAAGACTTGCGTTGCTAAGTGTCTACTTCTTGGCGACGAGAGGAAAAATGAGGCCGACCGCACTACACCGTCCCGTATGCGCTGAAAGACGACGACGGCCTTATAAAAAATCCTTCTATCCGCAGAAGCTGGTTTGTCGTGATAGCACGATCCAGAACTAGCCGCAGCAGCCAGATGACGTGACAGGTCCGGCGAGCAACCTCTTCGTTGTTCCTTGAATATACGGAATAGCACGTTCTGAGACCACTCTGGTGCTCAAACCACCTGGACACCGTGTTTGGACGGCTCCTCTGTGTCCATTCAGCTTCACATTCATGAACACGGCAGTCTGTAAAATATGGCACAGTACTGATTAGTTGCGCTGCAGGACGAGACTGGTCAAGCTGGCTGATCCACAGCAGTATGCACCAGCAGCTTCCAACAACTTCTTGACCCAGTTAATTGGTTGGGAGACTCCTAGAGCAGATAGCTACCTACCTACAGGATTGAGAGAGAAGAACTGCCGGCCTTAGGAAATCCTTGTGCTGTTTTGAGTTTTCTTGGGAGCATCGAGAGGTGCGGTGATGCTGCTTTGGCGGGAATTTGTTGGAACTCTTTTTCTGTTTGGCGGGAAGTAAGTTCGGAATTCCCTAAGCAATTTCTTTCCCCAAATCTCAGGGTTCGGTCACACATTTACGGTAAGTCAATAGGGAGGCTTTGGTGATGAGTTTCTTGCAGGCCAGGTCAGCTCCGCGCGAGAGAATTACTGTAGAACCTGGATCAGTGATTCATCCTTACTCGCGTGGCCTCGAATTACTCGAGTGGCCACCAAATTTTGTGATAATTACTCGAGTGGCCACGCCAGGGGATTCCCGCAGGCTTTTTTTTTCCCGGCGCATTACCCTACAAGGGTTCGTATCCCCGAAACCTCTGTATTGATAATTGCGCGATTTTCAATTTACGCGATGATTTATAATGGATGTTTTCGCGTTATGATTTATATTCGAAAATTTTGTTCGTGACTCTATATGACCGCGCCTGATTGGACGCGCATATAGTTGACCAATCATGCGCGGTCATTAATGGTCGGGCACATCATATATTAATGCCCGATCATATATTTCCGCGATCATAAACTGTAATGCCCGGGCGTCAATGCGCGGGACATTAAATGACCGCGCATGATTGGTCGATTATATCCGCGGTGCTTTGTTTTGCAATGCGCGTCCAATCAGGCGCGGTCATATGGGGTCACGATCATAAATTTCGGATTTTGAAGATCGCGCATTAATCAGTTCAGAGGTTTCGGGGATACAAACCCTTGTAGGGTAATGCGCCGGGTAAACAAAACCAGCGGGAATCCCCTGGCGTGGCCACTCGAGTAATTATCACCAAATCTGGTGGCCACTCGAGTAATTCGAGGCCACGCGAGTTAGAATTAATCACCGAACCAGGTTCTACAGTAATTCTCTCGCTCCGCGCCCACAAACCAGAAAGCAGACCTCCAGGAGCCACGTGATTGGCAAATGGTCAGTGAAAGGGAGCCAAACCAGTCCAACTACACAAATGGAGGCTTTCCCGCGGAAGCCACCTTACAGATCTTGGAAAAGGTTGGGTGTTTGGCGGTTTGGAGGCAAGAAGGAGCCCCATCCCAGACCAATCTACCTGGCTGATGCCTGACACAAGCCGAGCCTCAGTCATGATAGGCCGACAGTGCTTAGGGCAAAAAAATATATGTTTCTGTATCACAACTTACATAATTAATTCATTTATTGAATATACATTCATATATACATATATGTTTCATTTACTGTATTATGCGACACAGTATATAATTGAGTTTATGCTATCCAAATGTATACAATAGGGAGAAATATCTTAACGTAATATTTTGTCATATGTACGAAACAAACATATATTTATCTGACGCTTTACTGTTTGTGATGTACCTTCTCATTCCCTTGCGTACATATTTGTTTCTTCCTTTTGTTTTTTAATGCAAACCCTCATTTTGTCAATCTCGACACCCTTCTCCTAGCCTTCTTCCTAAGTACGTTATAAGAAAAACAAGAGTCGACGAAATCGTCTAAGGGTTGCGGAGCTTAGAATTTGACATACCGGCAATCTAAAAGAAACATATACAATAATCATTTATATGAATAGCATCAGAGTTATTATTTATAATATGTTAGTCAGGCAGAACCGCACACTGCATTGTAAAAGAGGAAATGAAATGTGCGTCAATGCTGATTGCAAAATTATGAACTAATATTTGAGTGTTTTGCAGTTATTACAATAGCATATTGGCGCGTCAATTAAGTTCAAAAACAGTAATGCATGCAGGATTCGAACCTGGATCTTCGCTGTGAAAAGAACAGCACTACTAGGCCAACTCGATGCACTCTCGATACTTCATGTGTTTGTCTATGTTATGTGTTAAGATTTTGTGACTCATTCAGTAGGGTTTCTTTTTTTGGGTCGCGTAGCAACCCCTTTACATTTGGTAGCACTTTTTTCGGTCGACTCGAATGAACAGTGAAATTTTTGTCATTTTCCCAGCGTCTGAAGCAATCTCTTTAAAGCCCGCGTCCCAAATTGCGGGCCGCGAGGGTCAAGTTTTTAAAACTTGACGAAGTTGAGTGTCCAAGCTTTTGAAAGTCACGCACTTGCAATTTGGGACTTTCGTAGACAGATTCACTCACCAGGAGGAAAACCGAGGGTTGGCTGGGTCTCGCGAAAAAAACGAACCTAGACGAAATCGGAAACTCTCGCCAAAGCCCACACCAGAAAAACTCCCTCTGGTCAACTTTTAAAAGCATGAACAATTTGGGCCGCCGGCTTTAAAGTTTTGAGAAAGATTGCTTCAAATGTGTGGAGATGACTGCACTGAAACTCAAGAGTCGCCAAAAATAGTGAAACCAAATGAGACCAATTGTTCCATAATCGTCGATAAATACGGCGAATGGAAACAATTGGTGGCCTTAACATATTTTACATCAAACACAATTGACGAGGCAACAAATTCGACGAGGATGCAAATTACGGTATTTGCATCTACGGAACATAACGACAACACTCAACAACAAATGTCATAAAGTGAATGATAAACTGCATCGGTGCTACAGCGATGGATCCGGTATGCTAAGGCGAGCAACGCTGCCCCAACAACGATCCCCACCTCAATTGCAGAACCGACACAGTTTAACATGACACTTTAAAACAAACACGAACGAGCACACACGACATTGTACTGGTACAACGACGACAACGCATAACAATTATGAGTGTCTTGGGGAGAATGCTAAAATGCATCGATGATGCAACAAAGGTTGGTCTGGCACGCTAAGGCTATTGCCCCACCGGCGATCACAACCTGAGTTGCATACACGAGGCACTTCAGCACACGCCTTGAGACAGACACAAACGATACAAACAACACTACTGTACATACGATACATATCTCACACATGCTCACACACACACATACACACTGAGACACACGCACACACTGACACGCACGCAAACAAGCACAGATACATACAGATAGTCAGCACACAACCATCATGACATTCAGCTATTAAGAAATCATCACTAGCCAATCACCCCTTATCCTCCCTACACCCCTCCCTCCCTCCCTCCCTCCCTCCCTCATCTCCCTCCCATTGCCTCCCTCATCTCCCTTCTCCGCCAAACATAATCAAAGAATTCAGCTCACGCACCCTGCACATAGTAAAAACAGAGAATGCAACATACGCCCCGCACAAGAAAGCAAAAATAGAGGATGTTCACACATTGTGTACAAGAAAACAATAAACAGAGAATGCAACTCATGTGCGGAGGCCAAGCAGGAAACAACTCACCCCCACTGCATAAGAAAACAAAGAGTACACCTCATAGCATTGCAAAAGAAAACAAAAGCAGAGAATGCAGCTCACACACTAGACACGAAATAAACACAATAAAAGAAGATGAGCAATGGGTTTGACAGCTCACAGAGGAAAATGGGTATCAGTCGTGGCACCACAGATACTACACCAGCATGATGCCATACCTTGAAGCCACCCTCAAGTTCAACTTCACACTCACAAACGCACTCACTCTTGTACTCAATCTCGCACCCACTCACACACTTGCTCTCGCACACGCCGTCGCACGCACTTCTCACTCACACCCGCACTCATACCCGCGATCACCCTTGTTCTCACCCTCGCACTCACTATCACACTCGCTCTTCACTCACAACTCTTCTTCAGCACTCACAGAAACACACACACAAACACGTGCACTCATCCTCGTACTCATCCTAGCACGCACACTCGAACGCACATTCGCACTCCCTTTTGCACTCACACCCATACCCTTGCACTCAACCTCGCACTCACACCCATACTCACTCTCACATTTGCACTCGCC